TGACAGATGGCTATCCAAGCTCTGCTTTAAAAGGAAAGCCCACAACCTCCGTGGGAGCCCATTCTTACTGCCAGAAAGGGAGCCCATTCTTACTGCCAGAAAGTTCACCCCGATGTTTAGTTATAATTTGCTTTCTTGTAACTTGAATCCATTGGTTTTAGTCCTACCCTCTGGAGCAGGAGAACACAAGCTTGTAGTCCAGCAACATCTGAATGGCACCATGTTGGCTACACCTGACCTGAAGTACATATATTGCACCTTCCTTCAGAAAAAAAGTTAGCAAGTATTTTTAAAGTTTGGAGAAATGCAAACCTAGCAGATGGCTGTGGAACTGGCTTATAACCAGCCTTCTCTTGGAGAGGAGCCTTCCTAATAAAAACAAATGTAATCCTAAACCTTTCAACCAGCTGAGCAGTATGTAGAATCCTTTTTATGTTCAGGGAAGATAGCTGCTTTTTGTATATAAAATACAACAACAGCCTGTGGCTTGCAGATTAAACAGGAACATCCTCTACTTACGGATCAAAGGATAAACGAACTTGACCATTTTTCAATGTGGTTGTGCATTGTTTGGCACCTGACTGGCTCTGACTTGCCCATTTTTCACCAGTTAGGAATTCAGAAATACAACATACAGGTCAAGTGAGGGGAATTGGAGGTTGTGAATTCCTGTGTTTTTGTCCCTTAACTTGCCCCACTGGTAAATTAAAGAAGTCGAGATCAAGTGCCAACATACCACTACTGGTTTTAATTGGTCTTCACCACAGAAAGCAAGCAAGCAGCATGAAGCAGCCCCACCCCCTCAAATTTCCAAAGCAAATTGCATTAGGATGTAAATTCAGAATTTTGCCTTTAGGTGTGGTTATTCCTCATGCTCCAGAAAAGATCATAGGTGAGATCAGAAGTTGTTATAATTATGAAAATGACAACAAATCTGCTACTGATGCTTGCATTATGTTTCTGCATGAGCTCATACAGAGAAACAAACTCCTTTTTAGTGACTGAACAGGTATTTTACATTGAGAGATTTGCACTCCACACATGCTCAGAATCAGTATGTCATATTTTATAGGGTTGAGGACTACAACTACTATTACCGCTAAATCGAGGGCTAGACACTTTACAGGTCAGAAACATTTATTTCTGCTTAATAAATGCACTTTTAAGTCCTTAGCACTCTTTATTGTAGTTCACACTGAGAGAGGACTTTAGTTGAGGATATAAACTTTGTAACTGTTGCAGAAGATTTAATAGGAAAATAATCAGACTTGCTTGTTTAGGGGCTGTTTGAATTTGACTGAACATGGAGTCTGGTAGATTTCCTCTGAACCAGGAGACAGGGCTAAAAAGCATGCATGTCTGTAATAAGTTTAGTAAAGTTTAGGTCTACAGACAACTCAGGTAACTGTCAAGCAATCCTATACATGTCTACTCAGAAGTCCCATTGAGCTCAACAAGGTGTACTCCCAGAAAAGTGAGTACAATATTACAACCTGAATGGAATCAAGTAAGACAAAACTCCCAAATGCATAACTGGGTGATACCTAGAACCAAAATGTTAGTTGGCAAACTCTGGTTGACATCCTAGGGGCCAGGATCCCCATACTTTAGTGTGTGTAGCCACAGAGACTACCAGTGGCAAGGCTAGACCACACAGCCCCACAACCCTTGCCCCCCGCCATCAGTAACAGGGTGCAAATTCTTTTTTAAAAGGGTACACAACCATACTCCTGCAGTGCTCATTCATTTAAATATAATAGAAGTTCGGTCCTCTACATTCTTCTGTCTTCCTAAGAGAATGTCCCCTACAATGCTTCGAAACCTATTTTGGCATTGGGCGGTATATAAATTAATAAATAATAATAAAGGGTGGGGGTGACAATATTGAACATGGTTCTCTGGGTATGCGGAGGGACAAGATTATGAAATCCTATTCATAAATGTGCGCAGACAGCGCAAAAAGTAAGTCAGACCCTCTTAAGCAATTCTTAGAGAAGCACTAGCAGATTTTAGTTATTTTTTATGAACACAGAGCCAGATAAGTGAAAAACAGGGTCCTATCTCAGAAGGCTAACAGTTCTCAGAAGGAAGATAAGGAAGAGATAGGTGCGAAGCCAGAATCGATACAAAAGTCATGTTGATGAAGCAGCGGAGGGTAAGCTGAGGTGAGGTTAAGGGAAAACATTGCTGCTGAAGATAAAAGTTTTAAGGAAAGACTTGAAAGGGAAGCCCTAGCAACAGAAACGGGATCGGGGCCTAATCCCCATGCATCTTCACGGGGCTGCTTTTATTTCCATCTGCATCATCTTCTTAACTTCCATCTGCTTCAGGCACGTCAAGAAAAAAATTAAGCAGCTGCACAAACTGAGGCCATGAAGACAGAAGAGTAATGCACTTCTAAAGACATTTACTTCTTAAAAGTAAATTCATACAAAGATTTGTTGCCACTCACTTTCAAGTATGTGCCAGTGGCGTAGGAAGTGGGGTGCGGTGGGTGCGGGTCGGCCCAGGTGTCATCGCTGAGGGGGGGTGACAAAATGGCAAAAATATGTGTTTTAAAAATAAATAAATAAATAATGGGCTCACGACACTTGTTTTTTTAAAAAATAACTCCTACACTCAGCGCACCCCCATTCCTATGCCACTGGTAGCTAGGTGAGGCGGGGGGCACTGGCTGCCTGCAGTGTGCCTGAGCCATGTGTTCCTCCTGAGGGGGAGGCAGTGGGCAGACAGCCTGCAAGCTCCACGCTGCTTTTTCAAGCAGCACAGGGTTTGCGTCTGCCCACCGCCTCAGCCACCCTACAGCTGAAGGGGAGGCTGCAGAGGGGCTCCATGCAGTGTGCCCTGCCTTGGCTCACCCCGCCCCCATGGGTGGCTCGCTCCGCCCCCGGCTGCAGGACATGCACATCGCACCAGGCACCCGAGCAGCTAGCTATGCCACTGGTAAGTGCAGGGCTTCATATGAGCTGGAGTCTGCCAAAGGTAAGCTGCTGGGCCTGTTTTCAGTGCCGCAGCTCAGCCTCGAACCTAAGAAATAATAAGAGTGCCTCTGAGCACATTTAGAGTGTTTTCCTTACAGCATTTACTAATACAGTCATACCTCAGGTTACAGACACTTCAGGTTGCACGTTTTCGGGATGCACACCGCACCGAACCCAGAAGTACTGGAATGGGTTACTTCCAGGTTTTGGCGCTCGTGCATGCGCAAAAGCGCTAAATCGCGCTTTGAGCATGCGCAGAAGTGCCGAATCGTGACCCGTGCGTATGCAGGCGCTGCGCTGCAGGTTACGAATGTGCCTCCTGCACGGATCATGTTCGCAACCCGAGCGTCCACTGTATATATGTGATAAGAAGCATTTACACTCCCCTGACACTCTTTTTCAGTTTCTTTTCCCATGAGCCAATGAAGAATAACATGTCGTGCATCTGATGCTGTGGGCTTTAGTCCATGGAAGTTATTTATTTTGTTTAAATGGTTTTGGTGCTGCCGTTCAGGATCATAAGATCTTGCCACAGAGAAGCATAGATTTAAAAATTCTGTAAAACCACTACAGCCGACCCCTTGTTCCCAATACATGAGTTTTGGGTGTTGTTGTTGTTGTACTTACCAGGTGTAGTGGTACAGCTGCTGTTAAATCCAATATTTTTAAGAGTGAATCTGTAGCTGATTATCTGCATCTTTGGTCACACATCACCACAATTAGAGAGTGGGTGTAAGGTTTTCTTTTCCATAGTCATGGTGGGTTGTGTCCAAATTGAGAAAAGTACCATGGCTATAGACATGTAGCCACCTGTTCCTTCAGCCAGTAAATGTTTGAGTTATGACCATGCACAAGGGAATACCCTTTTTGCAGATTATTATTATTATTAGCCTAGTATTCCAGAATTCTAATCTTGCGGGGCTATAGACTAGAAAAGGAACTACGCATTGGCCTGAGTTATGGCAAACCTGGCTATTGTTATGAAACTTTGCTTGCAGCTAACGATTACTGCCACGGGCAGGACTTTGACTTGGGAGTGGGTGGCGCTGTGGTCTAAGCCACTGAGCCTCTTGGGTTTGCAGATCGGAAGTTTGGCAGTTCGAATCTGTGCGATGGTGTGAGCTCCCATTGATCTGAGCCAGCTCCGGCCAAACTAGCAGTTCGAAAGCACGCCTGTGCAAATAGATAAACAGGTACCGCTGAAGTGGGAAGGTAAATGGTGTTTCCGTGCGCTCTGGCTTCCGTCATGGTGTTCCATTGTGCCAGAAGCGGTTTAGTCCTGCTGGGCACATGGCCCGGAAAGCTGTCTGTGGACAAACGCCGGCTCCTTCGGCTTGAAAGTGAGATGAGCGCCACAACCCCTTTGACTGGACTTAACTGTCCAGGAGTCCTTTACCTTTACCTTGTACCTGACTTGGTACCATCATCTCAACCTGTCTCCTCCAGAGCTGGACTTACACACTAACAGAGGGAAGTGCTGAGATGTCCAGGAAAAGCAACAGAGTTGGCACTCTGCTCCCTCTGTTTCCCTGCCTTATGTCTTCCACCAGAGTGACCAAAGCTGTTTCTGACCCATGGCCAGGTGAAGGGCTTTTTTCAGCCGGAACTTGCCGGAACTCAGTTCCGGCACCTCTCAGGTGGGCTCCATTGCCATTATAAGAGAACAAAGGAGGTGTTCATGGTGAGTTCCGGCACCTCTTTTTCTAGAAAAATGGCGCTGGGCTGGCCCAGGTGAAATGCCAGGCTGCAATGCACCCGATTGACCAGTACCTTTGAAAAATGCTGGACGTTGCCGTCACTGCCCCCACTACCTCCAGTGGTGACATGGGGTGTGTGACACACACACCCCCAAAAAAACCCACATTTCCTCTGAGATAAGCCCCATTGATTCTGATGGAGTTAACGTCAAAAGAAGCATTGCTTAATATTTCAGCCTGGTTTAAAATTCCCCGTGTGTGTCTAACTTGTCTGCGAAAAATAAATGTGCTTTCCCTCAGGGGTAACCACAGGGGTCCAGCGATGAAAAGAGGGGCTCTGCTTTTGGCGGGAAGCGAAAGAGCGCGCGCAGTCGCCCCTTTAGCGCTGGCCAAGTCTCCCTTTGCAAACGAGGCCCCGCGAAAGGTCGCTCGAGGTGGCCTCCTGGCTTCTCCCAAATGTTGCCTCCGAGGAGAGTGTCGGGTCTGAGCATGCGCGGGAGCCAGGCGGGCACCATCGGCCGCTTTCCAGTGTCTGCCGCTAAGCGCTGCTTTTTCTTTTTTTTTCACTCCAGCCTCGCTGGTGGCTTACGGGAGCGGCGGCGCAGCTTGCCGTGGGTTTCTCCGGGGCGTGGTCTCGGGCTTTGCCCCCTCCACCCAGCGACGCGATCCACGAGCACCCAAGGGTGGGGGAAAGAGGGGGACGTGGAGAGGTGGGGAGGAGGGGGGAGCTCCCCAGCCGCAGCCCAGGAAGACCTTCGGGACCCAGGCTGCCCCAGCGACGATGGGGCTGGAGAAAGAGAAAGCGGACACCAAGATCTTCATGGATGAATACGGCTTCAACCGAAGCAGCAGCCCCGCTCTGTCGGACGCGGAGAAGAGCCTGGAGAAAACCCCGGACAGGGACCCGCGCGGGATTAACACGCATCTGAAGGTGAGCGAGGCCGCCTGACTCGGGTTTGCTTTCCGCATCCACACGTTACCGTGTCCCTCCTCCACCTGTTTCTGCCGCTGCTTTGCATTGCAGCGATCGGGGCTCCCTCCCTGGGCCATGGACTGTTGATTCCATTTAAGGCGATTTCAACCCAGCCAAAGAGTTACAAGTCACCGTATTTTTTATTTTCTCTTTCCGGAGGTTGGAGGGGTAGCATGTCTTGTGGTGGTCCTACTACTACTACTACTACTATTGTTATTCGTTGGTACTTGTGCCGATCGACTTAAAATGGATCGGAATTGCATTTCCACGTTCTCTGCGGTGCATTAAAAAAAAAAACTAGATCCATTTCAGAACATTTGAATCGAAAGCGTGTGCCTGTTTGATTCAGCAGGATTCTTTCAGAACTGTAACAAAAGCAGCAGTTTAGCTTTGTGTTGGTTGCCCACTCGTCTCTCCCTCCCTTTGCATAACTGTCCTTGTTGCGTTTCAAAACAGAGGCTTATGTCGCTGCTTGCTTGTTGTGTCTCTCGTTCCAGCTGGGATTTGCGGATGTGATTGCGGAGCCGGCGTCCACGCATTCCTTCGACAAAGTCTGGATCTGCAGCCACGCACTCTTCGAGCTCAGCAAATACCTGATCTATAAAATCCTGACGCTCTTCCTTGCGGTCCCCTTGGCCTTTGTGGCAGGGATCCTCTTTGCTGTGCTCAGCTGTCTGCACATCTGGTAAGAACCCAGCTTCTTCTGTCTGCTGACATTTTTAACATTATCCCCTGTATGCCATATAGAAATAACACGATGGACTTTGGGAATTATGAGGAACCATCTTTCATGCTTCTCCTAGGAGTCCTACCCCTCGCCACCTCTTCAGATGGTAATTTTAGGGCCACTATTAATTATTTTATGTTAGTTTTGGGTAGCATTCTGACAGCTTCCGGATCCAATGGGAACTTACTTAAATGTGTGCAAAAGATTGCATTTTTAAAGTCCTCCTTTCCTTTGCACCACAATTGGAGTTGACCTTGCTCAGAAGTAAGACCAGGCCCATCCATTCCCATTGTTTTATTTCTGCACCTGACGGCAGAAATATGCAGACTTGACCCACTAAAAAGCATTGCTTTTGATGTGACAGCGGGTGACATGTTCTATCTTTGATGGCCATTCGCACATACAGATTGTTTCAGCTGCAGCCATCAGGTGGTGAGCAGGCACATGTGAGCCAGCCCTGTGTCCTTGCACATAATGGGATGTCAATGGAATTCTGCATCCTACCACACATGCCTAATCCTTGCATCACAGTACCTCTCTTAAGAAGGTCACTGTTCTTCCCATTTTACAGATAGGCTTCTGAGGCAAAGAGATAACTTGCCTGGAGCCGTCAGGTAAAGTTGATTCTGACGCAGGCCCGACAGGTTGGGATGCTACAGTGCTTCTTATGCATGTGAGCCCCAATCCTGCAAATAGATGTGTATATGTGAGGCAGTAATATGCACATTAAGAGCACCAGCCTCTCCATTCTGGCTTGGAGTGGCTAGGAGCCTGCCCACCTCTCCCCACGCTTCCTGGGCTGCTCCTCCACTGCTCTGGGTGGCAGGCAGGGTGGAACGCTGATACATCTCCTTGCTGTGGGCACAAGGGAGCTTAGGTGTGTGTCTGTGCCAGTCTCACCAATAACTGAAGTGCCAGAAAAAACCAGGAGGTGAAAATATGAACAGGCATTATGAGAGTTCCAGGACACATTCCAGCCAGGCAAAAATACTCAGTTCTGAGTGCCATTTGAAGAGACCCATGGCTGTGTCAGATTCCTGCATCTGAGGTTCCCCACCACCTCTGTCCTAGGTATTTGTCATTCCAGATTTTTGAGCTGCTGTCTCAAGATTCGTGCTGTGCTTCCCGTCTTGATCCCATGAGTCCATTTTAGCTTGCAGCATCCATTGCAGGGTGATACCTGAGCTGACTCAGCATGTCTGGTACCTGCAAAAGCACCACAATAGCTAAAGAAAACTGAGAGCATCCTGTGTGTTTCTGGCTGAGCTGTGGCCTGTCCCATGCTGACCTAGTTCCTTGCTTGATTATTTGCTCGTTGAAATGTATCGTTTCTTACTTTGATTTGATTTTATGGACCTTGTGGACACATTAAATGGGATTACCCTGAATCAAAGTGCTCAGCCCATTGAGCCCTCTGTTGTCTACTCTGGCTGGCAACCGCTGTCTAGGGTCTCAGGCAGCCCTCTATCCCATCATGTTCCACCTGATCCTTTCGCACTGCAATGGGGAACCTGTGGCCCACTGGCAGCATTTGCCATAATTTTGCACAGCTCAAAGAGATGGGGTGGCACAGAGATAGATTGGGGGGTAGAGGGAAAAGAGGAAGAGAGAGGTAGACAATGCTGCAATGCTGCTGACTCCACCCACTTTTTGCTATGACTCCACCCACCATGAGTTGACTTTTCCCATGGCTCAACAGCCCTTTGTAGGAAAGGATTCCCCGGCCTGCTTTCACTGGAGAAGCTGGAAATGAACATTGGGGACTTTTGCAAGTAATGTGTGTGCTCTACCACTGAAGTACAGCCCCCGCTCCACATAATTGGGACTGCATTTTCTAGTTGTAACCCTCTTTGAAATCGATCACTGTTTTATGTGTCTCCCCACACTGAGAAAGGAATCAAGAGTGCGATATTACAACTGGGGAGATTCATAAATTCATACTGATGCTCTTGTTCACAGTAATCAACATTTGACAGAAAGAATTCAGAGGCATGTATCGTCTGTATTTTGTAAGGGAGAGGCTTTGGGTCAGGGTTAACAACTATCAGAAATGAAAGCATTGAGCAAAATCGTATGAAAGGGCATCTGTTGCTTGTGCCAAGTATTTGCTAAATGAAAACCTATACCCTTGAGAGAAACACCATGCCATTGCTGATGCCCCATCACTTTGGTGCTACCGAAGAGACAATTGAAACAAAATATTTTAAAAGCGCATATTCGAAATCTTATTCAGTTTCATTTCAAAAGGTCACATCCCTCCCACCCAGCCATAACTGTGTACCCAACTATATTGACTATGTTGGAGAAGTTTGGTAATCACTTTGGATGAATGTGTCAACACAACCTTGGTCAAATGGCAGTGTTTAACCCAACTTGCATGCTTGAAACTCCCCCTGCCCATTTTATTCTAACAACAACCCAGTGAGGTAGATTAGGCTGAGAGGCAGTGACTGGCTCAAGGTCGCCCAGGGAACTTGGTGGCTGAGAAGAGGGGACTTGAAACCCTTGGCTTGTCCACACCAGAGTTTACTGTGTGATTGCCGCTATTCATCTTCCCATTTAATTTGCATCATCCCCATGACATTACCCTCAAAACACCACCAATGATTACACTTCCCCCCTGTGAATTTGGGTTTAACCAATAGGGGGATCATCCAATAAATGGGAGGAAATTGGGCTGAACTCAGGGTCACAGGCAGGCAATTTGTTTCAGTGTTTTAGGGTGAGTGGCTTTCTGCTTCTCTTTTGATCCCCCCAAACTGTGCAAGGGCTGACATGTGGATGAGAGGCTGCTTGCTCTTTCCACCAACCACTCCACGTTGGATGATGCTCTGAAGGAGGAGTACGGGCCATACTTGTACTTCTCTGCAGAATCAGGAGCCCTGAAGACACAAGGCTCAACCTTTGCCTAATATGTGGAGCTAGAGGTGTGTGTGGATTGGTGCAGGGTGAGGCCAGGAGGCAATTCCCACCCCCCACCCCTACAGAAGGCTAATATCGGCTGAGAGCAATTTATTAAAAAATGTTTGCGTCAATGTAGTGATTAGTAATAGGCCCAAATTGCTTGCCAGGATCAAATTTGGCTTTTATTACAAAGTACAAAAATTAAACAAGCATTATTTCATTTTATTGTTAAACACCTTAAAATACATTGAAAAACCTTTCAGGTGGCTTGTGTATGGATCAATCATCCTGATTTGAGAATGGTGGCTATTTACTGATGTGCTGATTTGCTTGAGGGGAGGTTACCCCACACTTTCCAGGGTGTGTTCCCATCACTTTCCTTATTGCAAAAAGTCTGATCTTCTGGGGAAGCAGATGTGTTGCACAAGGCCTGCCAATCAACTATCGTTGTGCAACCCAAATTTGCTGGTATGCGATTGACTCCTGCTCCCAAATAGCAACAGGCTTGAAGCGCCCTGGGAGAATCCTTGCCTGGTGCCAAAATGAGGTTGGTGCCAGCAAGGCCTCCCTAAGGAGGAAATTCCACAGGTGGAGGGGCCACTACCGAGAAGGCTCTGTCTGTGGTTGCCACCAGATGTGGGAACACTAGGACAAAAGCTTCTGAAGATGACTTGGATACACAGGCAAATTGGAATACATTTGATTGGGGTTCTTTGGTGCATTTGATATACAATTCAAACATCTGAAAAGCTAAAAGAGAAAAGACTTAGATCAATTTATTATTTTTTTCATAACAATGTCACTTAATGTCTTCCTGGTTTTCACCCTACAACGCCCCTGAAGAATGTACTCTCATTTCAGCTGTGCTTGTAAAAAAGAAAAAAAAATCCTAAAGGTGGAGTCAGGTGGGTGGAAATGTTGGGCCATTGTTCTTTTTTCCTGTGGAATCCCTTTGGTTTGGGAGCATGTAATTCTTGCTTGTTTTGAGGGCAGGGTAGTGAATTCCTCTCGAACACTCCCAGTGCCCTTTGGGAAAGAGCCAAAGCAACTCCACTGTGGGGGAGATTGCTAGATACCCTGGGCTTGGCCAGTTCCACAAGAGGCAGTTAATTCCAGCCACAATATTTTGTTTCTTCGGCCTGGAAAAGCGAGACCCTGTTATTAACCTGCCTCAGAACGATGTACGTTGGGAGGAACAACATTCTCCTGTGTGGAGAAGCGTTTTGGAAACCCTCCTTTAGGAAGCATTGCTGAAGTGCCAAGAGAGAGGAGTTGTTGCAGTGTTAGCATGCCAAAAATTTGCACAAGAGCTTGACCTCGCATTCCTTCAGCACCCAGAACTTTCTGTGACTAGAGAAGCAGTTGAGTTGCAGACCCATGTTGGAGGGCAGGATGTTTTACCTCTCTGTGGTCTAAATTTTGCACCTCTCCCCATCCACAGACAAGCCTTGTTACATTGGAAACAGAATTACGGTTTTGTTTTGTTTTTGGGGAAGGATACAATAGCATGCTTTAAAAAAATAATAATTAAGTGCTACTGTTACTGTTTTAGCATTCCTTGAACCTTTCCCCTCTGGCAGGTTTAGTTACATTGGTGGCCATAGTTACACTATCTGTTAGGTATGAAAGAACAATCTGAATCTGTGCCAGTACCAACCACCAGTTGAGTGAGCTGTTTGCAGGCTTGTTAAAAAGAAAGGTTGCCTCTCCACATTCCTCTGTTGCTTTGAATGGATCTTTCTCCTTTCCTTTTGGCCGTAGACTTAAATCAAGGAAGAAATGTCAAGAAGCACATTACATGTCCTGCATGAGTATTTGCCTATGTGTTGCCTATGCGTTACTTCTGAGTAAACAACGGTAGCAAGCAACTGCAAAGCGGAAATTTGTGGGCTATGAATATATTGTAGGCATTTGTCTTTTTGTGGATTTCTCTGTAAATCCAGCTTTGTGTTGGGGTGCTAGAATTCAGCCATGCCCAGGATTTCTCAAACCATACCCTGAGCAAACGTGTTGGATCAATTTTGTGCATAATAACAATAATTCTTTTTAAATTTTATTTAACAAACCATGAGAATAGTAGAACTTAATGGCTGGTGTTTCAGAAAGTGTCGTTCATTTAAACTTTCTCTTTTCTCTTTTCTAGGATTGTGGTTCCTTTCACAAAGTCCTGCCTTATGGCTTTGCCCTCTGTGCAAGCTGTATGGAAGAGTGTGACAGATGTTTTCATTGCACCGCTATATCACAGCGTAGGAAGGTGCTTTGCATCAGTCGACATACGCCTTGTCCAAGAGTGAACATCTGGGAACTAACGCTACTCTAGTCTTAAACAATGTTAAACCTCCTTGCTGAATAATTCATTCCAAATTACTACTGTTTAAATGGCTGACTTTTTTTTTTTACCTCTTCTTCCATCAGGGTTGCACTTTTCTGGAAACAAAGCTTGCTTTGGGAATGGGGAAAAATTGTTAAGAAAAAATGATTCCATTTTCTAAATGAAAAATAACAGGCTGCATTTGGCATCACTTTATTTTAATGGTACTATCATTGTCTGGTCCCCACAGATGTGTCATGGGGACTTACATGACCACATCACATATGCCTGCCCAGACATGTATTACTACAATGAATCCTAACTACAAGAAGTCACTGTGCACTGTATCAACTAAAACGGTATCTATTGTATTACCCAATTTCTTTGACAGCTAATACCTGGCCTATTTTATGCATGTTTTACTATACAGCTCACTCTCAGAATTCTAAATGTATCCAGAATATTGTTTGTTACTCCTGGGGGGAAAAAATCTTCATCTGAATCCTAATTTAAGTCTTCTCTTTCAGCAACAGCTAGCACCCTATAAAACAAAGGTAAGGAACATCTGGCCCTCCAGCTGTTGCTGCACTAATCTACAGCTCCCATCATCTCTGACCATTGGTCATTCTAGTTGGGACTGATGAAGTCCAGCACTGTCTGGAGGACCACGGGTTCTGCAAACATGTTCTAGAATCAATCAAGTCTACTTGGCATAAACCTACCAGCAATACTTGTAGTCTCTCAGATCCAGTGGCTTCCAGTGCACTAAGTGCACAGCTCAAGGCCAGATTGAGTCCGTCTGGGTGCCCTTGGTCATTAATGGGATCTAGGGACTTGGGCCATAGTTGGAGTCTCAAAAGCAGCAGGTAGGGAATCCATATTGGTCAGGCAAGGGCCTCGGCTAATGTTTATAGCAACTCATAAGCATTGCCAAATGCAGGGATCAATGCTGCACTTCCCTCCTCCCTTCCATGCTTAAAGAAAACCATTGGATGTCTGAAGACCTATTCCTTAGGAGTTCATTAGTCTCAGACTAATCTCAGACTCAAATAATGAGAATCCCAGTTCAGACACCGGAACCCCTGACAACATGGTGCTCAACCATGTTCCAAGATGCCCATGGAGGAATGCAGGCAACTGCTCTTTTTTGACCCAGTGAATTGAGAAGCTCATACATTAGCTCTATATTTTGCATACATGGGATATGGGGTTCTCAACTGGGGTAACAAATCACACCACCCCTAAAGGGCTTTGCTGAAGATTGCCCTCTTATTGCCTCGGGGTGGTGGGTTACATTTATGTGGCATTTTCTTGATCATAGTGTAACTCTTGGGATTTTATGAGGTTCTTCTGCAGATGTGGACACAGTTCAGGATCCACAGAATTGTGTGCACAGATTTATACAATACTGTTGCATAAGGGAATTAAGTACTTGCCTACTATGCAAACCAGTAAGAATCAAAAGGAAGGGAGAAAGGTTACTTCAAAATTACGGTAACTGTTTGAAACAAGGTGTTAACTTGGGTAGAAAATCTTGATGCTTTTATTTAATGAAACTCTTTTGCTGTACATATTGTGTTTTTATGTAAATGGTATGTAACGAATTGCCTTGAAGTCTTATTTTTACGGTCTCCATATTCTTGCCAAGCTTTTATTTTAAAGAAGCAGGATGCTTCAGCCAATCACCTGCTCATCACTCTGTAAGTGCCATGCATACAAGTCCACAAAGGTTTCTTGAAGGGAGGAGCTACTGAACTGCCTTCTCCACAAGAACCTGAAGCAGAATCCTGTTGTGCCTGAGACAGTAGTAGAGCATTCCACATGGAAGTGGGTATTCTCTGCTTCTGATCTCCCCAGATTTCTTTCCAAAGAGGGCTGTGTGTGGTTGTAGGTATATGGCCTATGTTCCCCACTTGTGCAGTTTTTGTGCATGGAGATACTAGCATGAAATAATTTTGGGTGCCTGAGAATCTCTAGAGGGAGGTCAATGACCTTTTAAATGAGTGGGGTTTGTTGTCTAGATTTTGAACTGAAATGAAAATCACTGAAATTCTGATATGCAATTCATAAATACACCAAATACTCTGTATGATTCCACTTTGAGACCTAAAGGCTGTGTTCTAAGCTATGCCAAAGATTCTGAACAAAGACTCTGTATTTTCAAAGTATTTTTATTAAAATGGTATGTTGAACATTTGAGCTTTTCTGCCTTTGTTGTTTAGCAGCAACACTGTTTAATAATTCACATGATAAACATGTTCTCTTGCGGAAGAAAAGAGGTGCATTTAAAAATTCTGTTCTCAAATCTTTGCTGTCCCCAAGCTTATTGACTCTCAGCCATGTTACTTGAAACCCTAATAACAAAGGTTATTTTCCATGCATTTAATGCAGCTTCAATAAATAGTTTTATATGCATGCCCTGACCCAAGCAAATTGTACTTACTTTGAACTAAACTGATGTTGTATGAATAATATATATAAGCACAAAATAGTAGACTAAAATTTATTGGGTGTTCTAAAAGACAAATGTGCTACTACCGGAAGACATGGATCCCCCCCCCCCATTAAAAGTAAACACTTTTGAGTTCTTCTCCTTGGTCTAAACTAGGGCTGCACCACCATGTGCATCTACCTGCCAGTAAGTCTCATTTAACACAGTGGGATTTGGCTTGAAGTAAACATGCCTGGGATTGGGCTTCCCAATTGCAGTTCTATGCCTGTGTCCAGTTCCATATAATTTATTTATTAAATTGCTTTTTAAAAAAATAGAAATGTCTAAGCAATTCATATAAAAAAACAATTTAAGGGGGATTGCACACACATTCCAAATTATCAAGTGTATTTTAGCAACCATAAATATTTTCAGAGCAGAGCTACTGCCTGACTATTTTTCACACCCTTGTTCTCGATTTTTCCAGGCAAAATTCAACCTTAAAACATGAAAACGTACAAAGAGCCTTGCTCGGTCAGCCCAGAAGCCCAGCTGGTCCTGTATCCTGTTCTCAGTGACCAACCAGGTGCTTATGGAGACTTTCAAGCTATAAAGCCCATCACAGTTTGGGACTAGGCTTGGGACTAGGCTGCCTGTCTCCACATGTGCCTGCTTGTACAGTGAGATCTTGAACAGATGCCCTCCTTTGAGTGTCCCCACCTTCTGAGTTGTAACAGGAGCCTACCAGAGAAAAGGTTCTTAGAATAATAGAATTGTAGAGTTGGAAGGGACCTGGAGGGTCATTCTGCAGTGCCGGAATCTCAACTAAAGCATACATGGACTGCTCACCCCATGGATGGGGCTTGCTTGGCACCTACATTTTGCTGCCATGTGAAGCCAGTTTTGTCCTTCCAGGCCCATTTATGTGGGGGGTTTTTAATCTCTGCTGAGTTTTTATGCTGCCTTTTAAATAGACTGCCTAGACTGACCACATAAGCATCTCCAAAACAGAAGAGCCACATCACCAAACAATGAGACAAAGGGGGCACAGATTTGCCTAAGATTTGCATGCGCTAATTGATATGCATAGATGCCATTTTAGAAATAGTTGCCGTCATTTACATAGAAATTCAGTAAATCTCACCAGGGTGGGGAATACTGTGGTCTTGTGTTTCTGACCTGTCTGCTCTTCAGCAGCTAACGGTTGATGAACAACTTGCTCTTCCTGCATGTGGTTCTTTATATTTGAACTGGGTGCAGACCAGACAGCCCTTCTAACAGAAGACACTGTCAGATAGAAAACCGTCCTCTGTAAAGTAGGGCACACAGCCTCCTATACTTTGCTATGTTCAATTTTGCTTTGTATGTTCATGCTTTGTTGCATTTTTATTTATTTAAGGCACTCCTTAACTGCCTATCGAAAATGTATTCCCCCCCCCAAAAAAAAAACCTGGTACAAATATAAAGACATCCAAAATTCACAATCTAGGTTGCAACACCCTTTACAACAGAGCTTGGTGGGTATTGAATTGAGGGGAGTGTCCCTCTGCTCAGCTCCACCCAAAAAGGGATGCTAGTGTCCTCCACTAACGTAGAGCATCTCGTTCCACCTGACCAACAGGCAGGCAGGAGGATCCCTGGTAGCGTTAGCTCACAGGAAGCCCCCAAATAGGGCATTCCATGGGAGGAGATGGTCTGAACATGCCTGGGATCCACTGAATGCTGAGCCAGCCCCACTGCTGTCACTTGATGGCATCAGGCCTGATTGGGGTCTGATTCGTGTCCCTCTCCAGATTGATGCAGCAGTTTGCCTCTCCCTGTTGTCTTCTGCCCTGGCTGGCATGAACAAGAGTGGAAGATGTGACCGTGTTTTGGCTGTTTCATCACTCCACACCAGGCAGTGATGAAACAAGAGATATGGACTGTCCTGAAAGATAAATGAAACTGCCAACAGCAGTACAGTACAGTCATTTAATCTCTGGCCCACAATCCTGTTGCAAAATATAAAATCTGAACTCAGCCAAACAACACACAGGCAACAATATTTTGTGTGGTAAGTTGCATTTAGGAAAGTTTTAAGGGTGGGGTAGAAATGGCTAAGGGATGCGGGTGGCGCTTTGGGTTAAACCACAGAGCCTAGGACTCGAATCCCCGCGACGGGTTGAGCTCCCGTTGCTCGGTCCCTGTTCCTGCCAACCTAGCAGTTCGAAAGCATGTCAAAGTGCAAGTAGATAAATAGGTACCACTCCAGCGGGAAGGTAAACGGCGTTTCCGTGCGCTGCTCTGGTTCACCAGAAGTGGCTTAGTCATGCTGACCACATGACCCGGAAGCTGTACGTCGGCTCCCTCAGCCAATAAAGCGAGATGAGCGCCACAACCCCAGAGTCAGCCACGACTGGACCTAATAGTCAGGGGTCCCTTTACCCTTTACTAGAAATGGCTATTTCTATTACCGTACATTGGCATTTTACGAGTGGCAAAATTAATTCCTTTGCACTTGGAAGGATGACAGAGGTGACCAAGCTACCATAGGGTAGAATAAGGTTACCAGATTTTTTCAGTGAATCCGGGGACACTTTTCAACTTGAATGGATTTTGTATGGGGACTGATGTGTAAATCCAGGGACTGTCCCCAGGAAACGGGGATATCTGGTAACCTTAGGGTAGGAAGGTCACCAAAGGGCTGTTTTGACATCTGCTGCTGGGGCTTAAATAACCAGTATACCAAATGAGATGTACACCATGGTAAGTTACCAGATGATAATGGGCCTCTGTGTCTGTATCTACATCTGTATCCACCCACCCTGTTCATTCTCAACACTAAACTATCTGCAGTGAGTCTGAAAGATCTCAGTGGGACACAGGAAAGGGAGCGGCCTTTAAAGTATGGAACACTGAACCAACAAGATGGAAATATAAAATAATAGGAGTTTTGCAGCATCATTCTTCTTCAGGCTACCTTTTCCACTCTCTTTCTCCCAGACACAACCAGCAGCCACACCCTGGATTCCATGATTCCAACACAAGGAAAATAGCTCGCAGGGGTGTGGGTGTGGGTGTGTGGTTCACCTCCATCAACGTTCCTAGAATGTACAATGTAATTTTGGCAAAACAAGGGACAGGACTTGGCCCTTCATGTACATTGTAAAAGCCCAAGCCTTATTCCTGGTTTTATTATAATTACCGACAAATACAATCCATCCTAGTAAAACTTCTTTTTTATCCTGGCACTGCCGATATGTTTGCATCAGCATCAGTAATAATAATAATAATAATAATAATAATAATAATAATAGGGCACACATAATCTGGAGGCTGTTTATTGGCATGCTTTTTTCCTTTTGTCACCCACCTACAGATGACTCCAAACTTCGGAGGCAAAAGCTGCTGCATGGAAGAAAAAAGCTTTTGAAACTGTTACTTCGGGTGAATGTAAAAGAAAGCCCCATGAATCCACATGTATTATATTATTCTTTATTTCCATGGCAGAAGCACCAAGGATCCTCGTGATCGCTCATAAACCCTGACTGAATCAGGCTTCTGGTGTTCATGGGGAAACCACGCAAGACACGGGGAGGCGGCGATTGGAAGGAAGCGGGAAAGGTCCTTCTTCTTTCTCCAAACCAATTTTTTTAAAAAAAAAACCCGGACGCGCAAAGTCAACACGGCGTCGGTTTTCTTTAACCAGACACTAACCGCTTGCCCTCGGATAACTCAGGGAATAAGCGTGCACATGTGTGTACTTCTACGGTCGCTGCAACTGGCAAGGAAACAAGCATCGCCTGAGGCTTTTCCAAAAAGAGGGAAATTAGCAGCAGAGCGCAGAGCGCGCGTCCTGTTTGTGTGGATTTTACCCTTTCCAACCCCGCGCTGCTCCTCGAGCCTTGGGGATGTGCCGAGATCTCCCAGCCCTGTCCTCCAAGTCTAGAGCTGTAGCGGGGAGAACAAACCCCTGGCGCCCAGCCAGGACTCTAACTTAGAGATACCGCCCACTCGGCAGTCTTCTGTTTGTGTGCGTTGTTGGGGGGGGGCGGTTGTGGTGTGTGTGCGTGCGCGGTAGGTTTTTTTCCCCCCACTCCAACAATTCCGGATCTTCCTTCGTCGGATCTTTTAAATTACCGGTCAGTAACGCCCTCCGCAAAGCCTCGAGCAAGCCCAGGACAGCATGTCTGGGAGCAAATACGTAGACTCCGAGGTAGGGCATGCTTTTGCAATGTTTCATTCTTTTCGCGAAGCTGCTTTGCGTTCCTGGCACAGAGTACCTGCTTGCGCCAGCCATCTCTTGAGTGCTCTTGGCTCGTCCCTTATCTCCTGTTCTCCACGGTGGAGCCCTTTCCAGAGCTGGAACTGCAAAGCCTGTTTTCAGGGCAATCGGGGGTTATTTGTCTGTGTTGTGCTGGTAATCTGATCTCCTGGACGGGCACTTGTTTTTTCTCTCCCCCCCCCCCCGCCTCCCTCCGTGCGCCCTTCGCTCCCAGAGAGAGCCTTCCTGCTTAAACCGCTTCCCCCGCAGCATTTCCAAGGCTGTAGTGGCGCCCACCCAGGCTTAGGGAAAACTCTAGAGTAAGTTGTTGGTTTTTTTCCGGGGGGGGGGGTGTTTTGCAAATATGTTCTCTGTCACTGCCCAGTGCAAAGAAAGGACTGGGGTTTCTCTCTCACTCCGCGCCACTCCACCCCGGTCTCGGTTACTTCTCACAAGGCAGGAGAGGGAATCTACTGGAGAGCGTCTCCAAAGCTAAACTTGTAACGAGTGTGCAAAAGGCATTTCTTCTTAAGGGGAGCTGCAGTTTGCTAGTCTGGAGAGTGGCGTGGAGTTCGGATTTTCTGAAAACGAAAGCGGCTCGTCTTCGGGCGACGGCGCAACCCAACCGACTTGCGCCAAGAGCATTCAGATTTGAATGGGTTTCGAGAAATCTGTGGGTTGTTGTGGGTCAGGTTGGGACAGCACTCTTTCACCTTAACTTTAGAAAGGTCCTTTTATTTTTATTTTTATTTTTTAAAAGGAGGAAGCGGAGTGAGGGACGGCTGTCAAGCAAGCGACTCTTTGAATGGGTGGCATTCCAGGGAGGCACGATTAGAGGGACTTTTAGAGCCCCGTACTAACACTTATCGCGGATGAGTTCTGCCTTTAACCGTCTTGCGTCCTCCTCCCCCGTCCATTCAGAGATGAATCCTAACGCTTGTGAGGGTTTACTCCTGAATGGACCCAAGGATGAGGTATTTGTTCTGGATTAACGGATCCGGAGTACGAGGGGTGTTAAATCGTCGTGGCCTCATTGCAGGAGACGCTTTTTCCCCATCCAGCCTTCCTCCCAAGGCAAGGAGCGCTCTTCCATGCCAACATGTTGGGGTTATTTAGTCAACGGTGCGGGGAGTTGTCCTCTGTCCCATTTACATCCCCGTCTCGTCTCGCCTTTGCCTTCCCTTCTCCTTTTGCTGGGGGCATTCAGGGGGTGCCCTGGGGTGCTTACTAGGGTGCCCCCATTTGCCACTGAAAATGCTGGCCGCTGCTGCGATCTTATGCGCTCTTTCTTATGAGCGGGCCTCCTGGAACTTGCTGTCGAATGGAAACGCGCGTGGGATTAGGCTGCGCGGTGGCGCGCCGGTTGGCAGCCAGCGCAAGAGCGCAAAGTACTCCGATGCGCGTGAAACGCGAGGCGGGCAAGGTGCCAAGTGTCCCAGCTGATTTGTTGGGGGCAGGGAGTCCCCCCCCCCTTTGCTTTATTAAGGGAGAGCTCCCTGCAAGAGGAAACTTGGGGATTCCAAGCTGCGAATTCTCCAAGCGCGTGAACAGGGGCGCGGCGGCTGCGCCCTCCCCGGCTGCAAACCTGCCCAGTTCTTGCGCGCGCCAGGAGAGGACCCCTGGCGGCGCGAGCGGGAGTCGCGGCTCTGCCTGGTACCGAGGGGTGTGGTGTCAGATACTTTCTGTCCATTTAAAAAGCCAGCCTCTGGGGCATTCGCTGGATGAAGTTTCCCCAGGCTCCGCGCGCTCTCCCTGACCAGTGCAGCATAGACAGCCGCTCTCTGAACGTCCGATGAGCGAGTGGGATTTTTTGGACGTGCATCCCCTTCCCAGGACCGCGCCGTTCACTTAGTAGTCGCATCGGATTCACTGACCGCTTTCCCACACCCCTCCCTTTCCAGGACTTTCTTTACACAGCGCCCATCACCATCAGGGAGCAAGGCAACATCTACAAGCCCAACAACAAGGTCATGGCAGATGAAATGAACGAGAAGGAGTTCCATGACGTTCACACCAAAGAGATTGACCTGGTCGACCGAGACCCCAAGCATCTCAACGACGATGTGGTCAAGGTAGGAAGTCCAGAACTTTTCTCAAACCCACAAAAAAAGGGGGGAACCCATCCGAATCTGATCAGAAGACATGCTGGGCTGTGGGTGGGGGTGGGAGAGAGAATGAGACTGGTTGGTATGGGATGCTTGGAGCAGGACTGGTTTTGGTTTGGAAAATCAGCCCAAAAAACAGATGGTGCTGGGGGCTTTTTAAGGAAACAGATCACATTTGTGATTGCTTTTTAGCAAAACACTTTAATTCTCTGTCCGCTAGAATGTTTGAGAACTCCACACAGTACCTTTGCAAACTTTTAATAAATTAACAGCATGTTCAGAAAATCTCATGAAGGAAGCATATCCTGTTTCAGAAATGGAAGCTTCTTCCTATTTACTTTCTAACGGAGCCTTCATTTGAGGCTATTTACTGGATTTTTCCAGTGTGGTAGGCTTGATAAACATAGTTATGGAAGAGCTGGGTACAAGCTCCACCCCTTTTCATGGAGGGATTATGTACCTTCTGACAAGTCCCTGCTTTTTAAACTCAGCTGCCCTTCCATAGCCTCGCAGTAATGTGAATGTGAACATGACATAGATTGCAAAGTACCTTTGTAAGTGAAAAACAGGAGCAGCAGCTCTTGCACGAAAGCCATTTGTTTAGGTCTCTGTAGGAGAAAGGCTGCAATCCTGTTTACACTTGCCTGGGAATAAACCCCATTAGATACAATGGCCCTTACTTCTCAATACACACACATTGGATTGCACTCTTGGACTGCGATCCTAAACACACTTACTAGAGCAGTGTCGGATTTACATATAAGCTAAACAAACTATAGCTTAGGGCCCCACTCTCTTGGGGGCCCCAAAAAAATGTAAAGGAAAAAAAAACCTGGGTGTTCATTTCCAAAATATAAGATAAAAAACAAATAAAATAAAACCTACATACAGTAACAGTGTTTTGTGTTGTGTAGGCTCATGTGATGTAAGTAATGGGCCCCGCCTGCCAGCCTGCTCCCTAAAATATCACTGGTTTGCTGATTTCTATATGGCTTTAGATGCCTATTAGGTCCATAAATTACCATATAGCATCTATTCGACACAAAAAACAGTGACAATTTATTGTTGACGAAGGACAGCTGGACATATAAAGGGCCCCATTACCTTCAGTAGCTTAGGGCCTCATCAAACTTAAATCTGGCCCTGTACTACAGACTCAGTCCCATTGGACTTGCTGGGACTTGCTTCTGGGTAAACCTGCTTGGGACTGCACTTTTGATCAATGTTTGCGTTGATTTCTAGGCATGACGGATAATGTATATTAAAATGACTGTCGCTGTGTCAGCCTATTAACATAAGCAGTGCATTTTGCTCCCATGCAGGGGTGCCAACTGGAGTAAAATATTGACGGTGCACAAACACCATTTGAATGGCAATGCTCATCAATTTTGGGGGGGGGCTGACCCCCTAAAATATTGTATTGGGGGAGCCAAAGGGGCTTGGCCCCTAGGAGTTGGCTCCTTTGTTCTCATGCATAGCTAGAGTATTACTTGGTCCCAAAACATAACTTCTTCAGGTTGCCTGACTAAATAGGAAAAAAACATGTTTGTATATTTTTCTCATTAAGTATCAGGCTGCCCACAAGGGCTTGGCTTCAGAAGGCGGGGCTAGGAGCTTTTTGGGGGTTTTTTAAGGAAGGCCGTAATTTGCCACTGGATGCTGAAGAAAGAAGAGAATAATAAACCTGCAATATTTTGTCATGTTTTGATTATTTATTTAATCTGACAACATTTTTTTTAAAGAAATGCTTTGGGGGGGAAATACTATTGCTTGCAAAAAAAACCCCTACAGGTGGCAAACATCCCCTTAGAGACACTATTCCCTTTTCTCGCTCACATAGAAGGGAATGTCAGTTCTAAGATTGTATTACAGCACACAAAGGCATAGTCGGAAAAACAAAACAAAAACCCTGTGAACAATTGCTTACCGTATACAAATGTAGGCAGATTTTGGCTGCAGTCCTATGCACATTTACCTGGGAGTGAACCCAGTGGAACTTTCTTCTGAGTAAGCACAGGATTGTGCTGTTAATCAGTGAATCGATTGATTAAAACTTACGGAGTATATTGTCTGAGATTGATTTCTAACATGTCGCAGCCTCAGGGAAGATTGGAGGGCTTAACTGGGGTGCAGACTCTCTGGTTTCATTTTCATGGTGCTCAAATCACGCTACTTTGCTCCTCCCTTTGCTAAGCCAGGAATAAACAAATCACAGCTCTGGGTTAATGCTATGTCTCCCAAAGAAGCCATGAGCATCTGCCATGAACACTGATTTGTACATAATGCTAAGCCAGCACTGTGGTCTGTTGCTTTCCAGCTGCACAAAAGGGAGGAATAGGGATGAGCATAATTTGAGCAACAATGGGCCAACCCGCTGCTCATTCATGGTAACCTGTAGTTTGTTTCACACGATGGCTTACCCTGAAGGGCCCAATGTTAATGAACTGGGGGAGGGGGTAGAAATCATTTATTCCATTTCTCAACTTCAGGGGTGAGTATTAGCAATTATGTAGCCAAAATGGCACCACACCCACTCCACAATATAAAGAAATAATTTAAAAGCTCGTTGCAAAAACAGGGGGACAATAAAACCACCCCAAAACAAAATCAATGATGACTGAGTATGTTCAGGGGTCATGAAATGCTGGTTGGATGTTTAGGTGCGGAACAGAAAACTGGGAGGGTGGGCAAATGGAATGGAGTCTCCTGGAAAGGGTATAGCTGCATGGCTGGAACCCTGAAACAGGAGAATTGCACTTTTCAACATTTTGTTGCAAGCCTCACTTGTGTGCTTATTCTGTTATATGGACCTGACTTTCTACAGAATCGTTTTTGCAAAAGCATTGCTTTATTCACAGAGAAGGGAGCACAAAGACAATCTGCCTTACCCAAATGTAGATAAAAGAGGGGCAGGGCAGGGGATCCTTTTTCCAAACTAAAAATGCCAAAAGGAGAAATCATTAAGTGAATTGGAGCAAAGGCCCTTCTGGATCTCTTGTTAATTTTGTAAATGTCACATTTATACTAGTCCAATGTATCTGGGTCAATGGAAAATACTATCGGGGCCCATCTAGGTCAGGGAAAATCATGGATGTAATCCATTCCTGGCAGAGGCACATCATGCTGCAGATGTGATGGCCAAAGATGGTTTGTAGTCCAAGTTTTGCTGAACTTCTGGAAAACATATTTCTGCAACTCACTCACTGTAAGCAATCTGATGTTGCAGTGCTACATCATGAAGCCTCTTGAGTGAGAGAAGAAACCTTTGCATCTAGGATGGGGGGACTTGTTCCCATCCCAGGTGCTGGGTGATTCTCCATTTTCTGTCTCAGATAGATATCTGTAAGGTTCCACCTGCCTAGTGGAGGTATTGTGGAGAAAAATAGTTTATTCTGTTGGCGTAGAGGTAGGAAGTAGCTCCTTTCTATAGGCTGATTAGCAACAGTATGTTTGCTTGCAGAACCAGACCTTCCAAGTTTTCTAAGCCCCATCATTCAATCTAAAGTGTTGAAAGGGCCACAGCTCAGTGACAGAAGTCCATTGACTTACTTCTGAGCAAACTTGCATAGAACTAGACTCTTGATATCTTAGGTTTCTCACTATTAGGCTACCTTGGCCTGCAAAAAAACTGCAAAAGTTAAAGAATTGTGCAAAACAAAGCACAAGAAAACAGGTTGAATAAATAATATAATCTTTCTCTTTTAGGAAGAGAAAATAAGTCTGAGAAGGGGAGTGTTTAGGGAGTGAGGAGAATAACATATTTTCTAACTCATTCTTCAGCATCAGCTGAGGTTCCCAAAGCAGCAAAACCTTCTGAGGATTAGTGATATGTGCAAGGCTGAAAGGAATCTAGATAGCTCTCAACAACATTACAGAATGAAAAAAAAAGATGGATCCTACTGGGAATAGGAGGCCAATCACTGATGAGGAAAAAGCACATATCTTTAAGGAAATGTTTGCAAGCATCTCTCAAGGGAGAGATCAAAGATGTCAGTTATATCCTGCGTCCCAAAGGAAAATGAGAACATTGGGAACAACTTCAGATAGTGGACCCTCTCAGAAACAAAAGATATTTTCCCCAACTCAAGATTCTTATTTTCATAATTTACGTGCAGCAGTTAGTTTGCAGTTACATATCCAAACTGCTGCTGTAGGAAAATGCCCTTTAGGTGGCTGTAATTGGGAAACAGCAGCAGTAATGCAGTGCTGAAGCTTTGAATCCAGCTGAGGTCTGGTCTGTATGAACAACAGACCAAACGCAGAAGTTGTGTGTGTATGAATTGTCCCTGCTCTACAAAACAAAACAAAAACTCAATCCTGAATGCAGAAAATGAGCATGTCAGGGAAGTGGCTAGACTTCAAACCATTCTTCCACAAATTTAATTTACTTCTTCATGTATATTTGTGGGAAGACTTGCTCATTCAGATGTATGAGCATCTACCTCTACTCTGAAATGAAACACTCTTGAAGTAACAACCAAGAGACTAGTGGGACTTTTAAGATTAGCAAAGCTATTGTGCCATAAACGTGTGTGGACTAGAGTCCATTTCAACAGATATGATGCCTAGGAACAGTTTTACCACATAATCTGTTTGTGTTGAAAGTTACAGGGTGGCCATATTTCCAAACCTTTATGGTACTTGGCCTAGAAATGAATAAATCAAGTTCTGTTTTCCAGTGCACAAAGCTAACCCTGAGTTTGTAGCCCTGTTTATTTGACATAGGTTCCCTTCACGCCTCTAGCTAGAAATACGGTACTGAGAACCACAGGGTGGGGAACCAAGGATGATATAATTGCAACCAGAAGAATATCCCTACAGATAGCCTTAAATGTATAAAACGAGTTACTTGTATTAAACACTAATAAAATAATGCAATTTTATTATAACATTTGGAAACGAGGACCTAGCACATGTCATTTATCCTGTCGGATTAACTAGGCAGACCACTAAGACATGGAAGCAACAATTCTTTCTTTGTGAGCCACTAGTTACTGTCTTTACATTTTCCCTTATATCACCACAAAGTGAAAGTGCTAGAGACTTGGTGTGTGGGAAAGAGATAAGCTGAACTATCAAGAGCTTGGAATATTTCTGAGGGGAGCAGGTCCATACAGGCCTTTCTGTGGCTACTGCCCTGGTTTCCTGGAATGTGGAGTTCTGGGTAGGCCTAACTTGGTGCAATTTTTCCCCCCAGGTGTGGCAGATGTGAGAATAACTCATGCTTCAGCATACCAACAAAAAGAAAGTAATATACACATCACAAATATTATTATCTCTTAAGGGAGCAGCCTGGCCAGACTGACTGTCAAATAACGTTTAAGGGGAAGGTAGACAGCTGATCTCTTGCTTCAAACCACAGCTTCTTTACTCAGGCCTGTCGCAGCATGGCTCATGGTATCCCATAGCGACTGTCAATTCTGGGCATAGCACCAACGTGTATCAGTAATTAAGGTCCGACAGTCCTCTTTTTGCTATGTGGTTCTGGGGTATTTATCTCAGTGGAAGCCTGAGGGGAGCCCTTGAAGTGTTAATAATAAGGTCACCCTGAAGGTATATATTCAAGATCCTAGAAATAGATCAACCATCCTCTAAGTGCAGGGCTGGCTCCAGATTTGAGGGAGCTTTGGAAATGTGGGCACCCTTTTCAACCACCGGGCCCTTGGCTGCCATTTTAAATTTCCCACAATGCCCCAGAGCAATGCAGCATCTGGTTCTGCAGTGAAGTGTAGGAAATTTAAAATGGCAGGTGGCTTCCAGGGCCAGCCCAGGTATCCCAGGGCCAGCAGCTGTTTGAGGATGACTGGTGTTGATCCTGACCCTGTGGTCATACAAACAAGAGTGGTTAAAAACGTGGACGTTTCCAGCTTTCAGTGTTGTGACCTTCAGGTGAAATGGCAGTTCTAGCGACTGATAGTATGGAAATTAGGATTAGTCATTTTTCCATATCTGTTAACACAAAATACAAAAGTGCAACCAGGCTTAATTGCCATAATTTTTTTTAAAAAAAACTATATTCAAAGTCTGGTTTTTGCATGTGTCACACCCCTGCTTTAACTTTGAATCCTGCTACCCCACTCACGCCCATTTCTGAGCATTTTAGCTATTTGTTCAGAGCTTTTGCATTTCTTGTCGCTCGCTCCGTGCTGACACCTACACAGTGCCATAAAAGCAAAGCCAACCACAGAAGACAAATGATTAGGCTGGGGACAAGGAATCTGCTCTGTAAGCAGTTCATGAAATGGCTTCAGCATTTTTTTAAAAAATGCCTCGTAACTCATAAAAAGCAGGGGATGTGCTCCCGCGATGTGCATTGCAAGGTGCTACATAAAAGTCTATTGCACCTGAGGTTTCAAAGCTGAAGACGAATAAGCTTCGAGGCAGAGGTGAGATATATACAAGTAATAGGAAGCCAAACAAGTTTCTGAAAGGATCGTGCTTCCTTTAGCTTGGTAACCACTGCCAGGGCAAGATGGGGGCTGTATCCTCAGGTGAGCCTCCTTCCTGTGTCAGGGGGCCTTAGCTGGCTTACCTGGCTGCACTGGCAGTATTGGGCAGCTGGCTCTATCCACTGGCTCTATCCACCTACAATTCCTAAGCTGGCTTACCTGGCTGCACTGGCAGTATTGGGCAGCTGGCTCTATCCACCTACAATTCCTAAAGTGATGCCTACCCAGGGGCATTGAAGGAAAGAGAAGGATGGCTAGATCTAGCTACCTGGCGCTCCACAGACTGCCAGGCTGTAAGAATGGCCCACCGGCAGTGGACTCTGGCATGGCTCTGGGGCCCTGGCAGCTGCCCAAAAGTGCCAGGCTGCTATCTCCTGCCCTGGCCACTTTGAATTTGGGGGCATTGCCTGGGTTTTTAGGAGGTTTGGCTTCATTTCCCCTTGCTCCTCCTCGTGGCTCATAGAATAATAATAATAATAAATTTTTATTTATACCCCACCCTTCCCGTTTCAGAAAACTGGGATCAGGGCAGCTAACAACAAATTTAAAACACTTAATTGAGGCAACAAAAAACAGCATAAAATACAGTATAAAACGTGAATAACAATAAATTCAGAATACAAAAAATCATTTATTTATTTTTGCGGGGGGAATCCATCCAATAAACATTAGATGATCACCAGGGCTAGCTGACTAAATTAGTCCTATTTGGGCCAGTGAGGAGACCAGGGGAGAAGTAATTTTCATAAAAAGGGGAGGGAGAGGGAGGGAAGGAAGGGGAATAAAAGATCAGGCTAAGTTCAAATTGAAAGCCAGGCGAAATAGTTCTGTCTTACAGGCCCTGCGGAAGGAAGTTAAATCCTGCAGGGCCCTGGTCTCATGGGACAGAGCATTCCACCAGGTCGGAGCCATCACTGAGAAGGCCCTGGCCCTGGTGGAGGATAATCTGACTATCTGACTTCCTTAGGGCCCAGGACCTCTAAACTATGATTATTCATGGACCTTAAGGTCTTCTGAGGGGCATACCAGGAGAGGCAGTCCCATAAATAAGCAAAATAAGTTAGGTGAAATAAGGTAAACATGCAAACCTCTCTATAGGTTGCACAAAGCTTTAGTTCACTATTTCAGTTACGTTTAGTTCACTATGTTATTTTAATGGGCAGGGGGTGCACATATAGGTATTGTGTCCAGTATGCACTTCACGGTTAAGTGTATGGTATGGATCTGATGCTCTCCCATATGCATATGTAGTTGAAAATTCTGCCCATACCAAAGTAAATAGCAGCTGGGAAGGGTCTTTGAATAACCTTCTCCCTGACATGCTGTTTCGCATATATATAGAAAGAACTCCTGAAACATGTACACATATACACTGCAGTCTGAAGTGGTACAGACTACAGTTTTACCATCTGATCAGGCTGTTTCTGAAGACTAAGCCAGACCTGAACATTTTCTTAAAAAAAAAAAAAAAAGTTATCCACCGTCAGACAATTCCATTATTAGGACGAACCAAAATGTTACAAAATAGTGGGCAATTTTTTGGTATCTCTGGAACTTCTGCAGAACTTAAAATGATTCATAGAATCATAGAGTTGGAGGAGACCCTAAGGATCATCTAGTCCAACCCCCTGCAATGCAGGAATATGCAGCTGTCCCATACAGGGATCGAACCTGCAACCTTGCCGTTATCAGCACCATGCTCTGTCCAACTGAGCGGCATTTTGGTTGTTCCTAAGAATGGATGTGTGGAATGGATGCCCAATCGTAAATTTTTGGGGGGAAGGGCAGATTTTTTTCTTACAATCCAATGTAAATTGCAATCCTACCCATACCTAGCCTATTCATAAGTAAGCCCTATTGAGTTCAATGAACCTACTCCCAAGTAACCGTGGACAGGAATGCAGCCATAGTTTCCTTTGCCTTTTTACGTTCCTTACAAAATCATAATATATAGTTCCTGGAAGACACTCAAGTTGCTTTAGAAATCAGCAAAATAAATATTCACTTATTCTCCTGTTTTGCCCTTTGATTATAACCCCCAGTGTCAGTGAAAAGGCTTGAAATTTGCATTTTAAAAGCAGAAATTTAAAACAGGCATGATCTGACCCAACACCTGAGGATGGAGAACTTAAAAAAAAAGAAAAAAGGAATCGTACAATAAAATCACAGCACAGCGCATAAAGGGTGTGTATCTGGGGGATAGGGAGTAACTGCAAAATCCTTTGCTACTCCAAGACTCTGGTAACAGTGGCTACACATCCTTACATGTACAAAGAATCTGCTAACGCCTGCAGAGTTTATGTGCACCGTTTATATATATTAGGATTTATGCCATAGTCTCTCTGCTTTTCCAATGCTTTCTTGTTCCTTCCCCAAGCACAGCCTCTCCCTACTCCCACACATGGCCTTTCTCTGAATCATTAAATGTAGCCCCGAACGCTTGTTGCCTCTTCGTATCCCTAATCACAGCCAGCTCTAGATTATGCCAGCCTCCTAAAACGATGGGGCAAAGTGAAAGAGGCCCTTGTGTGCGTTCCCTCCGGCAACTCCTACTCACGGTTGCCTGCAACTTGGTGCTTAACTTTGTTTCTGCATGTTTCGGGTTGTGTTTGTTTTCATAAACTTAGGCTGCAACCCTGTGTTGTACTTTACAAGGAAGTTAGGTTAGCACACCCTCCAACATTTCTCCAAAGAAAATGGGGATGTCCCATTCCGTAATTTTACTATTTATACCCCACACATCTTACTGGGTTGCCCCAGCCACTCTGGGCAGATTCCAACATATATAAAAACATAATAAAACATTAAACATTGAAAAACGTCCCTATACAGGATTGCCTTCAGACGGCTCGGGGGTCGGATAACTCCATACCCTCCAACATTTCTCCAATGAAAGTAGGGACATCCTAAGGAAAAGTGGGACATTCCTGGATCAAATCAGAAACTGGGATGGCTTCTCTAAATCAGGGATGTCCCTGGAAAATAGGGACACTTGGAGGGTCTGGCTCCAAGCATTAGGCTCCAAGGTCCACACCAGACTTCACACATGGATACCGACGATCAAAAACATCAGGCTGTTTCTCAAGTGCAGCTAATTATTTGAGCCATCCACTTAAGCAGCTATTTCAGCAGTGTGGAATTCAACTCGCATCAGGATTAAACATATTCCAGATTCTTGGTCTGGAGATCCACATACCCAATAGGTATGTTGGCATCTGAGAGCGTGGCATTATTTGCACATCTAGGCAGATTTGGAATTTGTGTTTATTTACGATGGCTTAAAATGTCCGAAAGCAAAGTGAAACAACAATTTCTGTCTGTATAACAGCACTTATTACAATTAACCATTTCCAATAGGACTTTAGCCCTTGTAGTTTAGCACTGGCTTATGATGATTGCTATTGCCATGTTGGAATTATGGTTGTTGGGTGTGAGCAGTTGCCCCGGGTGCAAAAGTGTTAGGGGGCACAAAATTTCAACACCCGGTGCTGCCTTAATACAACTGCATGCTTCCATCGCTGGGTTCTGTTGAAAACAGCTTCCCCATGCAAACCAGGAAGCAACATCTCCAGGCAATGTAGCAACTCTTCTTTTCTTATCTCTGCAGCTGCGGATCTCCTGGGTGATGCAGATGCCGTAAGGCAATTGAATACATATGTGTACTCCATCCGTTTACCTCCCTCCCACCCACCCCCTCTGCTGAGCCCCGGGCACTGGCAACCCACGCTACGCTACTGTTATTATTGGTTTCCTCCTGTTTTTAGGGGGAATGCTTTAAGAAGCCTGTAAGGATGGCTGAGAAATAGAACATAAGCAGAAATAGTTGAATTGGATCCTCTTTCACACTTCCTTGCTTAGTATAGGGTATGTGATAAAATTGCAGCTTCTCTTCTCAGTAAAAAGCTAAAGGGACCCCTGACCATTAGGTCCAGTCGTGACTGGGGTTGCGGTGCTCATCTCGCTTTATTGGCCGAGGGAGTACCACGCTCTAACCAGCTGAGCTATCCAGAGTCAGGTTTCCTCCACTTACCACAAGGCCCTGGAGCCTGGACACATACAGAAATCATTTGCACATCCTCTGTTGGCACTTCTCCATCACACACAGAGCCATCACATCATGACAGGTTTTGAAGATTGTTTTCAAAATCCACCTACATCTCAGTTTCCCTGTATCAGGCCTTGGCCTAACACTGACACTGGCTGTGGCCAGTTTCTGGCACAAACAGGCAAGGATTGGAAAGGCTAGAGACAGGCCAGCCAGACAAAGACCAGAGCACCAGGCACAAGTGCAGAGTGGAGCCAAACAGAAGGCCGAATTCCAAGATAGCAGTAGAGGGTTGGACCAGAAGCAGATGCAGGAAGGTGTCGCCGTTTGAGGCAGTAACTGGGGAAAGGAAATTGCATCAGCAGAGTCCACAGCTCGGCAAATTGACCAGACCGATTCCAGCCAGGCAAATGCACTTAAAGAGGGCGTGGAGCAGAGGCAGAGAGGGGAGTGGTGTGAGAATAGGGGGTGTGGCTTAGGGAGGGGATGTGGTCTGGAAAGAGTTTCAACAGCTGGACAGGAAAACTTGGAGGATTACAATGGCACCCTCCCCGCTCAAGCCTGATGTCCCCCACATCTGGTGTAGTTAATATGCATAAGTTGGGGTGCAGCTTACCATTATGAGCTCCCTTCCCATCACTGTGTGCATTCACTGTACACACAGTTTCCATTCCAAAAGTGCTTTAGGACATTGCATGTGTGCATGTCAGTTTTCAAGGTTCTCACATATATTTTAAAAATCAGGTGATTTACCAATGTCCAGACATAGATTTGGAACTTCAGTTCACAGGTCATATTACAATATATTTCTATTTGTCGTTTTAGCTTTCATAAATCCAAGGATTCCTAAAATTACCTAAGCTCTGCTGACTCGTTGATTGATGCAGAGGCCAGCTCGGTAATATCTGTGGGCCGCTTGTTTTACTTTGGCGCCCTGATAGAAAAGTGAGAATTTTATCTATCTTGGACGTTAAGAATTGTTCCTCAAGGAATGAACCAGCGGCAGTGTTGATTAGGATCAAGGACTAATTTTGTTTATGCCTCGGTTTTTTCAGCATAATTGAACCCTTATGTACTGGTTTTCACTTCACTGCCCATGCCCATGAGTCATACCCCCGTAGGAAAATGTTTGCTTGCTATAGCTACGTGTAAACCATGTGCATAAAAGTCAAAACAGCAATTTGTTGGGCAAGGCCAATGGCCCACCCAGGACAGTCTCCAAAAATGGCTTGTTGACATCCATCTGTCTCAGCATATGGTACCCATATTTCTGTTCAAGGGGAGTATATGCCACACACCCCTTTAGACATTATGCCAGAAGCCCAGAAAGTAGGTTGGTGTGCAAGCCGCTCACACATCTGGTTTTCCCACTACAGCATAACATCCAGTTCCAGCTTCAGTATCGGATTCTGGAAAGCAACATTTAATGCCTGGGCTGTGTCTTGAATTCCAGCATGAAAGCACCTGCCACCAGTATTGGTAAAATGCAAGACCACTCCTGTATGCATGCTTCTGCTCTGAGTATGCAAGAGGGAATGGACAAAGATTGTCAGAGAGTTGTGCTCAGAGTGGAGGCTGCTGGGAAGGTCAGAAGAATAGGCATCCCTGATTGGCTCAGGGAAGTTGCAGCTATTCCCGCAGATTCCAGTTTGCTTATCATAGAATTTTCAGCACACGTCGGCAAACTAGATTGAGGGCATCCTATCTAGTCCTATTCGCTCAACATGGCATATATAGTCATTCACTAGTTTCCTTCCCCCTGCTCCTCACTTGCATGTACAGCCAGTGTGGTGTAGTGGTTAGAGTGTTGGACTGGGACCTGGGAGACCCGTGTTCAAATCCCCACTCAGCCATGAAGCTCACTGGGTGACCTTGGGCCAGGCATTGCCTCTCAGCCTAGCGTAGCTCAGAGGGTTCTTGGGTGGATTAAATGAGGAGCGGGAGAACCACGTACACTACCTTGAACTCTTTGGAGAAGACAGGTGGGCTATAAATGCAATAAATAACTAAATAAATGCAGCAAGCCTTCAACCTACACAGGGGTTACGTTCCGGGGATCACGCCTAAAGCCAAAATAGAGTATAGCCAAAACATATGGGGTGCAGTGGCAGGTGGGATTACCAGCCTCCCCTCAGCTTCTGCCCCCTTTTTAATTTTTAAAAAATATTTGCCAAGTCCGTAAAGCTGAATGTGCACGAGTTCAATGTGTGTAAGTTGTGGACTTGCTGTGGATAAATAAATAAATGTTTTCAAAGGACCTTGGCCCTCTTCTCATATTCTTTTCCATGCACTGATTGAGTGGGAGAGGAGGAATTTTCCTGCATAATGGAAAGAGACAGTGAAGGTCTATGCGTGTCCATTGAGGCAGTGGATGGAATCTGCTCCCTTTTCATACATTCTATCCATGCATGGAGGGGAACATGCCTAAAGGAAAGTTTTATGAGCGCTGCATGTGTGATCTGGGACCAATCAAAAAGCAAAGTCACCACTCACATAAAGTCATACCTCGGGATGAATACACTTCAGCTTAAATATTTTTGGGTTGCGCTCTGCAGCGAACTGGAAGCAATGGAGCACATTTCTTCCGGGTTTCGCCGCTCGCGCATGCGCATGCACAGAGGCTCAAAATGACGTCACGCGCATGCGCGGAAGTGGCAAAACGTGACATGCAGACATGCAGTCGCGTCTTACGTTCGCTTCAGGATGCGAACAGGGCTCTGGAACGGATCCCGTTCGCATCCAGAGGTACCACTGTAAGTGGTACAGTGGTACCTCTGGTTACGTACTTAATTTGTTCCGGAGGTCCGTTTGTAACCTGAAACTGTCCTTAGCCTGAATCACCACTTTAGCTAATGGGGCCTCCTGCTGCTGCCGTGCCACTGCCGCGCGATTTCTGTTCTCATCCTGAAGCAAAGTTCTTAACCCGAGGTACTATTTCTGGGTTAGCGGAGTCTGTAACCTGAAGCATATGTAACCTGAGGTACCACTGTGGAGTCTGTTTGCACACCTGTAAGTCAGGATAGCAGGTGTGATCCCAAATGCAAGCATCTCTCCAAGGATTTTGCCATACATACCATGTTACATTGACTGAGCATGTGCCTTTCTAGTTTATGGATGTTCTGTGAATGAAAATGGGTACAGAAACAATACGTGAGAGAATTCTGCATTTGGACTTTATTTGTGCATGGCTAAAACAAGAACACATGATTGCATTTTTTGTCCGATGCCACTGAAACAGAGATAAACTTGCTAACCTCAAAGTTCTCAGGACCTTCAATGGACTGCAGTCCCCTCTACCTTCCAGGACATTTCTGTTAATGGCTTTAAACCCTAGACCTCACTTGAGAGACTAATATCTTGTAGGATGTAGGGTTCATGGGTTTCGGATGAATTACACGAAGGATAAATATGGCCCAAAGCTTTGTTTATATCTAGCGCACTTGCTTAGTTTTCAGCAAAGTGCTGGCTGATAAGTTCAGCTTCTCAAAATAGGAAGGAGGAAAGATTCCATCACAGCTAAAGGTGAAAGTGCCGCATTCTTTTTGGTTGGTCTGCGCCTGTCAAATTCATATGCTAGGATTTATAAAGGACAGCAACGGAGCTGAAGTTATAAATGTCCCTTTATGCAGCGTGCATTTCAAGCACATGCACACAACAAAGAATCCTGGGAACTGTAGATCTACAATTCCCCTCACCCTTAACAAACTACAGTCCCGGGGGGGGGGGGGTTACTTGGAGAGCTTTAAATGTGTGGTGTGTAGGCAGCCTACGACAAAATGCAATTTGGCTGCACAGTTTTTAAGTCAGATATTATGTCCCCTTCTTCGAGTGAAAGAAGATATTTACAGTATTTGCAAATGATCATAAGGGAAGTGCTCTTTGATGTCTAGCACTCTGAATAGAGTAAGTCAGTCTTCCACAGCCTAGTTCACTCCAGAGTTTTTTGATTACATCTCCCATCAACCCCAGCCACATGGCTGCACCTATGTTGCAGGATTATATACAGTGGTACCTCAGGTTAAGTACTTAATTCGTTCCGGAGGTCCGTACTTAACCTGAATTTGTTCTTAAGCTGAAGCACCACTTTAGCTAATGGGGCCTCCTGCTGCTGCCGCGCCGCCGGAGCACAATTTCTGTTCTCATCCTGAAGCAAAGTTCTTAGCCTGAAGCACTATTTCTGGGTTAGTGGAGTCTGTAACCTGAAGCGTATGTAACCTGAGGTACCACTGTATTTAGCTAACTGCTGTACACGCTACTTTAAATGTGCAGTGTGCAGCTTCATCAGGTTCCTGACCCCACATTTAATACTAAGCATGAGACTCCAGGATCCCTCCCCTAGTGTGATCCCAACAAAAATTGGCCCCAGTGCATCCATTAGCACCATTTTCATCGGTATTGAAGCTGGGGAGGAAAGAGTTAAACTGCACTGCACCCCAAATAAAAAGCAAAGGCTGCACTTAACTATTCTTTTAATAAAAAAATAAACCTGCTGAAGCTGCATTCTCTGCATTTATCCTAAGGTGTAGGCAAGTCAGCCTTGCCAAATGAATGCCCTCCATCCTGGCTGTGAGTCCTGGAAGACCTGCTCCCTGACTTGCAGGCCTTTTTCCACCTGGCCTGAGGGGTTGGGACCCTGAACGACTCCAGCTAGAAAAGCTGAGGCTGTTGGACAAGAATCCTGGATTGGGGTGTCCTTTGGAGGGTTTTGTTCAATGTGGTTGTGTGCTTCTTGATATTTTGTTTATTTGTTATTCTGACTACTTTTGCTGGGATGTAATTTTTTTATGTTGTAAGCCGCCTCGAGCATGGCTTTAACTTTGGAAAGGCGACATACAAATGAAACAATTGGTTGATAAGTCGGGATTACAACTCCCATCAGCTGCAGCTAGCATTCGCCTTGCTAAAATACAGTGGTACCTTGGGTTACATACGCTTCAGGTTACATACGCTTCAGGTTACAGACTCCACTAACCCAGAAATAGTGCTTCAGGTTAAGAACTTTGCTTCAGGATGAGAACAGAAATCCTGCTCCAGTGGCGCGGCAGCAGCAGGAGGCCCCATTAGCTAAAGTGGTGCTTCAGGTTAAGAAAAGTTTCAGGTTAAGTACGGACTACCAGAATGAATTAAGTACTTAACCCGAGGTACCACTATACCTGCATTGTGTGGTTGTGAGACCACACAGATCCCCTGGATCTCTGGCTGCTTTTCCCACTGCAGATGCTTCGGTCCAAAATCAATCCCACATTCTTCTCCTGCACTTGATACCTTTCGCAGATATGTGGGTGTTGACCTGTTGTGGTTCTCCAACTGCAGCGTTCCTTTGATAAGTTGAAGATCCGGATGTCTGCTGGTTATGTGTATGTTCCAAAGGAAAGGGGAAATCTCTGTTCAGAAAAAAAAACCCAAGCTCGTTCCAGTACTTGCTCCACAATCTCTGTAGCTTTTGGCACCTCGTGGTAAGGCTCTTTGTTTCCTCTCAGTTCAGGATAATTTACAAGGTTCTCCAAATGATCCTTAATGGCTTTGTAATTATAATATAATCACAGAGCCTAAGAAAAAGCCCCCCAACCCACTTCTCCCCTTTTAAGGAAAGTGAATCCATTCTCTGGTGCCATTCCAATTTTGATCTGTCTCCCCTGCCTGCCTGTTCCCTGCAGCAAGACTTCCATGACTCATAGCTGTGGTCATTTTATGAGCAATGCATATTTGCTCCAAGTGAATTGTTTCAAAAAGGAAACTGAGCTCTATGGGAACACGAGTGTGATAAAATCTTTCCCTATTGTAATAATCTTATCTGTTTTCAGCTGTACAGTTTAGATCATTAAGCATGTGAGGATGCATTATTTGCCCTTGAACATGACAGATTTTTATTATTTCCAGAAACAGCAGCATCCTCTGATGGTCCTATTTAACAATGAAGTATTTAAAACACACACAGAGTCATTCAGAGAATGGTGGTGATTATAATGGAAGCCATAGGTAGGAAACGGTTAGCACTGAATTTTTCCTGGACTACAACTCCCATCATCCTTGACCATTTGCCATGCTTTCTGGGGCTGATGGGAGTTAGAGTCCATCTACCTCTGGAGAGTCGCATGTTCCCCATATCTTATGTAAATTTAGAGATGAAGGCAGCCACCTACAAATGGTATGAATTAATTCACTGATAATCAGAGACCTCAGGGAAACAGGGATTCCTAATATAATTTAAATCAGCACTACTTTCTCTGAAGGGACACGGGTGGCACTGCGGGTTAAACCACAGAGCCTAGGGCTTGCCAATCAGAAGGTCGGCGGTTTGAATCCCCGTGACAGGGTGAGCTCCCGTTGCTCTTTCCCTGCTCCTGCCCACCTAGCAGTTCGAAAGCACATCAAAGTGCAAGTAGATAAATAGGTACCGCTCCGGCGGGAAGGTGAACAGCATTTCCGTGCACTGCTCTGGTTCACCAGAAGCGGCTTAGTCATGTTGGCCACATGACCCGGAAGCTGTACGCCGGCTCCCTCGGCCAATAAAGCGAGATGAGCGCCACAAATGGTCAGGGGTCTCTTTACCTTTACCTTACTTCCTCTGAAACTAAGATTAATCATGATGGCATGGTGGAAGATAACATTTTGCAAACATTTAACAGTGCACTCCAGTACACGTCTACTCAGGAGTAAAGCCCATTCAGGGCAGAGGGACTTAATCCCAGGTATATAGGATTGGAGCTTTAAGAAGGATTAATTTCCTTCACCCACCCAGAACCCAGGGAGGCTATTTATCTTTTCTCCATCCCACTTACAAGAAGACTAAGGCTCCTCTACTTACTTAGAAAGGGGGATTGCAGCAGGACTAAACTTGCATAGCAAGCTTGGTAGTAATATCTAGGACCTAACCGCTAGGAGCAATAGCAGTGTGGTAGAGAGGCAGGAAGCACCCTTTATCCTTTGGGATTTTACTTCAGAAATCCCAGTAAGGTTTGCTACTTAATTACATTGCAAAGGCACCACTCTGCATATTTTACAAAGGTTTCTAAATCCCAACACCTTGAAGACTACAGCTGAATTCAAGACAGCACGACTAAGTGCACCTACACAAGAATTCCCAGCCTCGAAAGATTCCTCTCTTCGACATACCTTCCCTTTTCACTTTATAATGCATAGGCCTGCTGGTCTTCAACAAAAATTCAAACTTTCCTTAAACTTCTGCAGCTTTCTGGTGGATCTTTCCCGCCCCAAGATTCAGAGGCCTTTATTTTGGCTGCAGTCCTAAACACACTTCTATGGGAGAAAGTTCTAGTAAGATCAGAGGGTTTTGCTTCCAATAAAACAAATTTAGGATTGTTCTGCATATTTATTCATTAAAACACACACACACACAAAAGTCATTTGAGCAACGGGACCATATGCAAAACCATGCTTTAATATTTCTTATAACAAACGTGAACAAAAGCTGTTGTACAAGTGGCATTACCAAATTGAATGGTAGGAAGCCAACCAGTATTGAGATCAGGAAATGGGTTGTGGATGAAGACGAGATGATCGTACCATTTAAAAACCTTGACCCCAGGAAAAGGTTTTTATGGAGTGTTGTTTTTACCTTGGTCAATTTAGAACGAGGAGAGAGAGAGCTTCATTTTCTCCACATTTTCAAGCTAACTACAGTAACTTGATTTGCACCCTCTGTATGAATGCACAAACTGGAACACATTCGAATTTCACACTTCTTGAAGTTTTGCAGTACAGTTCTCAGCTTGAAAAATCACCAAAATGCATTCATAAGAATCACCAAAATGCATTTATAAGAATAAAACATGCTTAGTAATGCATGCATTGATATGAATGTAGATTTTTATACAGACTTTACGAAAAAAAGATCACAGACTAATACAGAAATGGGATGGAAGAGACACATGAAAAACAGCATTTCAAATGAGTTGTGCTCATTCCGCAACATTTCCTGGAAGCTACAGAATCAGCAAATTCCCCTGTGTACATGTACTATTAAGGAACAGGTGTCTGCCTACCTCTGAGCATGACCAGCATGCAGCTTTAAGTTTTTAATAGCTGCTTGGAAAATTGATTGGAAATGGAACCCAAAAACGACCAAGCAAAAGCATATGCCATTTCTCTGGAGTGGTGGTTAAAGAACTAGATAAGGAATAGGACTCAGACATGTTGTTGTTGTTATTGTTGTTAGAATTAGAAATTAGAATTGCCTTCCACATATATGCCCCAAGGCAATTAACAGACATAATCTTAAAAACGGTCGAAACACCCACACCCACACTACATGAACTACATGGTATATAAAGAAACTAAGAATTTAATATTTCTGTGCCTGGGAACACAATACACTAAAGCTTCTTTTTACTACTCTCATGTCTTTGCCCCATCCAGCTGTTTTGATTGAAATGCTCTGTTCTGCATTGGATGGTAGAGAACTGAACTAGATCATTGCCTGCAGTTTGACACCACTTATCTAAAATGACGCCAAAAACAGTGACCTACCATATGCATTAAGGATTTGATGACAGGTCCATCAAGCTTTCTTCAGCACGGCCATCATGGAATGATATCATGATGTACAGTATTGGGGTGAGAGGGGGGACCTGACTAACTGTATTGGCTTTGTCCCTCTAGATGAGTTAAGATGTCATTACTACAGCATAAAATGCTTTGAAAGCATCCCCAAGAGCCTTCTGCTGACATTAGAGGAGGCTTTTTGCAGGGCCTCATCCCAGTGCCTAGTAATAATAATCAACATTTTTACTGAGGTCAACACATGAACCTAGAATGAGTCTTAGCCTACAGTACCCTTTCATAGGTCCTCAACCCCTCGAATATATCATCACAGTGACTAAATTTATTGCACACATTTATTGTGCAGTGTACAAACTGAATTTTTGTTTTTTTTACAGCTTGCCACTGGCACTAACTCTGCCTTCACACACATTTGCACACTCTCATATACATGCAACACACACAATATTTCAGAAGTGGCCTAACATAGTGATGGATTTGTCTACTAGATTTGTCGCTGCTACATGTAGTAGCGTGTATGGTTCACACCTTCAAGACTAACCACTGTGGACATCAACCAAGTTTATGCAGACTTTTGAGTCTTTATTGTTGAATCTGCTTATTGGGGAGAAATCAGGTTGCATTCCCACAAAGCCTATTCATCAAATGTCTTGACGTCTGTAATGCTCAGAAGAAATAATTACCGTTCTGTTAGCGATAGAATCCTGTTTCAAAATAACAGGTGGGATATCAAGGTTTATTCTAGATTGCCATGTTTGTTGAAAGGTAAGCGATAAGGGAGGTAAATAATTGTCTAGGACATGTAAGCTGTATTTGCCACAGAATTGCTATTCAGCTCCTTCCGGGGCTGTTTTGGGGAAATAGGAAGATCCCCAGCAGAAGCTTTCTGGAACTCTGAGGTGCTGTGAAAATGCCTTTAGCTCAGATGGTAGAGCATGAGACTTTTAATTTCAGGGTTGTGGGTTCAAGCCCCATGTTGAGTGAAAGATTCCTGCATAGCAGGGGGTCATTAATTTTTTACTTTTGTTTTTTTGGCGTGTGTGTGTGTGTGTGTTGGAGCCTCAATGCAAAGGAGGCAGAAAAGCCTGTGTGTGTTCTCTGAATCCATGCACAGTTCAGTGGATCTGAGCCTTTGTGTTTTCTTTTTCTTGACGTACTTCCCCTATTTGGTTATTTTGGCGGCAAGAAATATCCTGTGCTGTGGATTATATCAAAAGATGCGTTCGTGCGATATGTGGATGAGCTATTTTGTTTCAAGATGTTTCTGTGAAATTTCTCGCAGAAAGAAATGTTATGACAGACTCTGTGGATATTTTGGCATTTCTGAAATATGTACTCCTTTGGATACCTTTCTTTCGTTGGTTAGAAAAAAGGACTCAAGAACCCCTCAAATAGAAAGGAAGGGTAGTTCTTCCTAATGGCCAAACTACATGTAACTTTCAAGTAAGCTGGACCCTGAAGTTTGAAAGGACCAGAACAAAAGCCATTTCATGACAGAATACACTGGGGCTATGTACACACCACACCTTTAAAGGACATGCAAAGCACACAGTTTCCCTCAAAGAATTCTGGGAACTGTAGTTTACCCCTCACAGAGTTACAGTTCCCAGCAACTCTTAACATACTACAGTGCCCCAATTCTTTGAGGGAAAGACTGCGCCTCTAATGAGCTTCAACAGCATAGTGTACGCATGGCCTAGTACTACAATAAATGACATGAACTATCCAGTGCTTTTTTCTGGGAGGACGCAGGGGGACGCATACCCCTAAACATTTTGTAAATCTAAGTTTGGCCTCATCGAGGGGCAGTATTTCAATATGAGTAGGAAAATGAGAGTACTCCTAAACATTTTTTTTAGAAAAAAAGCACTGGAACTATCAAATGCACATATACTTTGAACATTTATGGCATGCCACAAGCTGTTTGTATTGAATCCAATACAGCAGGGGTGAGGAATCTCAGGTCCAGGGGCCAGATGTGGTCTTCTAGGCTACTTATTCTGAGTCTTCAAAGTGAAAGAAGTGCCTTGCCGAGTTTATTTGTCAGATTTGATGGCTTGAATAGGTGCAGGCTTGGTTGTCGCTTTTCGATTTCCCTTCTGAACTCATGTCACCTTTTGTTTGCAGATTGACTTCGAAGACGTGATTGCCGAACCTGAGGGAACCCATAGTTTCGATGGGGTCTGGAAGGCAAGCTTCACCACCTTCACTGTGACAAAATACTGGTTTTATCGCTTACTCTCTGCCCTCTTTGGCATCCCCATGGCTCTCATCTGGGGCATCTACTTTGCCATTCTGTCCTTCCTCCACATCTGGGCAGTGGTGCCCTGCATCAGGAGCTACTTGATTGAGATCCAGTGCATTGGCCGAGTCTATTCTATCTGCATCCACACCTTCTGTGACCCGCTCTACGAGGCTATTGGCAAAGTGTTCAGCTCTATCAGAGCAACAGTACGGAAAGAAGCATAACTGACGTTTCAAGGAGCCTGAAGGGAGGGTCTTCTCCCCTCCCCTCCATTTTTTTTGTGCCAGTCCCAAGGCTACATCAACGATGAACAAAGCAACTGGCACATGTCATCTAACGAAGCAACCAACCTGAGTGCAGCAAAGAATCACTTGCCCAAATTTCCCCCCTTCTTAATCTCTCCTGGAATTATATCTTCCCTTCTTTTTTCAGGAGGGATCTGCATATTTTTTTTAAAGGCCAAATATAAAAATTGCTGCTCTCCCAATCCTAGCTGCCCATTGTTTTGCTGACCCTTTGACGAACTGACTCATGTTCTGCTTACCCTTTCCGTTCATTTGTTGCAAGTTCAGTTCACAACGCTATAAAATAAAGAACCGAAACATTGCTTTCCAGCGCTATAACGCTGCCCTTGATTTTACTGTGAGCGACAAAAAAAATATAAAGGATCTAAAAGCTATTGCAGCATAACGGACACGACAAACTGGCAGATTTTAAAAGAATGTTCTTTTTTCAGATGTATTGTCTGTCGACTGTAGCGCTTTACTGTAGTGGGCCACATCTAACTGCTACACACAGATAGATCTAAGTAAATAACTAATATATATATATATATGGTGAAGAGAGAGACACACAGAAAGAGAAAAAATGCCTTTAGGATAGGGCCTTCAAGCCAGGCAGCTGTCCCTGCCCACAAGATGCTACAGCTGTTGCTTCGCCTTTGATTTGTTTTTGTGGTTCCTCCTGAAAGATTCATTGCAGATCTTTATCGAATGTCACTAAAAGGAGTACACAAGGAGCCACCTTAGTGCCTTTGAATATGGAATCATTCGTCTAACCCAGTGGCATGAATTACATATTGATGGATCTTGCATGTGACACACTAGATCTGCCCGGGATCGAATGTGCAGCTTTGCAGGAATGCACCACACATGCTTCATCATCAAGGTGTGGTTCCGGCCGATGTCAATAGCCAAGGTCAGAATCCAAGCCAGAAATGCATTGTGGATTTGTTTTCTGGAACGGGGGTCCCCATGTAAAACCAGCAAACGCCCTGCGGCGCTGTTTGTACCGGAGGATAATCGCCCAAGCTACTATTAACTGCATGCCAAAGCACACTTTTCAGCAACACATGCAAGAAAAGGTTCCAAGGGGATACGCCGACAGTACAGCAGAGGGACGAGGTGTGTCCAGCTCCTGCAGTCATGACAACTACGAACTGGGTTTGGAAGGGTGTTTTGGTTTGGATTGTTTGTACAAGGGGCTCTCTTTAAAATCCCCTCTTCAGCCAAGGTCAGCATGTTGCTGGTCCATTCACGCTTTGCTTACTTCACACTAATCCACCGCAAGAGTGGCTTTAGCATTATGTACCACATTGTGATTCCCCCCCTTCCCACCCCCCTAAGCTGAGTTGTACACATCAATCAGGAAGTCTTCATGGAGGTAATTTGTGTGAAATTGTCAGTGACGGGGGCGGGGGGGGGGACAGAAATAAAGCCTCTGCAACATGATGTTGTGCTGTGACCAGCTTGGAGATTTTGCCCTCGCCGTAAATGTTAACTGTGGTGAGAAGGTATCTTATTCAGCCTTGCAAGAAATCTGTTTGTTGCTGCTGCTTTTTTAAAAAAATAGCTGTGAGGTGGAGTTAACTGGGATAAACTTCCTTAAGTATCCAAACTGAGGAATTCTAAAGCCTGAGCTTCCTTTTGCTGGGGGTCATTCCCAGTGAACGGCTTGTTTGCAACCTTGCATAAAGTCTGTAGCAGCTTCCAGATGGCAGCCAAGCATTATTAGCGATAATACCTTGCATAGTTCTTGGTGCAATATGAATGCTTCAACATTTTTTTAAAAAAACAGTACAATCCTAAACATGTTACTTAGAAGTGGGCCCCATTAAGTTCGTTGGGACCAAGACATTCCACCGCTGAAAGTGGAGTCCGAATCTCGCCTCCTGGCCAGCCCTGCTAAAGCCAACTCTTGCTGCAGACATCAGTCCCTGCCTTCGTTTATCCCCCAGCCCAGTGTGTCATTTGAATCAGGTTGCTTTGCTCCTGTGCAGAACTGCACCTGTAGTTGACCAGCACTGCCCAGCTTGCAATATACAGGCAACTTTCGTCGCTAGGGCTTACTGGAGACCACTCTCAGTTTTCTTTTCTGAAAGTGGGTTCCCCATCATTTTCACAGGGTGTCTACATACATATTGCCATGGCAGCCGAAGTCAGGGCAGCCCAGGCTATGCAGCTGATTTCACTGATCTTCCAGGTGCCATGAAGACTGGACTCTAGTGCACAGATAGTCAACCCAGTGCCCTCCAGATGTTGTCGGATTCCATCTCCCATCAGCCCTGGCCAGTATGGCCAATGGCCAGGGATTCTGGGAGTTGAAGTCCAGCAACATCATAAAGCAGGGGGGCCAACTTGAATAAAATATTGGGGGGCACAGGTAAGCCCCACCCTGCATAATCAATCACATGAGACGGTGCCCACACATTATTTGAATGGCACTCCCCATCAACTTTGAGGGGGGGCTGAAGACCCTACATCTCCTAGGAGTTGGCTCCTATGTCATGAAGGCACCATGTCGACTATCGTTGCTCAGCCAATGTGGCCTTTGTGGTGTCCATTTTATCACACAATGGACAGATCTGTGCATCTTTCCAAATGGAAATGAGTAAGGGGACGTTCAAGTTTTCTGACAGGAAACACTATTTTAATAGCTTTTTTAAAAGCCTTACATTTAGTTTTCATTTTTACACAACATCGAGCACGTTCCCACTGTTATTTAAATAGTGGAATTCGCTTTGTCCTTTTAACATAAAATCAGTGAGTAGTGCACTAGGAAAGGTGCTGTTCCTCCAACAGGTGCAGTGCCATTTTATGGGGGTAACCATATTTTGTTCATCACCTGGAAAAGACTGAGGCTGCAATCTCAACTCTTCTTTTCCTGGAAGGAAGCCCCATTGAATACAATAGGACTTAACTTCTGAGTAGACATGGTCAGGATTGTACTGTTGGTGGTTGGATACTAGGGCTCCAATCCTGTACCTGCTTATTCAGGAGTAACCCCACTGAACTCAGTGCAACTACAACATGTAGAGGACAGTCCTGTGATGCCCAAGCCACCTTGCATCTGGTTGCAAGGATGCTAAAACTTCTACATATTTATATACATTTTGCTCATGAAGGCCAAGGCTGTGCTTGTTTGCCACAAAACCTTGTTAAGTTGGCAGCGGCAGAGAAAATATAGTCAACTTTTACTCAGGATGCAAGTCACTGCCAAAGCCGATGAGAAAATGCCAATGAATTTCCAGTAACACTAAATAACTTCTGCAGAGTTGTTTTAACAGGTCTATAAAAATTAGGAAGAAGATTTGAGGGATCCCTTATTTTTGGCACATAAATTGCAAGCCTAGTAGCTATTTCTCTCTTCTTGCATTTAAAACAAACACTGGTCTGGCTATAGTTTTACATTTTTACTATGTACATAAGCGAGAGTGTACTATTAGATATATATTTTTGCAGTATTGAGACACACCTTTGGTGATAATGAAAACAAGATCTTATTTTGTCTTTACCTAAGGAAAATCACTTTGAAATTGATTGCATAAACTCTGTACCCAGAAAAAGTTCCCAAATGCAAATACATTGCTGATCCAAGATATTTACATAGCTATTGTATGCTTACAAAGTATAATAACTGACACATTTTTTTTTTAATTCTGCATGTTCTACAGCCAAGGCTACAATCTGCACAATAAAAGCCGTTTTAATAGAAACTTTTGCCTGAATACTTATTTTCTCAAAATATCTGCTTGCAAACAAAAGTTTCACATAAAGCCCACTGTGGGAAGGGAAGACCAATCCATTGAAAACTGCATACAGTGGTGCTATCAAGCTTTGCCCTAGCATTGACAGCTAGTGGTTTAAAACCTCTGCGGCCATGTTTTCCCCATACAATTCCTTCCCCATACAATTCCTGTCCCATTTCTCTTAGGGGAGCTTATTCTACATTCATTCAAGGCAAATGGCAGCGAGGAGCTCTGTACCACTGACTATTTCAGAAGCTTTAAAAGCACCTCTTCGCCATTTGCAAAACACCAACATTTTTGGGAGTCTACTCTGTTACTGCCAGACTGTTTTATTGGGTACATAAGAGCAGCTGCGTGAGTTCGCCCTGTTCCCCACCCTAAATCTCTCTTGGCAATCCGTCAATCGCTCAAACATTTTGTTTGCTGCTCAAATATTTGTCCTTTATCTTTCATGGTGGTGAATGCAAAGTTAAAAGACATCGCTTTGAGCAGACACCTGAATGATGTGACAAACATCCAGCAGATTCTTTGACTAAGCTAGCTTAACACAGCTGTGTCTAGAACTTTATTCTTGAACGCACCAACTAGGGAGTAAACTTCAATGAAAATGAGCAGAATTTAGGGCTTATCCACACTCACCTTTCGCCCCTCACTTTCCAAGCAGAGGTCTGTACTTTAACACTCCATGTATGAGCGATTTGGGGAAATTTTGCCCACAAAACCCCACAATTTAAAGCTGAATTGAAGTAAACATCAATTTGGATTTTCCATGGGGGAAAACCTTAGGAATAATTTTGATTTTTACTCATCCTATCTGTTTTCTATCTACCATTCTCCTTCACTGGAAGTTTTTAAGCAGAGGTTAGATGGCCAAATGTCATGGATGCTTTAGTTGAGATTCCTGCATTGCAGGTGGTTGGACTAGACTTTGGGGTCTCTTCCAACTCTACAATTCTATGATCTATGATCTATGTCTACAGTTTCCTTGTCCCATTGTCTTTTGCCTTCTCCTTCCTTCTCAAAAATGTTTATGCTACCTCTACAATGACTGCCCTTGGGTCAGTGTGCAATCAGCCAGATGAAGATCAATTAATGTGGTATAGGGGAGGACAGAAGATAAACCTGTTCACTGAAAGCAGAGACCAGATGTTAAAATAGCACATCCCATGGGATTCAAGGTGAGTCATTTCCCCCAAAGCATGTGTGGGGGTGGAATTTAAGATGCAGCATGGGCAGAAGAGAGTGCAGAATCCTTCCTATACTTGTATTTTTCCTTCCACAATGTTTCCCCACTACTGCAATGCACTCTGCATGGGGCTACCTTTGAAGGTGACCCAGAAACTACAACTAATCCAGAATGTGGCAGCTAGATTGGTGACTGGGAGCGGCCGCCGAGACCACATAACACCGGTCTTGAAAGACCTACACTGGCTCCCAGTACATTTCCAAGCACAATTCAAAGTGTCGGTGCTGACCTTTAAAGCACTAAACGGCCTCAGCCCTGTATACCTGAAGGTGCATCTCCACCTCCATCGTTCAGCCCTGACACTGAGGTCCAGCTCCAAGGGCCTTCTGGCAGTTCCCTCCCTGTGAGAAGTGAGGTTACAGGGAACCAGGTAGAGGGCCTTCCTGGTAGTGGCACCTGCCCTGTGGAACACCCTCCCATCAGATGTCAAGGAAATAAACGACTATCTGACTTTTAGAAGACATCTGAAGGCAGCCCTGTTTAGAGAAGTTTTTAATGTTTGATGTTTTATCATGGTTTTAATATTCTGTTGGGAGCCACCCAGAGTGGCTGGGGAAACCCAGCCAGATGGGTGGGGTATAAATAATAAATTTATATTAATTATTTGATTAATTAATAACAGCCATGGGGCCAAGTTAGCAATCCTGCTCTGGTGCAATGTAATAAATGTTGATGTAGCATTTACCTTGGCTCCATTAAAGTCACGAATGCAAATTTTGCTCAGGAGTGGGGAAACCATTGATGTCCACTCCACCTGCCTTTTAAAAAATATTATTCCTTAATTGTTGTGTGATGACAGCCTGAAACGCATCACTGGAATTATCCCCTCTGTTAGTGATGATCAGGGTTGAGTGCCAATCTTTATGTATCTGAAATGATACTACCAACATACAAGATGGGGTGGTGGTGGTGGTATCAGTATGCTCAGGGAACCCCAACATTTGCAGACGTATAAAAAATATTTGGGGAACAGCCCCAAGTGGGCCAAAACAACAACAACCACCCCCAAACAGCACAATGAGGACTGGGCACGCCCAGTTACTGCAGAATGTTGAGTGTCTTTTGGGAGGGGAGATAGAAATTAGAGAGGATGAATGGTGTATCCTGGAACAGGGCGTGGCTGACCTTACTCTGAGCAGGGGAACTCCATGCTGCAAGGCTTTGTGACAGCTGTTATTTGTTTTTCTTATTAGTGAATCTTCATACTGAAGAAAATGTCAGTGACTGGATTTTTGCACAGAAGCCATATCAAGAGGGGAAGTACTAACCCTAATTTCACCCCTTCAGCAAAGGCAGCAGACCATCTTATACCTAAATGCTCTGATCATAGTTAGATTCCTATAGACACTTTACTCGGGAGGAAATCCCATTGAAGTCAATGGAATTATATGTGAGCACACATATTAGTGGCGACTAATAGAAGTCTCACAGATTTTTTTCTGCTGACTTTAGTTGGATCAGGACCAAACTTATTTCTGGCACGTAGGTTGTTTCATTAAAGAAAGGTAGATAAAGGTGCAGAATATAGCACATTCAGCTGCAGTATTTTTAGAAGCCAATTATGACAGATATCCTAAAGAAAAGGAAGTGCTATCATTTAACAATAGATAGATAGATACTTAGACACATGAACACACACTATGTGTGCATGAGTGGGGTAATAATGAGATATCACTGAATCTAGACAATAGCAATAGTAACATACATACAATATACAATATAGCAATAGTAACACACATAGGTTATGGGCACAATTCAACAAAAGTTTATTGAAAACAAGTCAGCTGGAGCTAATGGCTCCTGACTTCCCTCCTTCAGACCTTCTTTCAATACATGGGTGACAGGGCAGGGACAAGGGGGCAGATTGAATAAAATATTTTGGGGCCAGGTATGCCCCACCCCACATAATTGATCACTGAAACACAGAACACTTGCGGCATTTGAACGGGGAGGGTGCTTAAATATTTTATTTGGGGGGAGCTGTAAGGACCTCGGCCCCTAGGAGTTGGCTGCTATGGGGCAGAGGTTGAGCTGGTGAGAGCAGAGCTCCACTCCCCTTCTCCAGACAATTGTGATTACAGTTGTGTAATCACACAATTGTAATGATTTAGAACAGTGGTTTGCACCCTTTTGGGTATGGTGACCCACAAATCCAACTTTACTTTTTTGGTGACCCATCAATTTAATGTCAGATGTGTTTGGGACCTCAGATCTTCAGTAGCTGTGAGTTTTGTGTATTGTAACTGCAAGTTTGCCTCTTTCCCAACCATTACTTGAAGGATCCAAATTTCCTTAACCGGCTGGAATTGGCGGAACAGCACTTAGAAAGTTATTCACCATTTTCTTTATGTGAATGTACAACCGTTGCCTCTGATGTTTGGGTTACACAGCATTGCACTACAAGCAATTTGGGGTTCACTTATAAAGCCTGTCACCCACTTGCATAGCCTTTGCAATCCACAAGTTGGGAAATGCCCAAATAGGGCTTTAGCCACGCCCGACTTATCTGTGCATGTGATTGAAGTCATGTGGCTCAAAAGAGCAGAGATGGGCCAATTGCCCTCATCCCCACCACTGCCCACTATATATGCATTGAGTAAGGCTTGAGGGGAAGAACCTGCCGTAAGTGCATAGGCTTTCTCCGTTATTTCGAATGCTTTCCACAGTTTTCAGTAGAAAGCCATTGTGGCAAGCACCTGTGGATTGTGCCCATCTGTTCCCTGTCTTCCATAAGCTGTGGAAGTTTAGGGAAAAGACCCCAAATTAAGTGATGAATATGAGAAGATATTGGAAAAATCACATTATTATTTTTCAGTGCTCTTCGTTTTTCCAACTCTGAACGCTTTCCCAATGGCTAACTTAAATTTGCCATTGCAAGTTTGGCTTTGAAAAACAGATACACCACTTCTTCTTCTTTGGCGATCACTCGTAGCCGAGTAAGATTGTCTTCCATAAACACAGTTTTAACAATGAGTCCGTAAGTGACTGTGGAGGCCAATTCTGGATCCACATGTTCTTCCACAGCGGGGACATTGGGTTCCGGGTGGGAGTTGATCACGGTGTGGATTTGCCAAGTGTGCCTTCCTCTTAGCACATTTCTCCCTTGCGTCCTGAGTTCGAGTGTCTTCAAAGCCCATGACACCTTTGGTAAAGGCTGTTCTCCAACTGGAGCGCTCGCAGGCCAGTGTTTCCCAGTTGTCAGTGTTTATACTACATTTTTAAAGATTTGCCTTGAGACAGTCTTTAAACCTCTTTTGACCACCAGCATTACGCTTTCCATTTTTAAGTTCGGAATAGAGTAGTTGCTTTGGAAGACGATCATCAGGCATCCACACAACATGACCAGTCCAACGAAGTTGATGTTGAAGAATCATTGCTTCAACACTGGTGATACACCACTAAACTCTTCATAATATGAATGCAAATGATGCCATCTACTGGCCATATGCAAAATTATCCCAGAAGGGGGGAAATGCACAGAATAAGGCAAAGATAATGCTTTTTTGACTGGGAAGCCTGTTCAGTCATTTGTTCCTCTTCTTTCCCACTCCCGTTTTAAAAATCCAAAAACTACCACATGGATCCTGACTAAATTAGTTGCATTTGGTTCCCATTGAAATCAGTGGGACTTAAGTCATGAGTAGAATCATAGAATTGCAGAGGGGAAAGGCACTACAAGCGTCATCTAGTCCAACCCCCTGCAATGCAGGAATCTTTTGCCCAGCGAGGAGCTTGAACCCATGACCCCAAGATTAAAAGACTCATGCTCTATGAACTGAACTATCTCACTGATTACAACATAGTGCTTTCAACTATCTCACTTTTAGAAGACAACTGAAGGCAGTCCTGTATAGGGAAGTTTTTAATGTTTCACTGTGTTTGATGTTCTAATTTGCTGAAAGTTGCACAGTCAGATGGGCAGAAAGTTGTTGTTGTTCAGTATATGTTGTGAATGTGCCTGAAACCTGAAACCTGCAGTCTCAATCCCACTTAACCTGGGAGTAAGTCCAATCAAAATCAGTTGAAATGAAATCATCATCATCAACTTATTTCTATGTAGACATGGTTAGGATTAAGCTATTACAGTGGTACCTCAGGTTAAGTACTTAATTTGTTCCGGAGGTCCGTACTTAACCTGAAACTGTTCTTAACCCGAAGCACCACTTTAGCTAATGGGGCCTCCAGCTGCTGCTGCGCCTCCGGAGCCCAATTTCTGTTCTCATCCTGAAGCAAAGTTCTTAACCTGAAGCACTATTTCTGGGTTAGCGGAGTCTATAACCTGAAGCGTATGTAACCTGAAGCGTATGTAACCTGAGGTACCACTGTAGATAGTTTCACATAGTTCCTAATAATAATAATAATAATAAATTTTATTTATACCCCGCCCTCCCCAGCCAAGACCGGGCTCAGGGCAGCTAACAACCAATATTAAAAACAAGTTGATCAAAATACAATTTAAAAAACAAGATTAAAATACAACATTAAAACATTAAGATGCAGCCTCTTCACAGGAGGATACCTGTGATACCATTTTAAACCATGGCCTACCCAAAAGAATTCTGGGAGTTGTAGTTTGTTAAGGGTGCTGAGCATTGTTAAGAGACTCCCATTCCCCTCACACAATTACACTTCCCAGAGTTCCCTGTGAGGCGGCATTAACTGTTAAACCATTCTGAGAATTGCAGCTCTGGGAGCGGGGGAAGAATAGGGCCTTAACAGAAGTAAGCAAAATAATGATAATTGTAAGTAAAGCTGCAACAAGATACTGATTCAAGGGCTATTTGCTGAGATAAAACATGACAGAGATGCAATGACTGAGGGGGGTGGGATTCAGGGATGGAAATGTCGTTCTGCCTCATAAATTGTTTAGCCACAAAGGTCGGTAGGATTACAGCATAAGAGGTAGGGGAAGAAAGAGAAAGAACAAACCCTATCCAGTGTTTGAAATCTGTTGATTACTTCCCTAGGAAATGGACAGGGAGATCAGGTTTTGGATATCACAGGGAAACAATTAATGCGAAACCCAGAGATCTTGAAACATGTGTGTCTAAATCCAGCTCTTCTCCTCCAGCTGTTCTTTAGAATAGCCATATAACTTTGGAAGCACATTTTTTTTATGCTGCAGATTTCACATCAATGCCAGCCTAACGGCACCTGTGCCTTGACCTCTGCTCTGAGCGGGAGGAGAAGCCAGGAAGCCGGATGGATTTTCTGGGTGAAATTATTTCTGTATTATGAGGAATGCTGTTCTTCTTCAAATACGCCAACCTCCTTTGACAATTGCAGTGCTCTTTGTAGCTTTTGCAGTGTGGGGCACTCCGACTTCAGACCTACCCGAGAGATAACTTGGCAAACCAGAGATCTTGGATTTTGTCAAGTTGGTCTAGGCACAGAGGGACATCAGCGTGGCGCCCATGGGTGCCCATGTGCCCATAAAGACCTTCCTTGGAACCCACAGGGTCCCTCCCCTGCCCACTCTGAAATTAGGCTTAAAAGAAGCATTCTGTGGTAACCAATAGAACAGGTTGTGTTTAATACCTTTGTGTCACATCCACAACAGTCTCTCCAATTTTGCAAGGAGAACTCTAGGACCTTACCAGAGCCCTCACACCTTCTCCCCATAGTCCAGAGCTTACTAGGCTTTGGGAAGGAAGCAGGGAAGTCCCCTCTGTCTTCTGTCAAGTTGTCCTAAACCCATGTTAAGGATAATGATTTGATTTCCTGAAATGGGAATGTTTGTTTATGTTAAATTACTGTGTACTTTTTAACATGGGTTGCTGTTTTCCCCTCAGGCAGTAGCTCTCATGTGATTGGCTGACTGTGAGTCACGTGAGAGAGGCATTCCATTCTGTTGTGACTGTTATTCTAGTAACTGTCGTTTTGTAACTGTCTTTCTGCTTCTCTGTGTGTGTGAGGGAGAATGGCTGCTGAGAGAGGTTTCTCAGGATACTACTGTGTGTCAGTGTGATCTGTCTGAAGTGAGGCAGACAGAGGAAGATCCCTAAAAGTTAATAGGGAGAAACCTGCACAGGAGCTCTCTGTAAGGAACAGAGAGAATACTTCTGAGGTGAAAGGAACAAAACCTTTCATAATAAACTGTAAGGCCTGAATAAGGTAAGACTCGGGTGCAATTCTCAATACTGTTTTGTTTATAAGTCTAAGTAAGACTTCAGTCTACAAATCAAGTGAGAATGTACCCTTGTTTGAACAAGCATGTGATTGTAAATACATTCTTCTCAGTTATATGTTTATGAAAGTCAGTGCTTTTTTCCTTAAAATATGTTTAGGGGTACTCTCATTTTCCTAATATTGAAATACTGCCCCTCAATGAGGCCAAACTTAGATTCACAAAATGTTTACGGGTATGCGTACCTCTTCATCCCCCCAGAAAAAAAGGACTGGAGAAAGTAAACAAAAGAGTCTGGATATTATATAGTCTTCACAAAGAAGCTATCAATCACCCAGAAGAGTTATTTAGCTTCCTAGCTGTAACCTACTCTGCTATTTTGCATATCATCAAAATTTATTTTACATGCATAACAACCCGACTCTGTGGTAGGTTTTCTCCATCCTAGACCCTACATCAGAGATAGCCAACACGGTATCATCCACATGTTGTTGGATAACAACTCCTGTCATCTCTGACCACTGGCCCTGCTGGCTAGGACTAGTGGGAGTTGGATTCTAGCAACATCTGGAGATCTATCTCTACCTTACAACTGGAAAGCATATAATATATCTGAAATGCACTGTGATTCCTTTCCATACCCATCAATCTAAGCAAACTACAGCACTGGGGGCTAAGCTAAACTCAAGGCATGTGTTGGCAGAGGTCTTCAGAACATAGCCCAGAGCCTCCAAGCCCTGCAGGTTCCCTGTCATTCCAGAAATGAATAGCAGCTAGCTCCACTGTGTCATCGCAAAGCGAAGCTGAGATAGTCTCTTGCCTGGAATTTTAAAAAGGATTGGCTGTATCTGGAGCATAATTAAATTATAGGAAAACACTATAAATAAGTATATGTTTCCTAGCCACAGGAAAGGAAGAGTTATAGATAGGTGCTCTTGGGGAAGTGATGGATATCTTCAGGCTGAGAACGGCAGAGAGGTAATTTTCCCCACATCAATAATAAAGACCTTTAATTCTTCGCTTCCACTTGAGCCGATCAATAGAGGTTACAAATGTTCGGCATAAGGCAATATATTCCAGCCTAAGTTTACATTTAAAATGCCAAAGGATTTGGCCCCCAGCCAAGTTTAATAAATAAAATAAAATAAAATCTCTGTGTGGAGAATAAATCACCCTTTGGAATTCTTGGCCAGCATGATAAAGCTTTAACACTTGAGGGAGTTTATTCACCGTTGCACAGCCTTACGTTTAGCTTCATTGGAATCAACAGGCAGCACAGGCCGGGCCTCAAGTTGAACAGAAAGAAGAGGCAATGAAGCATTTTATAGGTGTTTTCAGTATCTGTTTGGATTATTGCAAAGGACTGAGGGCCAGTTTGCTTGATCCATATAAATGGAGGCTGATTGGGATTATTACAGAGTTTGGCACATACGTCAGACAAGACACAATGTTAAATATATATTTCTATTTAATGTGCTTTTTTCTTAAATTCACACAGATACCAGTCACTGGGGGCGGGGGGAGCTGATAAGCATATGGGGGTCAGCAGGCAGGCAGGGAGGGAGGGTAGGAAGGTAGGAAAAGGATTAAGTGTCCTTAACTCCCCACCTTAGCCATTGATAGGTAAAGGTAAAGGGACCCCTGACTATTAGGTCCAGTCGTGGCCAACTCTGGGGTTGCAGCACTCATCTTGCTTTATTGCCAAGGGAGCCGGCGTACAGCTTCCGGGTCATGTGGCCAGCATGACTAAGCCGCTTCTGGCGAACCAGAGCAGCGAACGGAAACACCGTTTACCTTCCCGCCAGAGCGGTACCTATTTATCTACTTGCACTTTGACGTGCTTTCAAACTGCTAGGTTGACAGAAGCAGGGACCGAGGAACAGGAGCTCACCCCATTGTGGGGATTCAAACCACCGACCTTCTGATCGGCAAGTCCTAGGCTCTGTGGTTTAACCCACAGCACCACCCACGTCCCAGTTAGCCACTGATATTCCTCTCTAAATTCCCTTCTCACAAAGATGCTTTTAATTTTTCTGAAAACGGCACTTAGACTTTGTCATGGGAGTTTTACAAGTCCCATGTCATTAAGCTGTGTCCAGGCCAACACTTTTTTCCTGAATTTCATTTCTATGTACTTCTGAATATCTCGTCTCTGGAATAGTACCTCTACACACGATCCCCATTCATCTAGGATTTCAATGTGTGCGTTTTTTTTAATGCCTCCCCACCAACCCCCTGAAAAATATAGCACTGACATTGTGTGCTTGTAGAAGCAAACAGGGAGAGCTCCCCAAAATGGGGATGTGGCTTGAAACTGAGTCAAAGAACTGGGTTTGGTTTCTACTAAGATAAATGATCAACAAATATTAGCAGGGCATCTATGGCAGTGTACAAACTCCTGTTTACTCTGCATCCAGTGAACTCCCGCTGCTGGTTTGGAAAGCAGTGCACACACAAGGTTAGCAACCCATATCTCTCCTGTCATTTTAGTCCAAAACATTTGGAAGGCATCAGATTGGAGAACCCCTGCCATGATCAAAGTAGCATTGCTGTCATGTTGCGGAATTTTTGGATACCAGATAAAATGCCCGGGAAAACTGAAAACTTAGGTTAAAAACTTCATTTCACTGGAGATTTTGCAAAAAAAGAAGAAGCGCTCAACAACTTTTGTGTTCGTATTTTCACTTCTTGAAATATGGCAACCAGGTCTGGCAAGTAGAAGCTCACACAAGAAATTACATGTGGGTGATAGATCTCAGAATCTGGTGTAGACTTTGCCATGTTATTGGGTGACTGTATGGGAGGAACATACTGTATTCAGGTGTTTGCCTGAATGTGTGTCCATGGATGGAGAACAGGAGTGTGCCCACAAACCCAACACACACCCCTAATGCCCCCCTGAGGCAAGACACAGTGATAACAGCAAGAACCTTTATTGAGCTGACAGAACTGGACAACAGGGGCAAAGCAACTGTTTATATACATTTCTGAAGGCCTGGGCCACTCCCACTCCCAACATGATTGGCTGTCTAAACTTCCAAGCTGCGAATCATGACTTAGAGTTTAAGGGCCAATGGCAGAGGCCCAAATCCTGAAATGTTCTGTGATTGAATATCATGTATCGAATCAGAACACAGGGGCTCAGAATCCTTAGTCCAGACTCAAGCTCAGTCAAACAAAGTCCACTGAATACATAACACACACACCCTATGCATTGTCCCACATGGCCACCCCCATACTGAGTGACGTAGGTCTTCAGTGGGCTTCTGCTCATGTTTGCTTGACTGTGCAACATTTGCAGAAACTTCTGTGCAATCAGAGCTGGATCCCCAATCGCATGAGGTGTCCTACTCAAGTTCAAGAAGACACATGTAGAAGCCCTCTAACTCAACACTGAGGATGGGGGGAGGTTGCAAGATGCAGGAGAATGTTGGGTGTGGGGCTTGAAACATACCCCTTTCCCCATCCAAACTTCTGAGTGCTTGTGCATGCCAGCATATTCCCGAACACACTTGTGGTTCCACCTTGAATGGTGAAGAGATCCAAACTTGGGCAAGTTAATGCCATCATTCTGCCTCGTAGATTTAAAGCCTTGCTGATTTGCCTGGATTTATCGTTGAGGTCAATAGCTGCTGTGCTGGACCACAAAAAGTAATGAGATAATTAAGCTAAAACCTATGTCAGAGGGAGAGGAATATCTTAGCTTTCGGCATAAATCCACTGTTAATGTACTAGTATGGTCATTTACTGTGCAGAGAAATCACTCTTATTGAGCTTGAGACATATTGGTTAATATAGTACGTAGACAGTTTGGCCTATGGGGAAAAGTTATGTAGCCACAGCGCTGGAGAAGGTTCTATTGTCCTGTAGTGTTAATGGAAATGCAAAGCGTTCTAATTTATAAGGCCACAAATTTCTATAAAATGTGGTTATATTACCTCCCTCCATATATCTGAGGTGAAGAGGCAGAACTCCCAGGTCGAAAAGCACTGCTTTGAGTGACGGTTTGTTCCTCCTTTCTGAGGAATTAAATGCTTGTTCGAGGTGCTTGGCCTCTCAGCTCTTGGTCTCCCTGTATGGATTTAGAAAAGCTGGAAGCATGGACAGCCCTTGACTTGAATTTCGTTCTCCAACTAGTTGGCCAGTCCGCTGTAAAAGAGAAGGAGGAGAAAGAGAGCGAGAGCAAGCAGAATCCATAGGGGAATTTTTATTCAGACTGCAACACACTTGGATGTTTAACCCTTCCATCCCCAGCCATGAATCCCTCAAAAATCCCACCCAGGCTGCAATTAATCTTGAAAATAAGGGTTCCATTGTCTCCAATGGGAACATTTTTCCTAAGGCTAATTGCCTTAGAAAATATTCATTTTTAAACAGATCTATACTCATAATTTTGTGGTTCTGGCCCATCTGAATGTTGCCTGTATGGGACTGCTTCTTGCATAGAACATTGACTTATTGGTTAAAAAAATAAATAAATCCTGATATGTAAAATTAGATTCTCTTTCCCCCTCTCTCCTCAAAATCCAATTTCCTGGATTTCAAAGATACTTTGGTTACACCCACACCCTACATTTAAAGCACTCTCCAACACTTTAAAAACCACAGAAACTTTAGTTTGTTAAAGGTACTGAGAGAGCTGTGAGGAAACCCCCTCGCAGAGCTATAATTCACAGCACCTTTAACAAACTACAGTTCCCGAGATGGTTTCTTTGGTGGGGGGAAACCATGACTATCAAAGTGGTATGAGAGTGCTTAAAATGTATAGCATGCTTTTTTTAAAAGGAGCATTTCGTACAAAAATGCAAATGTACAATCTACGTATTTTGACAGATCCAATGTATGTTTGACGTCCTGCTGGTACAGCCTAACTTCCATCTGTGAAGGAAAATGAATTTCTGTAGTTTATAGCATATATGTAACTCCACATAACTGTACAGGCAACTCCCATTTGTACAGGGCTTGCATTTGGATGCACTGCACATGTCAGCGGGGTGCATGTAAGCCTGCCCCATTCTGCCCTGTTCTGCCCCCTTCCGGGACTGAAAATGCTGCACACATCAGTGGTTGTGTATGTGCAGAACACCTGCAAACAGGGAGTTACATGTACCATAGTTTACTAGCTGTAAAGTCCTATCACATTTGATGGGCAGTGAGGCAAGAGGAGTTACCAGAATCCTACTCGCTCCTTGCATCCTACCTTATACTTTCACTCATCAGAATACATTTCTGCATATCTGGGGAGCTCCTCTTTATAGGAAAAAAATCACTATCTTGACTGTGGGTGGCCTCATTTTGCTGCCAGCTGATTGGCCCAAAGCCACAAAGTGTGGCACTAGAAGGGGCGATTGCAAAGAGACCCCTCCTATTAACTTCTGCCTCCAGTCACATTTTGAACAAAGGCTAGATTAATTGCCATTTTGCAAATTATATGTTCTGTGTTTGGGAATCCTAAATATGGCAAAACGACAAAGAAAGCAGACAAAACGATGGGCCGGTCCGCAAAAATGGTTTGATGAAACGACTTAGTAAAGTTCTGTTTAGCAGAGCCTGTTGTTGTCTCTCTTCAGTGTCACAATGTGCCAGGAATCAAATCAAAAGTCAGGAAAATAAAATAAGAGAGACGTTATCAAAGAGGGGGGAAATAAAACCCACAAAACTTACAAAGGCTTTTCCAAAAAAAATGTAGGCATTAAATCCACAAGAGCTCTTTGTACTTCAGCTCCAATAGATGACTAGAAAGTCTCTTCCAGGAAAGATTTCTCTCGCTTTTCTTCAGAAAATAGGCCACCTGAGTGTTTGGCTTCTTGCTTACCTCGCTGGCATGTGAACTCATAAGTATTTAATCAGAATTTTCTTTTGCTCAAAGAGAAATTTCTTTGAGGCAAATCCTTCTAAGGCTGAGCTTTGTTGTCCTGTGAAGTGTGCTTATTTCTCTCTGATTTTCAAGAATCGCTACATAAGAAACTCCAGAGTCTTCAATAAAAGTATGAATTTTTTCCACATTTCCTTGGCACACATCTTTAAACTGGAGGCGCAGCTGCCTGCAAGGGATCATTAGTTTAACTGAAATGAAGATGTTTCTAATTCAGATCCATTCAGAAGGAGAAGAAAGAGGTAGGAAGGATGAGGATGAGGTGTATATTTAAAAGAAAGGTTATGTTAATGTGTACAGGGTAACCTCCAGGCTGAGGTTGTACAGTAAAGGGTCTGTGTTCCTCTGGAGAATTGAGACATGGTGGAGACTGCTGTAGCTTTAAGATATATGATTTATTCACCTACTTACACCTTCGGTCTGCATGGAGGGAGTCCAGATCTTACAGCATGGACATTTCAAGAAGGTCTTGTCCCCCACAACAGTGCAGCCCTGGAGTCCAAGGCATCTCTCCCAGCCAGCCTTCAGCCAGCCTGCCCAAGATGGATCCCAGTCTTTCTTCTCCCTTCTTCCCGGAACACCCTGCTAAAAGCGCTCTTTTCCTGTCACCTCATACCCAGTTACCCTGGCAACCTTCCAAATCCCCAGTTTCTGTTCACACCTTGGGGCCAGGGGAAGGACAGTTCTCTTGCATTGCCAATGACTCTCAATGGCTCTGTATTGTTCCTTAATGGCTGCAGCTTGGCCAGGCTGTTTTGCATTGGTTGGTTCAGGAATTCCTCTGCAGCTTGTACTTCTTAATTCATATCCTAAATAAACAAAATCCTACAATTTATTAATTTATAGGGTTTGGGGGGGTCTCCCCCAAATCTATGACAGTATAAAAGGGGTCTTCTTCTTTTTTAACCTGATGATCCCATGGAGGCCCAGTCTTCCTGGACAATCTTAGATGGGGCTCTAGATTACTATGTTCCACTTTTTCAGAGATTCCCTGTTGTCAGATGAAGCTGACATGGAATAAAAATTTGCACCATTGTTGCAGCTGGATAGCTCAGTTGGTTAGAGTGTTGTCCTGATAACGCCATGGTTGCAGGTTCAATCCAGCTACGTATTCCTGCATTGCAGGGCATTAGACTACCATGATACTCTGGGTCCCTTCCAACTCTATGATTCTACGGAGAACAATATGTGTTGATTACCAGCGTGTATGAATGCAGACATTTCTGTGGCTCCTTCGGGAGCCACCTCAGACACTACCCCGATTGTCTGAAACAGGATTTCAGGACTTGGGAGACAGTATTGGGTAAGGTCTGCCTCAGAAGCTTCTGCCTGTAGTTCTAATAGTCAATAGAATTGGAAGGGACACCAAGGGTCTTCTAGTCTGGAACAGAGCAGTATAGAAACTTTTCTTCTGGAGGGAGGAAGAGGGTGAGAATTCAAATGCCGATTTGCTGACAAGGATCCCCACATTGCATGAAATGTTTATTTGGTCCTGACAGGTTTGCTGTGCTGTGCTTTCTTTCAATAGTCCAAATGGTCAGGTGTTTATACAGTCTGAGCCAGAAAGATGGAACAGGCAGGCTGTTGCTCACGCTATTTTCTCTTTTTAGAGGCAAATGTGTTTTGCCTTTCTGTAAGCAAAGTGTGAATTGCCGACACAGAGAAACTTAGATATATGTAAACGTGCATAAATCACAACTGCGGATTTGTACAAAATGGGCACTGGTGGTAGTTGTAACAAATGCATACGCTGTTTTTCCCCTGAGATCTGCCCATGCCTTCAATAATTTTGCGTACTAAGGCGGCTTCCGGACTGTTGCTATTTTCAAATCATTCTCTGAAAAGTCTTTGGATAAAAGTTCACTTTCCAACAAGTTGTTTACTTGAAGCTTGTCTTGCCTTGTTGTGATGCATGAGTTCCTTGTCAAGATCAGAACAGGACACCATTTTGACCAGGAATGGATTTAGTAAACTGGCTAAAGATAACCCGGCCAGGTGTCTACGATTTTCATAGCATGGTGCTGTTACTAATATGTCCCTAAACTATACAATTGAAAGGAGTACTTTCCGGTGGCCTGACCTGGGGTTTGTGATTCTAATACTGTAACACACCACCCCAATCTCAAAGTGGTGAGATTCCAAGGGGTTCCAGGTGCTCACACAGGGTTTGTGCTTCCATTTGGGAATGAGGCACAGCAGAGACTGTGGTGTCTTTATGATATATGGTTTATTTACACATATATACAACCTGAGCATGTGATGGAGGGGGTTCACAGCATTAACACCCGCAAAGGGGTATTATTTCTCTTGTAGCCCAGCCTTGGATTCAAACAGAAATCAACAATTGCTCTGCCTTTTCAGCCTGCAGCTTTTCTTCCAGCTTCTGGCTCACGTAACTCCTAACTATCAGCTCTGGCTTTATTCCTTCTCAATATCTGCAAGCTGAAGGACCTATTTGCTGTCACCCACAGAGCACCTTCCTTTTCCCTCCTTATACTTCACTGGGAGGGTAGTCTGGCTGTTTCTGGAAATTTGAAGGCCTTATTCTTGCAGGGTCCAGGGATTAAGTGACTGACATCCAGTTTAACAGCGCAAGTCTTGATTAAATTCTAACACTTACTGGATCCAGGGATTCAGAGGAGTCTGGCACCCACACAATACTATACTACTACTAATTATAATAATGGTGGTGTTGCTGCTGTTTATTATCTGGTCCACCAACACTCCCAGTACAGTGGTACCTTGGTTCTCAAACTTAATCCATTCCGGAAGTCCGTTCCAAAACCAAAGCGTTCCAAAACCAAGATGCACTTTCCCATAGAAAGTAATGCAAAACAGATTAATCTGTTCCAGATTTTTAAAAACAACCCCTAAAACAGCAATTTAATGTAAATTTTACTATCTAATGAGACCACTGATCCATAAAATGAAAGAAATAATCAATGTACTCTTCCATAAAATGAATAAGATAGTATTGTAGATGATAAAAAATAAAATTAAAAAAATTTCTTACCTGTACTGATGATTGTCATTATTTGGATGGGGGCTTTTATCCATTTCCACAGTCACACAATCAACCAACCAATCAGTAGCTGAACTGGGTTCCACACAGTCACAAAAACAAATTAACCGAAAAAGCCTCAAAACAAAAGGGCAAAATAAATAGCAAAAACAAAAGTGCCAAACTTAATCTGTTCTGGAAGTCTGTTTGACTTCCGAAATGTTCAAAAACCAAGGTGCAGCTTCTGATTGGTGAGGTGCCCCCAAAACAATAGCTGACAGCCGCATCAGACGTTTGGCTTCCGAAAAACATTCGAAAACCAGAACACTTACTTCCAGGTTTTCAGTGTTTGGGAACCAAGGTGTTTGAGTACCAAGGCATTTGAGAACTAAGGTACCACTGCAATTTTAAAGTGAGCCACTTGGAGGTGATGAATCACAGAACCATAGGGCTTATCTAGTCCAACACCCTGCAATGCAGGAATCTCAACTTGATCAATCATACATGACAGATGGCCATCCAGCCCCTGCTTTAAAACCTTCAAGGAAGGAGAATTCCCCACCTCTCATGGGAGTCTGCTCAACCCCCGAACAGCTCTTGCTTCAGAGTTAAGAAGTGCTGATTTAGAATAGTTTATTGATCTCATCCTTCAACAGACGTGCTTCTGAGATAGCTAAAAAAAATCCCCAAAGCTAAACCAGTGAGAATCAGAAAGCGCAGCAGGTAACAGATCACACTTAAGTTTACTTTCAGAGTAAATTATTCATTTGTACAGGAGCATCTCAGATCATAATATTCCATCTAAAGCTCAAAGACAAATTAGTTTTTCAGAGGTCACAAACTGGTAAAGAATAATTGTGAGATTTATTGTCAGCAGTGGTATTTAAAAGCAAGCCTGCAAGAAGGTGGACATTACTGAAGGCGCAAATAACAGCATCTTAATAAATGGTTTGCATCTTTGCTGCCTGACAGTTTGGGTGTCTACTTTCTAAGGAGACCCTTTGGAAAATAGGCTGAAACAGAGTACACCCATTTTAAATTTTAAAATAATGGGTGATAGCCAACTAAGCGCTACTCAGAGAAGACTTACTGAAATAAATTGGTTTATCTTACTTAAGTCCAATGGGTTACTCTGAGTATGGCTAACACTGGATATGGCTCAATGAACTTTCAAATTGACCATTTTTCTTGCTTGGGTCATGAAGTTTGAATGGCTGGAGTTAAGTTACCAGAAGAAGAATCTATGGAATGACTAACTCCAGCTGCATAGCATGTCACTTTCACTTTCCTAACTGCAGAAAGGCTGTGTTGTTGTTTTTAAAGTGAAGTTTTTGCACTAGGGCTCTTTAATCCACCTTAATCCTAAATTTCCAGTATATGCTTGAATCACTCCTGCTAAATACTGACAGTATTTAGTATTCCCATGCCCCATTTCCACATGCTCCTTTTCAAGACGCCCTCCACACCTGCTCACACACCCACACTTTATAGGTGATTGGTGCAATTTGCCATTTAGCATGGGGGTGAGGTGCTGCTGCTTGGGAAACATAAGCCCAAGGTCCGCTTGGACACACTGAAGCAACTTTGCAGTTATTTGGATCCCAGCCTGTGCTCTGGGGCACAGCCACATAGGTAAGACATATACAGCCACATACAAATACTGTATTTACTCCAATTTAATGTTCACCTCTTTTTGGCCAAATTATGTTGCAAAAATTAAGGTGTGCATTAGATTTGATGGCACATTTACATTCGCCAGCAAATACTTTTTTTTGGTTTCAAGGTTCTGAAAACTGAGGTGCGCATTGGACTCAGGTAAATACGGTATTTATGGTTAGGCTGACTGGAAGAGAGATTGTTCTTTTCTTTTAAAGGTAAAGGGACGCCTGACAATTAAGTCCAGTCGCAAACAACTCTGGGGTTGCAGTGCTCATCTCACTTTACAGGCTGAGCGAGCCGGCGTTTGTCTGCTTCCACAGACAGTTTTTCCGGGTCATGTGGCCAGCATGACTAAGCCGCTTCTTGCGAAACCAGAGCAGTGTACGGAAACACCGTTTACCTTCCCACTGGAGCGGTACCTATTTATCTACTTGCACTGCATGCTTTTGAACTGCTAGGTTGGCAGGAGCTGGGACTGAACAACGCGAGCTCACCCCGTCCCAGGGATTCGAACTGCCAAATCTTTTCTTCTTTTTTCTTTTCTTTTGGAAAATATAAAATGCAAAGCTGTAACATACAGAGCATGGCTACATAAAACAGAAATTAAGATATAACCAAAATTACAAATATTTAACATACACTGGGTGCTCCATCATGGCATGTTTAACCCTACTCACTCATTCAATTTGCACCAATGAGGCCTAGATTTGAAAGTTCCTTCTCTGTATGGGCAGCAGCAACAGAAGTGATTCAATTTAATATTACTAGCTTAAGTACCTTGGCATTTGATTTTGGGAAGCCCCCCTCTCTAGACCCCTTTCCCCTGTCAGGAGCTTGTCCTACACTTGAGTAGGACCCTGGCAGAGACACACGCCCGACTGGCATGTTCTTTCCCTCCTGGTCTTTCGTTTGAGAGCTTCAAAAGCTTTCTTCAGCCTGAACATCACAGCGACCGATGTTAACAGACACCGGCACACTTAGGGATCCGCAGAGCCTTTGCAGTTTGTGTAACAGGCCTCAGCAACTCAGCATTTTGGCTAATCTACTTTATTTACATATAAACACACACGGAGCACTGCAACATGGCTCCCTCTCTCTCTAGCATCAGACAGCAAAGTGAAAGAACAAAGGACACAGTAACACAAACATCCTGCCTCCGTCACTTCCCACTCTGTGGAGTCAAAACATACACCGTCATGTGATAGACAAAAATCCCATGACTGCAGTCATGGAGCAGGAATTCTAGCATCCCCATCCCTCAGCTGCCTTGTTCAAAATGGCAAGCCAGCGGACAGATAAGAGAGACCTCTGTTTAGTCTTACTGCCTCCCATCCTGGAGTTTCCCTTCACTCAGCCAACTTTGCCTGGTTGCATCCTCTTAGCATCTGCCTGTGATTAAAGAAAGATAAAGTTGGGCCAGATTGCTGGCTCACCAGCCTTTTAGTTTTAATTTCTGTTATTGATATTGACCTCAGGTCTTGCCTGACTTTTACTTTCATTTGAAAGTAAGGAGCCTGTTTCCATGGTGACAAATGCTGGGCACTGTGATAAAGCAAATTGCTGATGAAATAAATAATAATTATGGGCTTCGGTTTGAAAAGTATTATTTTTCCTTCCATTCAAAACTATCAGTGGGCAAGATTCTTCATGCAGGCTTTATTCCTTCCTGGTTTGGGTCCAGGGAAATAAAGTGGAAGGGCTATTTACCCTTGTTTCCACCTCTAAAGTAAAAGGTAAAGGTACCCCTGCCCGTACGGGCCAGTCGTGTCCGACTCTAGGGTTGTGCGCTCATCTCACTTAAGAGGCCGGGAGCCAGCGCTGTCTGAAGACACTTCCGGGTCACGTGGCCAGCGTGACGAAGCTGCTCTGGCGAGCCAGCGCAGCACACAGAAACGCAGTTTACCTTCTCGCTATAAAGCGGTACCTATTTATCTACTTGCACTTAGGGGTGCTTTCGAACTGCTAGGTGGGCAGGAGCTGGGACCGAAAGACGGGAGCTCACCCCGCCGTGGGGATTCGAACCGCCGACCATACGATCAGCAAGTCCTAGGCACTGAGGTTTTACCCACAGCGCCACCTGCTTCCCGTGTTTCCACCTCTACTGGGCGCTAATAGATGTTGTTGTATGTGAAGCAGAATCTTCATTTTCTGGGCACCCTTGAAAGAGTCACAATCTCCACACATGGGGAAATCCAGAACAGGAAGCCATATGGGGAAGGTACAACACAGTCTGCAGAAGGCAAGATATGAGAAAAAGAGATTCGGTTCTATTTCTCTTGCAGATGTTTCAAAGTCATCTATTATTTTGCCGTTTTTCATCTCAAGTAACACATGGTAGTGGTCCCATGTGGCACAAGGGTCAGAGGCAAAAGCATGTTGAGCACTTAAAGTGACATTTACCTTTGTAGGCTTACATTCACGCACTCCTCTCTGTCTTTCATCCAGGCAAGGAAGAGGCATTATCCAGCCAGGCAAGAACACTCAAGGAGGGAGTGAAGCAGGACTAGTGAGAGGTGTGGTCTGGCAAGAGGGGGTGTGGCCTGTGGAGAGTCCTGAGGGAAAGACAGACATGGAGTTAAGCTTGCAGTCAGGTGCCCAATCCTGTCACAGAGTGAACCAGCCGCAGCAAATTACATCGTTCAGAGTTGGAGTTCACAATTAGCAAAAACACAATCTTCACAGACTTGGCTGAGCATCAAGCCTAATGAGCACAGCAGCTCATCCCTGGTAGGTCTTATGAAATTAGTTGCCAAGACTGAAAGACCCCACTTCCCCACAACCATCTATATGTCCTTCTCTCCAGGGTTTTTTCCAAGCAATCGGAGACTACGCCTGCCTGCAGCCTGTCACTGCTCCACCCATTTCAGCCCTCTCCTGGTTCTGGGAGACAGGTAGGCGGCAGAGATACCCACGACACTGCACCAGCCAAACTCATCTTTGCGTCTTGGCCTCCCTCCTTCCACCCGCCTGCTTCAGCTTCTGCCTCTGATTCTGGACTTTTTTCTGCCACAGACTCTCCCCTCTCACTTAGCCCTGTTACCTCTTTGCCTTCTGACCCATCCTCTTCCCAGTCTTCATTGAGCTCCAACTCTCATCCTTCCCAGCTACCATGGAATGATGCAAGTTGTTGTCTGGCAACATCTGGAGGGCCACCAAAGATTCTCCATTCCTGCAATAACTCCTGCAGGTGCCATTGCACTTTTTATTCAGAGGTCCTTGGGTAAAGGTCTTAACTCAGTCTGCTTTTCATGCAAAAGGTTCCAGATTATGTCCCCAATATCTCCAGGTTGATGTGGGAGAGACCCCTGTCTGAAATCCTGAAGCGCTGCTGCCACTGTAGATAATACAATGGTCTAACTCGGTATAAGGAAAGGGCCCCTTGTTGTCTTAAACCTATGCACACAAACAGTTACTCTGGCATAACAACCCATTGGATCCACTTTAGCCTCTGTTTTGTTCTGTTTACACCGCAGGAGTGAAATCAGAGGTGGCCTTGGCTCTGATTTGACAAGATCAAAGGCTCTTGCTTCTTTTTATCCTCAGATAAATGATTGTGTGAATAATGTTATCACCCCAGGATGGTGCTCACATTTCTATACAGAAAACACAGTGACCTATTAATGGTCAGCAAGGAAGTGTGGCTGAACCACCCTAGAATTCCTTTGTTGTGTAATGGAATACGTTTGGTCATGGGGAATAATTTTATGCTCGCTGCCAAATTATAACACATGGCTTCAACAAAGAGAGAGAAATCAGTCTGTTTAAAGCCCCTCAAAATATCACTGCCAAGAAAGTTGAGGGTCCCACGGAATGTCACTTGTCCTTTTTTGTGGTAACTATGGAACCAAAACACAGCACCACAATGGAGCTTTTGTAGATGGTATCTGCAAAGTGACGATGGGCCGAGTGGGCATGGGAACTGAACAGACGCCACATCCTTCACAATACCCCCTTCATCTCATGGATGAAGAGGTCAGGCAAGGCATTTTAGAGGAACTTGTGCTTCTCTTGCCTGGGCCACACCTGTTTGCAGAGGCAAGGCGAAAATTCATCACGGCTAGCACCCTTCAGGAGACAGGAGAGGGCAGGTGTAATGTTGGCATCTCCTGGAAATCATTTAACCGAGAGAGGCCCACTGTTTACCTCCAAACCTCAACCTGCCACTTTCCGCCTCTCATCTGCAATGTGTCCATTTGTCTTGCTTTGTAATCTACAGATCATCTCGCTGACAAGAAACCCTCCTTCCCCCAGCCGCTGAAACTCGAAACCTGGAAAATAACATGGCAGGAAACTGTTAATCTCGGGTTTTAAAATATAAGCTGCAACACACAAAGCTTGCCACTGACTGTCCGCCAAGTTCCTGGTGCTTCAGCCTTTTGGACTGCCAGTGTCTGTCACTACCCTGCCAGCAAATATGCCTCATTCTATTGTCCTGCCAGGCAGGGAGAAAAAAAGGGCAACAGTAACTTCATCCTCTATTCATCAGCAAGAGAGGACAGTTTTTTTATGTGCCTTTATTATGGATGCTAATTTCCTAGGGGTAGGCAGCTGTAATGTTTGAATAAAAGCCTTTCGAGAGAGGACGGGGAGCAAAAATGGAACCTATAATTTAGCAACCAGGTGTGTTGCTGAACTTTGGGCCTAAGAGTCGTGATGCATTGTTCTGTATTTATTGAAGGATTGCATGGAATGTGGAAAAACACTGAGCTGGAGAGTTTCTCTGAAAACTACAGTAAATCTTTAGTGGCAGTGCCATCCCATGCGTGTTTACAAAGAAGTAAATTCACCTGTGTTCAATGGGACTTACTTCCAGGTATATATGCCTAGGATTGGAGACTTACTTGTGTCTCTTCCTAAGGCCTTCAGCTGTGTCAAATTTGACTTCCTGGGAGAGCAATACAAAGGTACCTAGAAGCAAGAAATGAATGCACAGTGCATTCAGAACAGCAAATTTCAAGGACTCCATTGGAAGTCAGTGGTCACATCCACACCATGGCTTCCCCTAAAGAATCCTGGAAACTGTAGTTTATCCCTCCCAGAACTACAGCTCCCAGCACTCTTGACACACTACAGTTACCACGGTTCTTTGAGCTTTAAATGCATGGTGTGGATGTAACCACCGTATATTAAATGGTCTGTAGTAAAAGTAGTCAAGTTACATAAAGAGAATAAACTGACTCATATTGAAAGTTTCTTCTTTTTAAGATAACTTCCACACCAGGTTCATTAGCATTGCCGGGGCACTGTTTTTCTGCAATCAACTGGAAGCAAAATTAAATGGGAGTTCTACACTACACAACCCATACCCCCCAAAAAATATCCAACAATGCTTGTACCCACAGCCCAAAACCACCTTTGTGCTTAAATTATAGCAAAAGCTATGTTTCTCCCAGCTGCTGTCCCTTTAATTACTAGGTTCCACCATGTCCGTTCCAGGCAGCAGTTTCTGCCACTGTAATTAGTTGTTTCCTGTTACTTCCATAGCTGCAGCCTTCCTAATTTGGTCCTTTATTAGTCAGATGGTCCTCTTCCATTTGAGGATGGGGGCTTTATTTTCTGGTTTCATCATTGCGGGCAAAGAAATTGCTCCTTGCTTTTTATTTAACTCTTTGGCCTCTTCAAGCCAAAGCAGGGCTTTATTTAACTCTTCAAGCAGGGACTTTCTTGTGTTCTTTTCATGTGTTTCTTCCTGCTCACTGATCTCAGAATCACAGACTCATTCCTATTGTTCATTCATTTATTAACATCCACCAGATTCCATCTGGGAAGGTAAACCATTAACAGGACACTAGTGTGATGTAGTGGTTAAGAGTGGTGGACTCGTAATCTGGTGAACCGGGTTCAATTCCCCGCTCCTCCACATGCAGCTGCTGGGTGACCTTGGGCTAGTCATACTTCTCTGAAGTCTCTCAGCCTCACTCACCTCACAGAGTGTTTGTTGTGGGGGAGGAAGGGAAAAGGAGATTGCTAGCTGCTTTGAGACTCCTTCGGGTAGTGATAAAGCGGGATATCAAATCCAAACTCTTTCTTCTTCTTCTTCTTCTATTCATTTGAATGAGCCTCCCTTGTATTGTGGAAGGTGAAGATCAGACTGTCACTCAAACTAAATCCGATGTAAATAAAAGTTCAGAAGGTGAAGCATTCCTGGAGAAGTAAATGGTTCAGAAAGAATGAGTTGGGGCAGCCTAAGAGTAGTTATAATGCTTTTTATTATTTAAAAATAATGGAATACGTATGAGCAATGTGTAAGCCAAAAACAAAAACAATAAGTTACTGTTTAAGCTCACTGAAGAAGGAAGTATGAAGCATGAGAAACTTCAGAAGTAACTGGCATATAAATATCACTTACTGTTACAATGGATGAGTGGAGGAGTCAACATCACAGCTGCAGATGGGATTACAGACAATGCAATGTTTGATGGCGATGTGAAATTTAAAGCACTTTTATTCTAATTGTTAATTATCTCAGGGACCATTTTGTAGCATGCTGGGCCAAGCAGAACAGCATGAATCACTGTCTAGCCTTAATATAAATTATAATGCAGCTCATGTCAATGATGGGATGACATAGACAATTTTATAAAGGCATATCTCCTGGCATTATTTATTTGGGTGTTTCTGACCTACCAAGGCTTTTTTTAAAAAAGCTTGGATTGGCTTTCTTTGGACACACTGTATCCTTTTTTAAGGATATACGAGCTCTTGTTATTAACTTTTGTATCATGCTTAGTCTTCATTGCTCAAAGTACATGAGCAAATGTATGCAGCAGATCTTGTCTTTGAGAAGAGCATTGTCTCAACGTGGGTTTTTGTATTGAAATTACCTGCCGTGTAGCAAACTCAACCAGCTGAAGAATGTAATTGTAAAGATCCATTTACACAAACATGGCACTTGTGGTAAGTGAATTAGCTCTCGAATATCGAATGCACAATATATTTTTCCAGTTCATGTCTGGCTTTCATGATGCCTCAAGATGGAAAAAAAGAATCTCATCGCTGAGCCACACAACCTGAAAGCATCATTACAGTCAGATTTCCATTCCAATAAACATGTTCATCCAATGACCAGGACAGAACCATTGAGTCATGCATCAGGTGACTCACAAGTGCAAGATGGTGCCAATATAAATTTCTGACTCTCCTAACCAGACCTAGCATGGTCTTTGCCCATTCCTAAATGTTCTTATCTGCTTTTCATTTTACCATCAATCCATCTGTTCAACCTTTTTTGTGGTACCCACCTTAACTAACGTTCTTAGGATGCTTTGGGGGTTCATGACCTTTCAGTAATGGGTAGGGGGCTGCCAAGTGGGGTTTATGGATTTTTACCCCATAATCTGAGAATTGTCTCCTAGTGCTCAGTTTGCTTTGCCCCTTAAGTCTTTCTCTTGACTAAGATTATTTAGGGTTGCCATCTCTCTCTCTTTTTATTGGTCTTGCTCCCATGTGTTTAGCAGCAGCCAGCCTGATGTACAGAAATATAAATTTATGCTGGATGCTGAATCATGTGTGATGCACTGCGCCCAAAGCACAGATCCATACAGGAACATAATTTTCTTAACTACAGTTATTCACTGAACAATTACTCCTTCTGGCAGCAAACTCAAGCTGTGAGTGCTGATAGACATGTATCGAGAACACTGAGGAATAAAAGGGAAGTATCAGCATGCTTTGGGGGAACCCCAAGATTTGTGAAAGTAGGGGTGAGATAAGGGGGCACTCCCCCCAAAAAAAATCTGAGTGAGGACTAAGCATGCTTAGTACCCACAGAATGTTGAGTGTCTGTCAAAAAATAAAACAGAAAACAAGAGGTGTGAGATTGGATTGCCTTATTTGAGCCTCTTGTCTAATAATTTAGACATAGAAGGGCATTGCTATGTCCTGCCCCAAATAGACTCGGAGCTCCCAGGAAAGCAGGCTATAGTTGCAGTCCTCTGAGCCAAGAGGCATAGCAGCCAATGTAGAAGAGTCACTTTCATCAAGGTCAGGTTTCCATAGGCAATGCGAAGGTAAGCTTGGGCAAAGTGAAGTCTTGATCACAAGGCCCAGGCTGTTTTGCAGAGCAGAATAAGGTAGAATTAGGCAACACTGATCAGGACTTTGGACAGATCACCAGTTCAAGGTTTCTCACCTATAACAATGGGAGCTGTTGCTTCAGCAAGGGTGCAAAGATCTTCTGAGACCAGCCTTGTAGTACGGTTGACTCTGCTTCCACTGTTAAGAGTATTAAAGTTTCTGGTTATAATGCAAGGACCATAGGGAGAGAGTCTTCTGAAACTGGTGAGACCGGTTAAGCCACATCTTCTAATCTGGAAGGACCAAGTAGGGGGAATGAAGACCCCTTGCCCAGGTTGGTGGGGTTTTTTTTGAGTAGTCATATCTATCTTGGTCCACAGTTAGCTGCTGCAACCACACACATTCCTACAAATTGCTTTCTTTTCATGGGTGGTTGGTTGCAATGCATACATAACTGGACCATAGATTAGCAGGGTTCAGGAAGCTTCATCAATTCTCAAGGATAGTGATAAACAGGAGGAGGACCCACCAGTAGATCATAGGCCAGTTTCTCAAGGAAGGAGAAAGACAGAGGCAGAACCATACCAAAAGAAAAACGAAGGGGAGGCGAGTCTTAATCTGGTATTAGTAACATACTATAAAAAGTGGGATTCCCCCCCCCCCCATAATACAGTGTTACTTTTAAGCTTGAGGCTTACACCTGCCTCTTCCTTTGTTTTTTTTCCGGTCTCTGGTGGTTCCATAGTGCCCGCTAGTTGCTGAGATTCAGGCTGAAGCAGCTAGAATAAGTGGACCTATTTATTGGTCAAATGTAACAAAGTGCTATGCTATATTCTTAAGCTAGGGTGCATGCTCACACTCACTTAACACCATTCAGGTATGCCTTAACCATGAAGCAATCTTGAGTATTCACTCTTGCTTTATATATTGCCAGGAGCTGCTAGAAACCTTTGGCTGTGTTTGTGGTTGCCCCTCCCACTGCCACCAATGTATCAGAACAGTGACTTGGAACAACTTTCATCAGGGAAGTCCTTTCAAGTTCAGGACTGGCACCCACCTATCCAAGCTGGTCATTGAGCCCTCCTGGACAGGAAGTTTTGTAAAGGGCTTCCTGTCTGGGCTGGGAGTTTGCCTGAGCAACGAGGTCTTCCTGGCTCCAGTGAGTTTTTCTGTTCTGACTCCATGGCTCAACTGCTAATTTCTGGCTCACTTCAGGCTGCCGTCTGTGGCTCAACCCTGACCCAAATTTTTAAAAACATTGGTAGAGGTAGGCTGCACACACACTATATCTTTAAAGCACATTTGAAGCACATTCTTTCCCTCAAAGAATTCTGGACACTGTGGTTCACACCCCACAGAGTTGCAGTTTGCAGCAATCCTTAACAGACTTCACTATACAGAAATTCTTTGAGGGGGTAAATGTGCTTAGCCTGTGCTTTATATAGTGTATGTACACAGCCTACTATTTCTGCAATAGAAGAAATGAATTATTAGATGCACATATACTTTGAACATTTTTACTAGTTATTTAGGTTAAAACTGCGTATTGAGTTCTATAGCAAGCTAGACTTGGGCCATTGGGTAGCTCAAAAAACTTTTTAAAAAATCACACCCAAGCCAATGATATTTTTTGAAGATATAATCTGAGCAGATAGTTTTGCAGAGCCCCATGGCTTGAAATACTCTGTAGTCAAAGAGACGCAATTGTCATTCTACATTAATGCTTCCCTTGTTACTGCGCAGGGAGAGTTATTCTCACTGCAAAGCAATTCTTATGAGCCTCAGAGTCTCTGCCATTCTCCCCTGCTTCCATGGGCAACCTTTAAATTGACAAGGTTCATTTTCTTGTCCCTGAAGACTTAAGTTTTGAAACAAATCAGCCAGCAGTGGAAGAGGTCCAAATGTTTCCTTGTTAATAGAGTCTGAGAAGTCTGCTCCCAGGATAGTAAGCTTGTCTTTAAGATTCATTACAGCTTGACCATGTAACTTGCTGGCTGCGCTCACACAGCAATTCGTAAAATGATCAGAACAGTATTCGGTCCCTATGCAAAAGACTCCTGAATGGCTTGAACAGGTTTTGGGGTTTTTTACCTGACCCAAGTTCTAGGGCAGGAAATCAGCAGCACTGCTGTAGCAGTTCTTTCTCTCTTCCCCCACGTGGGTTGCACAAGGTTGCAAACTATATCTCAGTCATGTACTTTCAGCATTGTAACACCAGTTCTCTAGAATTCCCTTTCCTTAGAAGTGAAACAAGCTCCAACATTGTTAGGGATTTCATTGTTGGTTTGGAAGCCTTCCTTTGCTCCCAAGCCTCCTCAAGTTAGTCTATCTTATCTTTGCCTTTTTAAATTCTTGCTGGTTTTGAAGTTTTTTTAAAAAAGATATAATAATACTGTTTTATATCTGAACACCACTCATATATTCTGAAAATCAAGCAATCAGTGTGGAACTTTATATATTCTGTAAATCAAGCAATCAGTGTGGAACTTTACTTGGAATGGATCTGCCAAAAACTCCTTACAATGTTCCCTCTCACTCCATCTTATAGCCCAAATCCTCAGCAGAGGTGTAACTCCATGACATTATCTTGCCAGATCAACTGGGGATTGGGAGAGTTTACAGCAAAGTAACTTTAGCTGCAACTGCTAAGCAGCACTGGATAATGAAGTTGCCTGCTGTAACCAAAAAGTCGGGGGGGAGGGTGTTTCCCCAGAAGAAGGAAGAGGAGGAAGAGAAAGTCCCACTTACCGTAATTAAAGTAGAATCAGTGTGTAAGGCTGCAATTTGGAATTGAATCTTTCAAGACCAGTCCCATCCACTTTACTAAGGCTTGTCAGGATTCGGTCTTGAGGAATAGGGACTATTTTCAGGTGACACCATGTGTGCCCAGGAGGGTGACCAAGGAGGGTGGACTGGAAACCAAGCCTTATGAAGAATGGTTAAGGGAGTTAGATATGTTTAGCTTGGAGAAGAGAAGACTAAGAAGTGATGTGATAGTCATCTTCAAATATCTGAAGGGTTATCCATGGAAGATGGAGCAAGCTTGTTTTCTGCTGCTCCAGAGGGTAGGACCCAAACCATTGGATTCAAATAACAAGAAAGGAGATTCTGATTAAACATTAGGAATATCTTTCTTATCATGGATTGGGCAATCTCAAAGGGGGCGGACTCTCAATGATTGGATATTTTCTAAGCAGAGGTTGAAGGGCCATCTGTCTGGAATTATTTAGCAGTAATTCCTGCATACCAAGGGGTGGACTAGATGGTTTTTGGGGCCACTTCCAAACCCACAATTCTATTATACTGTTATTCTATTATTCTAATTCTACAAGCATACTGAACTTTAATAGAGGGACCCGGAACATACGATCAAACCCAATATTTGGAATGAATTATGGACTAAAAATATAAAATTCATGGCTTGCTTCCTTATAAGGGAAAATCTTATGAAAATGTACTATAGATGGTACTTGACCCCTGTAAAACTAGCAAAAATAAATAAATTATATAATAACAAGTGCTGGAGATGTAAGAAACAGATAGGAACATACTATCATATGTGGTGGTCCTGTCTAGGTGGTCCTGTCTTTGTAGAGATACAAAGATTTTGGAATATGATTTATGAAGAAATAAAGAGATTGATTAAAAACTACATTTAGCAAGAAACCGGAATAATTTTTACTAGGAATTGTTTCAAATAATATTCCCCAAAACAAAACCAGGTTATTTATGTATGCGACGTCAGCAGCAAGGTTTATAGTGGCAAAACACTGGAAAGATAAAAATACACCCACTAAAGATGAATGGGTAGTCAAATTGTGTGAGTACTTGGAGCTTGCAAAGCTGACAGATGCAATAAGAGATAAACCTAAAAAGATGGTGAAAGAAGAATGGGAATGTTTAAATAATTATCTAGGGGATAAGGGTTCATCAATAAAGACCTGGTTATGTTTAGAATGATACCGCATAGTGAAATGTTCCCTGACACCAAAATGAAGGATTCTATGGAATGCAGATAGAGAGGATTGATAAGAATAATGATCTGTTGTGACCTTGACGGAAGCGTACAATAGACACGCTTTCTTGTGTTTTGGCTCATCCCCCCTCCCTTTCTTTTCTTCCTTCTCCTTCTTCTTTCCTCTTTCTCTTTTCTTTCTCATAATGGCTTATGTTCTATGCCATGTACTCTGTGGTTTTTTGTAGTTTTTTAGCCTTTTCCATTATTATTATTATCAAGGATTTTTCTTTTGTAATTTTGGTTTATCTGTATTTGTTTAAAGCAAAAAAAGGGGGGGGCCTTGACCATTAAAAAGATAAGGCCATTTCCTTTTTTATGTAAAATGGGGAGATGTGGAGACAGCAAACCACTTCCAAATCTACTAGAGATGGATTTCGCACCGATAAAGCACCATTCCTATTTATATGCTTGTATGGTTTGTCATAGCAAAGATCTTGCTGTTACAGTACATCAGCCGCCAGGTGGCAGTCCCCACAGTGCCGTTCCTTAAGTCATCTGAAACACAATAAACGTGTTACCTCGCCAAGAAAAATGTTATTGCATTATCCTTTCCGCAAAGATTAGTTTTTTTCTGGGTGCCTGCGGAAGTTTTCGAGGTTCCCGTACCTTTATGTAGCTCACCAGAGCTACACTGTGTATTTTCTTTCCTAAATAGTTCCATGTGGTTCCTTGTTTAGATTATTGCACATTTTCCTCATTGTCATGGGACCAGCTCCAAAAGCCTTTGAGGGGACGTGCACCTTCCCTTTTACATTCATAGAAGGATACAGTCCCCAGGGGGGCGTTGATAAAAAGGTGGCATTTCCACCTTTCTTCTGAATTTGTTTGTGGCTCCTTTCTAAATGAAAAGAGGGTGAAAGAACTGTAAAGGTGATAGCAGGAATTCTACACATTTTATTTCTTTGGTCCTGGTATTTGGCAGCAGACAAAGCAATGGATACCATGGGTCCACCAGTGGAGTATAAGTGGTGTGGTATGTGTGGAAAACAGAAGGCGAGACTTCACTCTTGTGTCGATAAAGGACCAATGCACGTATTGTGGCTGCCATATAGAGATGGCTCTAAACTGCTACACATGGAGCTATGTCACTAGATTAGTGAATCATATGAAAGCAACGTCCCACCATATGAACTGGGTGCCTTGCAACACGCACCCCCCATTTAATGTTCTGGAAAAGTTGTGTTACCATGAGGGCATCTTTTTGCAAATTGGTAGCTTTTGTGTCATTTTCTTTGCTGGGTCCAGTCTACTGAGTGCACTTAATTGCATAAAGTATAGTAAGAATAAGGGAGGAAATAAACTGTCACTTCTATAGAAGGGAGCATCTCTAAAAAAGTAGGAGGAAAGAGGAGGAAGGACCTGAGAGATCACAACCACTCGCAGGTCCAGCCCTACCATTAGACAGAGTGAAGCAGCCACACCAGGGCAGCAAATGGTTAGTTAGTTATTTGGTTTTATTTACGTTATTTATTGCATTTATATTCAACTTTTTCTCTCTCCAAGGAGCTCAAGGTGGCACACATGGTTCTCCTGTTCCTCATTTAATGATCAGAACAACCCTTTGATGTAGGTCAGGTTGAGAGGCAGTGACTGGTTCAAGGTCACCCAATGCACTTTGCAGCCAAGTGGGGATTTGACCCTTGGTCTCCCAGGTCCTAGTCCAAAACGCTATATATTTTATTGTATTTTTACTCCCAAGAAAATGCACATGGGGTTTTCTTGTGGCACTCAGTAAAACGTCATCACCACACAAGTGCGCCATCACACATCATCTAGTATACCTGCAGTTAAGTGACATGTGATTTTATGCTAGGGCGGTTTCTTTACCGCATCGTCTATGGCTCAGGAAACCTCTAATGAAATGGTGAGGCCGCTACTTGGATGAGAATAACATCGTGTGAATGACGCACACAAAATGCATGTCTGGGATGCATCAAGCCCACTTCAAACTTCTGTGTGTACACAGCCTGACATTGTTTTCACCATTTAATGGGCTCTGTACGCTTTTTCAATAAGTGAAGCATGGTTGTGAACACATTTTGCTCAGTCCAAGAGCAGTGGATTGTTCAAACATTGCTTTCCATGACACATGGAAAGCAATGTTTTGTGGCTTGTTTTGACTCAGCCTGCTGCTTGTAGGCTCTGTTTATAAACTGAAATTCTATTATCAAGCCATGGGGACATTGCTTAGGTTGCAGACATTTTACATAGGTTACAAGATTATTGTAAGCAATCCATCATTATGATGATCCCTGCCTTTCATAGAACTTGTCAATTTGTCCTTGACAGAACATGAAAATGTCCCCTATATATCTTCCGCCTCTACTTGCACATATTGACTACAATCCTGCACTGGTGGGGAGGGAGGAGGAGATATGTAGCACCCAAAAATAGAAGACGTTGATTTGAATAAAATGTGCACCTGTAAATTCATATGTATAGGAACAAATTTAGTATGTGTATATATATATATGTGTGTATACACACACACACACACACACACACACACACACACACATATACATACAGTATACACATGACATTAGCCACAATCCACATTTGTCCTGCAGTTCCTTGAGAAATACTGCTGTTTGGTGCATTTTCCCTCCAACTAGTTTCCATCGTATTTGAAAATGTAAGACATGTTCACTTTGCAGTTAAGCTGAGGTGTGGTGTGTATATTTGAGACAGCCGTTGCACATGTGCAAAGGAAAGTGCATACTCAGTTTCAGGGGGATTGCAGGTGCAGGGAAATCAAACAGGTTTGGTGGATGGGGGGGTGAAGACATCTCTGCCATCTCTCTGGTGTGTACAGAAACATGCAGAAGTGACTTCAAATGCTGGGTTGAGGGAGACAACCTCACTGCATTTTCAACCACTAATGTGTATATAGCCTTAGTTTGCTTTCCTGGTGCTAACAGTTGGTGGGCAACTTCTGGTAGTTTTTAATCATTAAACTGGACTTGGACCAGAGAGCCATTCAAACACAGGGTGCCTTCAAAGAGAGGACTAACCTCTCTGAAGTTGGGCATGGGGCCACCCTAAAACAGAGTTGAGTGGTCAGATGGTGTGCAGGATCCCGTAAGTGACCCTTAACTGCAGATTGTAAGCCTGTCTGTTTCACTTAGGATGTTCTGTTAAGAGCCATGTATGTACAATAGAAATTATAATAATTCTGCACAGAGCTCTGAAATGTATCTTGTTTGATGAATATAAAAGCCTTTCCCTGAAAGCAGGCTGTGTTTTCTGACCCTGTTTTCTTATGTTTTCATAACCTTCCTTTGTACCAATCAGTGCTACAAAGATGAAACATGAGGACTTTCTCATGAGAAATTATTTCCTCGCTCATCCTGTGCACGGTGGAAAGTTTGCCAAGTCTTCGGAGACTCCGTGCTCCTGAAGACTCAATGCTGGCAAACAGACAACATTTGCATTTGTTACTCTTAACAGTGTGCAAGCCTTGACACATAATGGAGCAACACCTTGATGTAACTTGAGGACAGGAAGACAAAATCCATAGATGACTGGTCAACACGTAATGCTGCCAAAATACAGCAGCAGCAAGTAACAAGGAAGGCACATTAATGTTCTGTCCAGACGTTCTTCAGCCTCTGGGGGCTCCAAAAGCCTCTGTAGTCTTTGCCATCTTTTGGCAAGCAACAAAAGAAATGCTTTTTTGTTCAGCGAACCTCTTTCCCCTTTTGCTTATCTGCATATATATTGGCTTTGCCACCTGGTGGTAAGCAAGGCAAACTGCACACTTGTAGACTTCGAACAGTTTGGAATTATTTGTGTGTTATGGCGATCCAAAGAGCTGGGGTCAATTGCCAAGCAATCTGAGGTGATTTCTGTGTGGCAACACATGAGGAGAGGCCTTGGAGCCATCTCAGCCAAACAGTTGTCGATTAGCAAAGTGTCATTTACTGTAACCTTGAAGGAGGAAAAAAAATGAGTGTCCCAAATACCACAACCAATGTACTTCATGGTAAATCAGGGGCCACCAGCCAATTTGGGGCCAGTGGCCACCTTTGGAATGTTGAGAAAGTAGTGCAGGCGCCAGTCACAAAATGGCTGCCATGGGGACAGGGCACAATACAAAATGGCAGCCACTTCTATATAAGAATAGTAAAAGAGACAGGAACACGAAATGGTATAATTGTTTTAGTCTGTGAGGTACAAAGGTATGTGGCAGAGAGATATTTCTAAGCACTCTTTGCCATTACTGAATTACTTTTGGCGCTCCAGGTGGGACTGAGAGACACTCTTGATCTGAAAGGCTGGAGAGATGTTGCCAGTCAGTGAAGAGAATATTGATCTAGAGATAGACCAATATAATGGTCAGGGTCACTCTAAAGTGGCTTCCTATGAGTAGAAAAAGATCGGATAATAACACAAATATTTCAGGTTGACTTTTTCATAAGGGGTAGTATATGATCTTTACTGAGCAAGTCAAAGGTTTGGGTATGTGGTGTGGATGTGGAGCATGTTTTGAACCTGTCAGTACTCTGTGTAATTGAATTAAGCAGTGTATTTTCTGATTTGTGTGGTCCTATATAAATGTGTTTTGATGTGTTACAGTTCTGCTTTTGGTTACCATTATAGCAAAGCATTTCTCCTTCTGCAATTATTATTTGAATTGTTTTGTGATCCTTTCCGTTTGGCTCTTATGTACTTTGTGTAATTGCTTTTCTTATTTTGAAGCAAACATGATTTGTTGTAGCTGCTACTGTTGTCGTTTGCTCTTGACTGCAAGCATGTTTGTGGAAGAGCACAGTATACAAATATTTGTTCGGCTCAAAATTCCTCTTATCATTCTTTCATTCACTCTTCCACCTCCCTACACTATGCCCCAAACAAACAAATAAAGGTTTGGATTTATTTGTCCATGGGGTCTAGGTGTAGTAGAGCATCTAAGAAGTAATTGCCTTACAAAGCACATTGTCAGTATTTGCTTATAGTTCCCTGGGGTGTTTAAATTCCCATCTGGACAGTGGCTTGTGCCAAAGTCTGTAGGCACCCGAGCTCATCTTAGCGTGATTGTTGGAAGAAATGCACGTTCCATGATTGAATGCTAGAAAATGATGGGTCCAAGTGTCTGTTCATATGACACATTTGTGATTCCTATGAATGATTCTGTCTGTCCTTAAACACATCCTAGTATGGCGAAAATGTAATGTGCCAATCAGAGGATCCAAAACATAGCCCACTCTTGCCAACTGACTCACAATGCAAGATGTGCCCCTCACAACCAGGTCGTGAAACAAATAGCTAAGCTGCTTCGTTTGAAAGGAGGATTTGAGACAGAAGAGCCTGGAATATCTTTGGCTATGTCCGTCTGTAAACCAGATTTGATTGTTGTCAACGGAGAGCAGACGACCGTCATGGATGTTGCCATCATGGCCGAGCAATCAATAGAGAGTGTGGGGCTAGCTGCAGAAAGGACGGAAATATGGGAGACAATGACCAACCAGGCAATTGAAGACTTTGTAAAAAACTAAACTAAACACGTCCAAATGGCCTGAAGATAGGCCATATACCTTTGTATCTGTTACAGCATTGCTTTGCCTTACAAGACTGTCTTTATCAGACCTCTCGTTACTGTGGCCAGGGGCAGTCCGCCCTGTTTGACCTCCTGAGGCAAAACAGGAAGGTGCTGCCCTCACAAGATCTCATGGCAACCCAAAAGCCACAGCTTCTCTTCACTTGTGGGGGGGGGGGCAAATCTGCAGAGGCAACTCTTGGATTCTGCCACCTGAGGTGGCTGCCTCAGTCTGCCTCATTGACAAGGCAACTTTAAAAAGAGTGTTGTTGTGAAAAGTTGCAGCTGGGCACAAGCATAGTTCCATAAAATTGGGCTGTTTCAATGTTAGGGAAACCAATGGGATTATGCATTCTACGCACAAGTGCGCAGGCCACCCCTGTAATATGGTTCGCATGTTTTATTTGTCCACACAAGTGAGTGGTCAAGGATTGTCACAGAGCCTAACTGTCATTAGTCACACAGTCCAAAGTTGGAGTTGACTCTAGCAAAAACGCGATCTCCACAGACTTGGCTGAGTGTCAGGTCTAATGAGCATAGCATTAGATTCCTGTGGGTCTTACTCCATGAAATCAGCTTCCAACACCTCCTCTTTCCAGTCTTCTCCCTCTAACCACTCATTGTTGTCCCACCACACTCCCTGGACTTTGAGCCTTCATCCCTTGGGGGTTCCCCAGCTGGTTCCTCCCATCATTCCTCTGTGTCCAACCAGTTCATGACAAGGATGGCAGGACTTCAGCCCATACCTAAATTGGAATATTTATGTAACTGGACATGTTCTTCTTGCTTTATGAAGCATTTATAGCTTTCAACCTAGTAGGGGGAGGAAATTAACAAGCACACATTCCCATTAAACAGATTTGTAAACATTTCATTGTTGGCTTTTAATCTGATTATTGATTTCATCTGTGTCAGCCATTCTTCTCTGGTGTGGCCATTATACAGTTAAGTTTTTGTTTGCTTTTACCGACACAATTATACTTGTGCTTTTAGCAGAAAATGCCACAATTATTTAACAAAGGTATTTGGCTTGAGGACAAGCGATGTGTTTATTTAAATTGTATCCATTAATAAGGAAGGCCTTTAGAAAAAGCAAAGGAAGAAGATTACACAGCAAGATTAACTGCTAAATAGGTTAATTTTTCTATTGTGTTTTTTTCCCCTTTACAAGCATACACATTTTTCACAATGCTGTTTGACTTGAAAGAGCTTTCGCTTGCAAAGATAAACAAACTCATATAAGAGCCGGCAGTCAGTGCATTAAACTGAAAAGAAAATTAATTGTGCAGGTGCTATTACAGCACACAAGGTGGGAAGGTGGGTGTTTATCAGGCAACTCAGTTTCCTCCCTCACACACATGCCAACAGAGCTGTGACAGAAGATGAAGAAGAAGAGGAGGAGGAGGAGGAGGAGGAGGAGGAGGAGAGGAGGAGGAGGAGGAGTGGTGGAGCTTAATGCTCCGGCGGGGGGGGGGGGGTTGTTTACATTTGAAATCCCACTTTATCACTACCCTATGTTGTTTCAAAGCGGTCCTATACATTTCTATGCAGAAGTAAGTTCCACTGAGTTCCATTAGCCTTACTAGAAACATAGGATGCTGCCTTATACTGAGTCAGACCATTGGTCTATCATGCTCTACACCGGTGTTTTTGGACTATAATTTCCATCAACCTTGACCACTGGATTTGCTAGCGAGGGGTGGTGGGAACCTGCAAGCCACGCATGGCCTTGTTGCATGGGGGTTGGGGAGCGAGGCCAAAATTTGACACCTGCCAGCCCTCATGCTGCCTTCCCAAAGCTGGATAAGCAAGGCCTTTGGCAAGGAGGTGCAAGGCTCTGGCGGGGTCCTAGAGCCCTCCTACCTCCTTCCTAACGTTGAGAAAGTGCTGACTAGGCTTTGGGCAGGAGGATAGATGACTCTAGGATCCTGTCAAAGTTCAGCACCTCCTTACCTGTCAAGGAGCTGTCAAAGGAGCCAGGTCAACCACAGGGCAGGCAGACACAGACACAGGAGGCACAGAATGCAATTAGCTCTTTATTAACAGAAAATACCAACACAGCAGAGTCCCCTGGTTTGTATTAATCTAGCTGAAACATTCCTGACACTTACCACTGGCCCCACCCTTCCCCCTCTATTTTTTATCTCCCAAAGAGATGAAGGATGCCTTGAAGCAGTGGGCTCCTCCTCTGGGCCTGCCTGACCCATTGCTCAAGCAGGGAGTCAGAGAGGGAGGAGAATCAGCAGGACCGGAACACCTGCACTCACATTGTGACTCTCAGCCTCTAACCCTGTCCTGGAAGACCCTCCTTCTCCTGACCCCCTTGGATCGCTCAACCCAGCGCCAGATTTATGTATAGGCTAAGTAGGCTGAAGCCTAGGGGGCCTCACCAACCCTCCTGCTCCCCAGTGGGCAGTCACCCCTCTCCCAAAATTGCAAACCCAAGACTTCATGCGAGCGCAGGGCAACTCGGGCCTCTAACTCTAGGGGGCCTCACCAGCCTGCCCTCTCCCCAGTGGCACAGTCTCCCCTCTCCCAAAATTGCCTGTCTTCTGAGCCCTCCCTGGGGAGCTCTTTGGCTCCCAGCACTCTGACTCATCCAGCCAGTCCCTGACATTACCTGGCTTTGGTAGGGCTGCAAGTCAAATTTTGGGCCACATGTTGGACCACCCTGGTCTAGAGTGACTGGCAGTGGCTCTGCAGAGTTTCAGGGAGGGGGCACATCCAGCCCTGGCTGGAGATGCTGGGGATCGAACCTAGGACTTTCTTTACGCAAAGCAGGTGCTCTCCCAGTGACCTACTGCCCTTCCCATACTCCCAGGTAAGTGTGTATTGGATTGTAGCTTTAAATGGCCACATGCCTTTTCAGTAGTGGGGGTGGGGTGGCTCAGTGAGTTCAAGCCTGCTACAGAACAGCCTCTAGTTTTTAAACATGAGCACTGCAGTTGTTTACATGAAGGAACCGTTAACAGATTTCAATCCATCTAGAAATATTACGGAAGACTTTGCACATTGTTATTTAAATGCTAGGTGCATTGATGTGACTAAGCAAATCAATATAGATATATACAATACAATGAGATCATCAGAGGCTTGCTTTGTGGATGTGTCACAAGCTCTGTATTGAAGCACTGAGTGCAATATACCATTCTGCCAAGTCTCATTTTTATAAAGGTTTTGCCTAGCTAAGTAACCTCTGCCACATCTAACCTGACCACATGAACTTTTGCCAAGTTTCAAGTGAGCATCGCTACTCTTGGCAATGCATTTTCTGCTTTGTCGCTGCTTATATGGTGGGTGGAAATGTTGAGCTATTTTCATGGCCAGTTCTGAAAGTAGCTTCCACTGCTCACTTTGAAATGATACCTCTATAAGAGAGGAGCCAGTTCACCTGATGGCTAAAGGTGTGAGCTGAACTTCATGCGCATTGAGTTTTAGCGTGGCTCTGCAGATAGCCACATTGCCCCACACCAAAGTGGCCTTTAAAGTTCAGGGGCCTCGATTCAACACAGAAGTACGCATGATTAACCTCATAGATATAACTAGCTTTTCAATGCAACCTTATGCATGCTAACTCAGAAGCAAGTCTCATTGTGTTCGGTGAGGCTTAATCCATAGTAGGCATGTTTAGGATTGCTGAAAGAATGCAAAGAGGAGATGTGTGGTCTCCAAAGTGTCAACTAAGAAGATTTATTGCAGCGCAGTGTCTTTCGGAACACAGGTTCCTTCTCCAGGAGCAATCTTAAACTTTCAAATTCTATGAAGTGGCTAAAGCAGCATGCACAAATACTAGCTGCCTATCATGAGGAAGACAAGAACAGCAGTTTGTATTTGCCCAAAGTGCTTTAGTGTACTGTATAGAATTTGAAAGTGTAAGATTGCTCTTGAAAAAGGAACCCATTTGCCCAAACATGTTGAGCTGTAATAAATCTTATCAGTTTTCTTCGCCTTAAAAAAAAAAAATAAGCAAAAGAAAATCATGCTTTTCTTTATGGTTTCTGTGCCTGTCTCCCCTCCTATTTTGTTTGCTTGTTTGTTTGTTTGTTTGTTTGTTTGTTTGTTTAGTGTTGTCACCTTGACAATGTGTTGGATTCTGTTGGATTTAACACTGCAGCTCAATATATGCTTAGTTATAAGTACATTCAACTGCATTCAATGGGGATAACTAACACGTAAGTGTATAAAACTGCCACTAGATTAGATGGAATGCTGGAGGCTTATGGTGATCTAATATCTAATTATTTGTAGATATACAAACAGAGCATAGCAGAAGCAAGCAGGTTTCTGCAGCAGGCAGCATCACTGCAAATACTCCATCATATTCCCCCAAAAAGCAACACAAAGTAAGCATAGGCCAATGATATCAAATCGTATGGGGAACAGCTTTATTAGAAAAACTAACCAACAAACTGAAACTGACACGGACAAATAGAAGAAACCACCTTTCCCCGAATATGGTTACCCTTTATCACATACACAGCCCAACAAGACAACAGCAAGAACCTGCCCACAGCATTCGAATCAATCTGGCTGGCCTGATCCAAAAACACCCACCCACCCCACTCACACACAAAAACAAAGTTCACCACAGCCAATCACAAACAAACAGCCACACCCTAGGCCAACCCCAACCTCTCTCACCACCAAAGGAATGCAAGGAAATAGTAAAGAGAACCCACACAAGTGACACTGACACAAACCCCCACACATACACTAAACAGAATAGTAGCATTGCCACCCGACCCCACCTCACTCACCATTCCCCCCCTCCACTTCTTTCCCCCTTTCCCCCCCTAATGTAACACTAATGTCTCGACAAATGAAACTGATCTGTAGAAAATGTAACTTGAAAAAAGAGACATTGCACATACAGTGGTACCTCGGGTTAAGAACTTAATTCGTTCCGGAGGTCCGTTCTTAACCTGAAACTGTTCTTAACCTGAGGTACCACTTTAGCTAATGGGGCCTCCAGCTGCCGCCGCCGCCACGCGATTTCTGTTCTCATCCTGAAGCAAAGTTCTTAACCCGAGGTACTATTTTTAGATGAGCAGAGTCTGTAACCTGAAGCGTCTGTAACCTGAAGCGTCTGTAACCCGAGGTACCACTGTACTTTTGTAAAACAAGAAATTAGCGTGCAATACAAGGATGGTTTTGTCAACTTAAGCAAAAAGAGAGGAAAAGCCTCATAGCTTTATGTTTCAGTCTGAGTCCAAATTCAGACTAACAACAGTCCCCTCCTCCTTTTCCCCCCTCTCTCACCTACACACGCACAATGCAGAACTCCGGCTAGTCTCAGATGCCACCATTGAAGTTAAACCCTTTTGTTCAGTCCCCGAAATCACTTTAAACTGAATCTTACCTCTTCACAATAACTGAATTGTGTTGTGGGCCCAACTACAGATTCCTCCTGGCCTTGTGATTCTTTAGGGTAGTATGTACCCCACCAATCCCAGACCTTCCAGGTGTCCCTATTTTCCAGTGACAGTCCTGGATTTACTAAAGCCGTCCCGGTTTCTGATTTGATCTCAGGATGTCTTGATTTTCCATGGGACATCCCTATTTTCATCAGGAAAACATTGGAGGGTATGGAGTCATGAGACCCCTGAGACAAGATACTACAGGGGTGTCCAAACTTCTTTCAAAGAGGGCTAGATTTGATGAAGTGAACAATCCTTTTTTTAGGACTCAAGTTGTTGAGCGCTTTTTTTTTTAGGATTTTACCCCAGGAGATAGACTGCCACAGAGGCTGGATTAAACCTATCAGCGGGCCAGATTAGGCCCCTGAAATGGACTTCGGACATGCCTGCTTTAGGACATCTGAACATAGCCCTATATAGGGAAGTTTTTTAATATATACTGTTTTATTATGTTTTTCTATGTGTTGGAAGCCGCCCAGAGTGGCTGGTGCAACCCAGTCAGATGGGTGGGGTATAAATAATAAAACAATAATAATAGTTTTTGTTATTATTATGGAATAGGGCATCCCTATTTCCATTAGAGAAATGTTGAAGGGTAAGCAATCCACAAAACCCCACCAACACAACTGATCCACAAGAGATGTTCCACCAAAATCTTGGAATGGAACAAATGACTATTCTTAGGCTGATCAATATGTTTGTGCTGCCAAGCTGTGTAAACAGCAAAACAAACACAATACTGCAGCCTCAACAATACATCAAAGTAGGAATGCCTTGTAAACACTGCTCTTCCTCTTGCCCTAATGATCCTCAAGAGGGCCACTAATTGGATAGGTTTTGGCATAAGGCTCCGGACAGACTGTTTTGCATTCAAGAGGAGCTAGGGAGAAAATTAAAGTTGCACTCACGTCTGTGTAACTGTGCATAGGATTGGCTGCCGCTGTTTATTCTGATGGAGGAAATGGTGGAAGGCCTTGGCTTCTGGTTATTGTATGGTGGGGCTGCCTTTGAAAAGTGCTTGGAAACCTAATTGGTTTAAAATGCAGCTACCAGGATGCCAACCAAGGCAGGACATAAGGAGTGTATAATGCAGGCTTTATAACATCATCACAGACTTCCATTCAGTCTCCAGATCCAATGGAAAGCGGTGGTTTTGACCTTCCAAGGTCACACGGTCTGGACCTGGGAAGGTTAAGGATCACCTTTCTCCCTATGAACCAACCCACACATTAAAATGTTTCTTGGGTGCCCTGTGTTAGCTCTTCAATGATGCCAATGGAGTCTAGAGAGAAAGGAAATCTTGATAACACAAGAACAAACTGAACACAACAGAATATAGAACTGGAGAAGAAAGAAACGGAAGGATTTTTGTCTTTTAGGGGCAAAGCTTGTACATAAGCAGGGTTAGATATACAACCAACATCCTAGAGAAAACTCCCTCCAAACCCCCTCGGACCTACACAGCCTATCAGAGCATATCACGTATATGGTAAAAGGCAAGGTAAAAGGTAAATGACTCCTGGAAGGTTAAGACCAGTCAAAGGCGACTATGGGGTGTGGTGCTCATCTCACTTTCAGGCCGAGGGAGCCGGTGGTTTGTTCACAGACAGCTTTCCAGGTCATGTGGCCAGCATGACTAAACTGCTTCTGGTGCAACAGAAGCCAGAGCGCATGGAAACACTGTTTAACTTCCTGCCGCAGCAGTACCTATTTATCTGCTTGCACTGGCGTGCTTTCGAACTGCTAGGTTGGCAGGAGCTGGGACAGAGCAAAGGGAGCTCACCCTGTCATGGGGATTCGAACCGCCGACCTTCCAGTCGGCAAACCCAAGAGGCTCAGTGGTTTAGACCACAGCACCACCCATGTCCCTATCACATATAACCACCCTGATGCCATTGTGAGTATGAATAATCATGTACCCATATTTAAAAGAACATTTAGAGGGGGCCAAGGTTGCTCATGAGGAAAGGTTCCCTACCCTTCTGCTATTGCTCCCAGTGATATGATGCTGAACTTAGGTTACTTAGAATCATAGAGTTGGAAGGGACCCAAGGGTCATCTAATCCAAGAATAAGAATAATATTTTTATTATTTATACCCCACCCATCTGGCTGGGTTTCCCCAGCCACTACAGTGCAGGAATCTAACCTAAGGCATCCATGACTGACTGCTTAAAAACCTGCAAGGAATGAGTGTCCACAACATCCTGAAGGAGACTGTTCCACTGACGAACAGCTCTTATTGTCAGAAAGTTCTTAGTGATGTTTCGTTGGAATCTCCTTTCTTCTCCTTCAATGGCTGGGTCCTAAAGTTTTGTTGCATAAAATTGGTCTCTTCTCTCATGTTCGTTGGTTTACCTTAACTCTCATCTCAAAATAATTTCGATGCCTTTCACACATCCAGTCCTCAAGAAAATAATGGCAAGCCCTACTATTAACATGAAATTGATCACTGAGTAGATAGGCTTAGGAATTTGGCCTTTGATGGTTTTTATAGGACTTAGCTAGCACATGCCCCTCAGGGCAATGATTAAAACAAAACAAAAACTTGTGGAATTTGGGAAGTCTAAAGGTCTGATTAGATAACCTTATGTTCTCCCCCCCCCCTTTTTTTTAACTCAGGAAGAGCAAACAGAGTGGCAGTCACAGGTGTGCTTTCCATGGTGCCTGAAGCTCAAATCAAATAAATCCTGTTCCTGGTCTCCACAGCAGCCACAGAAGTGAGAAAAACTTGAGGGACTAGGCCTATAATGCGAAATGGAACTGGAGAAAGGCACATACATAATCAACCGTGCTGTCTCTGAGGCACATCCCCTCTTCTTCTCCTGGGGTGGCAAAACTGCAAATAAAGCAGCAACCTGTGAACCAAGAAAAATAAATGTGCATTTCTGATAAGCAAAAAAATCTGCCTTGGGGAACCACAAAGGCTTGCTGCTTGTTTGGGGAGCAGACAGGTGCTCCTTCAAGGCAAAGAATTGCCTCTTTCTAGGTGAATTTATTCAGCCTGCATTTCACAGTGGACTGACCTGATCGGATGCTGCCAAACTTCCTTGAAGATTTTTTCCAAATTTTGCAAGAAGTACACACAAAAATACGTATTTTTTACATATAAATACGTATACAAAATGCTTACTTTAAACATGGCTGCATTGAAAATCATTGAAATGCGCCATGTGACATTTAAGAAGCGCATCTTTCATAATAAAATTTGGCGCCAAAATTTGTGCACACGCTTTCAAGAACTTTGCACGAAACAGAATGGCTCAGGCCTATGTTTCAGTCAGGGCCACCCAAGACATTTTGGCAACCGAGGCGAGCCACAAAATAGTGTCCCCACGACGACTGGGTCAGAAAGGGGAGAGAATATCTACATCAGGAACTAGGTAAGTGGAATCAAATCAACTTTACCCAATGGCTGAATTGGGAATCAAAGGCATCACAGAGGAAAGGGGCCTATGCTGAACCATGCCCAGAAGACCCCACAAGACAGACCCCACTGTTTCCTTCCTAGAGGTGAGAGGAGACCTATTCGCTGAGAGGCTGCTGCAGAGGTGGCATTGTGGGCGGCTGCTGAGGAGGTAGCAGATCCAGCCTCTAAGGAGCTTGTGGTGACAATTGGCATTGCATTCCTTGGAGGCTGAACCTGCTGCCCCTATGAATCCTGCTGCCTGAGGAGGTCACCTGACCTTGCGTCATGGTTGGGCCAGCCCTGGATTCTATACCAGTGAGACTTAAATGGACTGAGTTAAGCTGCACAGCCTGTCCTTACTCCCCTCTGAACCACTAATGTCACATTCCAATTGAAATAAAAAATTTAAGGTCTTATGTTCATAAATGTAGCAACCAAGCGCGTACATAGATATGCGGACCACATGTCTGGAGCAGCACAGGAAGACCGTCCTGAAACCATTTTGACTCCCAAACTGACCAAATGTTTTCTCTGCAAGAAGGGAGGGGGTGAGGGAACCTTCCCATTGTCTCAGGAATTGGGTAATCACCATCTCAAAGGAATGGCCAGACTACCAGGAAAGGCAATCAGATAAGGCATTATCAGATAACCTGGCAGACAGGAAAAACAACAACATTCAAATCTCTGTTGTAGACCGCCTTTTCTGTGATGTAGGTATGATGTTTGTGGGGGGTGGTCTTGGGTTACACCCTTTCTGTGATGTATGGAGGGGTGGTCTTGAGCTCCAGGGAAGGCAATTAAAAATGTCTATATAAAGGCAGGCACACCTTTGTTCTGTGTCCTCCTCCTTTCTCCTGCATGTGAGGGGAGTACCCTGTTGCAACAGTTCAATAAGATCAGGCTTACTAGCTGCTTTGCTTCTCAATATTCTCTGGTTGAGCTCTGTTATTTTCTTCTACTGATGGATAACCTACAAAGGACTCTATAAGGGCTCTTCTGTCCCCCCCCCCCCATAAGGGAATAAGGGCAGATTTTGTTTACTACACAATACTTGGAAATGATGTATGTTTCTCCCCTCTAACTTATAAAACATTGCAGATCTCCGTAGCTCCCGCCCAGAGCACTCTGCACAGAGTAACTGGGGCTGCTCCCTCCTAGGGCTTTTAAAAAGCCCAAATCCTGCTGATTGACTGTTTGGCAGAGAAAAGGTAAGCAGGAGCAGGGAAGGAATCCAGTGCTGCCGTCTCCTCCCAAACAGATGATAAGTGGGGAGTTTTAAAAGAGCAATTTATGTCCAGCCTCAGCTACTGAGTCAAGAGGAAAAATGTACCGTTTCCACCAGCTAAGGATACACCCAAAGAAGTTTCTGATAGTCTGTTACTAGATTGGGATGTGGGTGTTTGTAACCACTGGCAGAAAGCGGTCAGATTCATCTGGCCATAGGCATTCCTTACGGCTAGTTGCCCTTAGCTACAGATTCCTTCTTGGGGCTTCAGTGTGCACATGGAATTTTATTATGGACTTTTAAAATATTTATATAGCAGCACAGTGCTGTCCAAAAAAAAAAATCCCCTCTCCATCTCTGTTTTCACTTCCCCATTCAGTTTAATGGAGAGGGTGAGCAGATTATTAGACAAACTTAGAAATGAATTAAAATACATAGGCCCCTATAGAAGCAGCATTTTATGTCTATTTTTGTGGTGATAGAACTGCATCTCACTGTTGTCAGGTTTTGTTTACCTTACCCATTGGTTTTAAATGTTTTTTTCCTACTTCCTTGAAATATTGGCTATGTTTGCAAAGCAGCCTAAATTTACTTGAATGTATAAATGAAAAATGCAGGTCACAATTGTTAATGGTTGATATATGTACTTCTGTCCTGTACATTCAGAAATGACGGTAAAGTATTTATGCTTTTAAAATAGAGCAAATTAAAAGATAATTAATTAACTGCAAGCTGGTGAGGACAGAGACTTTTAATATTGCAAATCCAAGTATATCAGGACAAGTACAGTTAAAGAGACTGCAATTTGCTTTAACACTGTCTCATTTGTATTTATCCTTAAAAAAACAACTCTCCTAAATAGTGCTTCTTCTTGGAAGCACTAACAGAATGTGAATATTTATTAACAGACATTCCAAACTAAGCAAATATGCAGAATATAGATGCTGACCTAAGTGATTCATATGATCATATTAGTTACTTATCTTCCAAGTAGGTTAGATGTCTCGGGGATGGTAGGAAACTCAAAAAGATAAACATATTGCAAAAGCACTAATGATATCCAGCAGAGTTGGTTTTGCTTTATATTCCCTTTTTAAAAGTCTCCTAGTTCAAATATATGCATGTGTAAAGTTTTTAGTTAAAACCTAACAAGATCAGAATAAATGTCATTTTCCATAGCAATATGGAATTTGAAGAATTTGAGGTAATTTGTAACCTCACTTCCCCTTTACCCACACAAATCATTCCAATAATACTGTTACAGGATTATTGGTTGAGTTGGATCGTGGGTCCCAACCAAACCTGTTATTTTATAACTGTAAGATTGTAGTTGGTAGTAGAAGAGACTGTTGAAGAGATGAGACTAGTTTCTTTGTTAAGTTAATGGCCTGTAAGTACCCTATTTATATGTCTAAAGAGCTTGTAAAAGCATGTGTGTTGTCAGTAGAGACCCCTGATTGGAAGGGGTAAGCCATTTGACTGGATGGTATGTCATCCTAGGGGTCAATATGCCAGGGAGCTAGCTGTTATTTTAGTCTGGGCTGAAGCTGGGAGCTGGAAAAGAGTCACAGAGGCTTGTCTTGCTCCATGCTGAATCCAAAGCTATGGCCTTGAGCAGCCTTCCTGGAGACCTAATGAGGATGCAACATCTGCTGAAGTGTTAATGCTGTGAATCATTCCATCTTATACAGTCATACATTGTGTTACGTTCCGCGCTTGTTACGGACTTTCAGCGTTAAGAGTGGCGGACTTGTAATCTGGGGAACCGGGTTCGCGTCTCCGCTCCACCACATGCAGCTGCTGGGTGACCTTGGGCTGGTCACACTTCTCTGAAGTCTCTCAGCCCCACTCACCTCACAGAGTGTTTGTTGTGGGGGAGGAAGGGAAAAGGAGATTGTTAGCCGCTTTGAGATTCCTTCAGGTAGTGATAAAGCGGGATATCAAATCCAAATCCAAACCCCGGAAGTGTTTACTTCTGGGTTCACTGCCTGCACATGCGCAGAAGCGGTCTGCGCACTTTGCGCATGCGCAAAAGTGACCTGCGTGCTTCGCACACGTGCAGAAGCGCTCGATTGTGCCATGCACATGCGCAGAAGAGGCACTCTAGTTGTGGACTTTTCAGGGTGCAAACAGCACCCCGAAACAGATTAAGTCCGCAACTAGAGGTACCACTGTACTTAGGTTGTATGCATGAGTAAATAAAAACATATCCTAAGAACACCACAGTCTCCAGTAACCTTCATTCTAAGGAAGCAGAACCCTAAGTAAGTGCTGGAGTCTTGCTACTCAGAGCCTGGCATGCATGCAATGATATATATTGTTATGAACTGGGGGGGGGGGCAGTAGGCAGTTTGCTGAAACCCATCTAACTCCTGGATCCAGCATATGTTACAATATAAGCCAGGCTAGTTTCCTGGTGAGGTGCTAGCCTGGGTAATGGACCACTATGGGAACAAAGGAAGTGGATCAGTGTGAGACAGCAAACAGGTGGAACCCCTTCCTTCAACTGGCTGGTGGTTAGAAAGGCAAAAGAACAGGGTTGAAAGTTGAGTGATGTGAGCTAGAAGCTAGAACAAAAACTGCAGACTGGGAAGCCCGAGAGATACAGAGTGATACAGATTTCTGTGTGAATCCAAGGCTGCAGCTAAGGGGGAAGCAAAGGAGGTGTTAGTGTTGTGAACCTCTCCACCATAGGCTCAGGTTGCATATACGTGTAAATAAACCATATATCATAGAGACACCACAGTCTCTGCTGCACCTCATTCCAAAGGAATCACAAATCTTGGGCAAAGTGGCTGAAGCTCAGACTCTTGCACCATTTTTGGAGATTGTGGTGGTGTGCAACGATATCCTCTTACTTGTGTGCACTGCAATCCTACGAATCCTTTTTGAGAAGCAAGTCCTGTCGAGTTCAGTAAGACTTACTCTCTAGCAAATGTGTATTGGATTGTCGCCTATAGGAACCGCAGTGACTCATGGCACAACAGGTGCTGGACTGCGCCATTTCAGACTGCAGGTGGTGAGGGTCACATATTTGAATGCTCCTCCTGCTATATAAAGGGTGTAAGGCCAAACTTTCTTACATGTTCCATTATGGCAAGAACCTAAGCAAACACTCTGGATTGCTGGGGACATACACAGAAAGGTGACAAGAGGGTGATGAAGGGCTCTGTGCAGAGACAGGGTAGAAAGGATCTCTCAAGGTAGGAGGCTGGGGGAAGAAACAGAAGTTCCCAGGTGAGAGCTGGAAAGGTCTACTTTTATGTATGTGGATAAAGGACATGATACAACTCTGATAGAGAGTTTTTATATCTATTTTTCTATTTCTTTTTCTCTCACTCGCCTTTTTATTTCTTGCTGTTTATTCTCTCTTATTTTCGCTCCTCTTTATCTCTTTCTTTTTTAGATTAGATTGGTTTTTATTGTATCTTATGTTGAAAACTTTCAATGAAAATATTTGGAAGGGAAGCAAACACTCTCACATACTGTTGCTGAGGATTTTTCTTTTCTCAAATAATAGTTTTTTTATTATTATTAAGGAACATAATAGGATGCATCTTCTCCATCTGTTTCCTTCCCACCCAGACTTGCGCTGAAGACATCGTCAACCCAATCTTGCAATGACAGTCAGAACAGAAGCGTATTTAAGTGAGATGGACTAAGAGCTGGAAGCCCATTTGAGACTGTCAGATGCCTTTTGACATACGTTAGTCAGCGAGTGAAGCTGTTACAGCACTGAGTGGTTTTTTGGGTTTTTTTACAAAATAGATGTTATAGCTACCACAACCCTTAAAAGCTTGTGTGTGTGTGTTTGTTTGTTTGTTTGTTTGTTTGTTTGTTTTGGACATCAACCAATTTACAGTCAAATCCATCTAGCTTAATTTCACTTGCCTCATTCTGTGGTCCAGATAAACAATATTTCATATGCCAATTTTGCAGTGTTTGTGTTTTGTTTGTTAGCCTGGCTTTCAGGATTTGTTGGAATGTAGCTTGAGATGGGATTTCCAAGGAGCAGCTGAAAATTGCAATGTCATAATTGCAGGAGGAGCTGAGAATTTGAAAGAGGAGCTGAAAATCGCAATGTCATCAATGCAGACAAATAGCATCAACCATCCCCTTTCTTAAATCATGAACGAACCCTTGCAAGGCACATGATCAAAAATAAAACAGAATAAAACCTGACCAACAAACCCTGATGACCAACAAACCAAAGTATGTTTACTTCACTCTGTCATTTCATTTCCATCTAGAGTTGTGTACAAATACTCCTTGGGCAAGATGAAAAGTTGGCGACATTAATAATGCTCCTATGCCAACACTTTTGTCACATTTAATTGCAATTTTATCTCTCACTTTCCTGGTACTAATCCTTGCATAGTTCCCATATATGTTGACATTTTCTTCCTAGAACTAGAAATTTGAGATGGTTTTGGTGGGGAGGGGCTGGGGTCTTAATAAAATCTGAAGTGCTACAGCTACACTCATAAACACTTCAATAACATTCATTCACTGATCCACAAATGGCATGGAATATCTGTTCTGTGCCTGCCTGCACAAGCCCTTCCACTTCTCCCTTACTTATAATAAACCCCAGTGCAGGTACTTTCAAAGGTTATTGTGCAACCCAGGGATTCCATAGAATTAAGTAACAAAGTTGTGTTGGCTTGGAATGCTGGGAAGTGGAAACAGGTGGATTTGAGGTTTACACTGTGGGATGAGTGTTTTCTCACGCGTGGTACACCCATAAAAGGAGTGTCTGTGCCACACAGTTTTTCACTCAGTGCTATTTTTCTCGAAAAACTCTACATACATTAAACATAATAGAAACACCGCCACCCGACCCCACCCCCATCCATCTTCCCTCTCTCCACCCCCCTTTCTTTTTTCTTTTTTCTTTTCTTCTCCCCCTAATGCCTCAACAAATGAAACGGATTTGTAAAAATGTTACATGAAAAAAAAAATACGAGGCACTACACTTCTGTAAAACAAGAAAATCCTTAATAAAATATTTATAAAAAAGAAAAAAAGAAAAAGAGGTGCCAGAACTCACCACGAACGCCTCCCTTGTTCTCTTATAATGGAAATGGTGCTCACCTTAGAGCTGCCAAAACAGAGTTTTGGTGAATTCCAGCTGAAAAGAAAGCCCTGCATCACAATAAATCTGTTGGGGTGTTTTCAGACCAAAGGGAGAGTTAATTTGAGATATCACATAAATTTTAGTTTACTTGGGGGGCTGTACAATAATTTCAGGTAGTTTTTAAAAAGCAATTATCTGGAGGAAATCTGAACCTTGCCTGGTGCTACCAATCAGAGAAGCCCATACGGGGAATTTTCTTGAGGCTAAGACATGCACTGACACCATGAAGTCTTATTCTTCCACCATTATTGTAAACCCAGTATGTCTGGATAATAGAGCTTAGCTGAATGTCTGCCCTTTTAAAGGCACACCCAACCTTTTAGGTTGGAAGAAGCCCAAGGTTGCCTCAGTAAGCAGAGGCAATAGGAAAAAGAACAAGTGGGATTACTAGTTCATAATAAACATAGTTTATGTATGTGTATTGATGCTTCTTTCCTGGAGTGACAATTAACACAAACCATTTTTTCAGACCAATTCCTAGCTGAAAGCAGGATCATGTAGATTAGTTGATTGTGGGAGTAATTTAAATCCAAGAAGCTCAATTACACTTTTTCCACTGTTGACCTTTAATTGCTTAATTAAGAGTAGTTCTTCTGTCTTCAGAGAGGGAAATGTTTGCCATAATCACATTTTCCTTAGATGGCTCCTGCTGTTGTTAATACACAAAACAAACATAGGAGGAAAAAACATGTTATGGTAATATTTGTATCCAATGTTCCTAATAAACACTGTGCTGGTTACCTGGACTCTGCCCCTTGCAGCCATATAAAATAAGAATAATCCTTTGTTGCAAAAAAAAAAAGTGAATTGTAGCATTAATGAGACCTTGGAGGTTTCTTTGTTGCCAATGTCCTTCTGCTTCTTTGCTGCTGCAGCTTCCTATTTCACCTGTACTTTGCCAGAAGACCCCAGGGCAGTTTTTAAAATAGACACAGAGAACATTGTTACTAAAAATCACAGTGCTCAAGATAAAAGATCTCATACAACATAAAGCCCTAATCCTTCACTTAAACATGCATGGGTAACCTCTGGCTTCCTCCTCCATACCATCCTACTGAGATAATACAATAGATATCTGAGAAAATTCAATCTGTGTACTTTCTGCCGAGACTGTCAAAGGTGAACATCTCTCCCAAGAGACCCAGACTTAAATCACCTCATAAACATCATCAAATAGCCATCTATTTGTGGGTATACGGCTCCCAAGAGAAACGGAGTACTTAGATATTAAAACACGTGGGCTGCTCTGCTTGCGACACTCCGTTGAGCTACGTTTCGTCTCGGGATACTGGCTCAAGTGCACCAGTGGTAAAAAAAACTGAAACCCTTGAGATTCGCAATGACAGCCATTTGATAATTGCATCCTTGCCAAGAAATGAGAGGGGTTGGTACAATATTGCGTGGGATGGCTTTTAAATTTAAGCTGATATGGAAGGCTTCACTTCCACAGAGAGAAATGTGAAGATGGCCAGAATGAAGGGATGGCAGCATTACTTCTCAAGCGGTGCTGATATCAATCCAGCAGAAGTTCCCCTCACCCATCCACACCTATTCTAACCTGTCCTGCCCCCCCCCCAGATCCCCCCACCATCCTTATCCATAGAAATCTGTAGGAATAGCAAATGACTAACCGCATTATGTGTCAGTGTAAGAATGAGTAACAGCAGCTTGCCTCATATTAAATACCTCTATAGCAGAAAAGATTAACCTTATCTACTGTCTTGCTTCCCCTTTTCCCTGAGTGGTGAGAAGTTTCAAGAACAGCACTGCTTGGGTTTGGCTTGTTTGGGGATAACGTTTTGCAATATTTTCAAACAAATATTATGCAAAGCACAGCATAGGCAGAGCTGGAGGAAAGCAATGTGCAACACCTACTAGGCAGCAAATCCACTGTTTCACAACAGATCCTACACTGGCACTGCACGCAAATGTGTTTGCAGTCTTTAGATCACTTTTGGTCATAGCTCTCTCTGTGTGTGTGTTTCTGTGTGTGTTTTTCTGTGCAATCCTGTATATTGGCTGCCATGTCACGAGCACTGTATTAAAGACACTTGTAAACGGCTATGAAAGCTGCCAAGAGGATTCCCTGATCGTCACATTTGGGGGTTAAATTTTATGTACGAAAGCTAGTTCCCAGGCTATTTATTAACAACTGCATCTGGGGATCAAATGTATTTGGGAAGGAAGAAAGTACAGGGGAGGGGGTCCCCTGTCCACACAAGACCTTGAGCCAGGCAGTTTACTTTTGGAAACAGTAAAGCATACCAAATTAATATAAACCTATTAATGTCAATATAAAGACCTGTGATGATTACAATGTGGTAACTGAAAATCAGTGGGACTTCCTTGTTCACAGTACGGCTGCCAGTGCTTGCTTGAACAGGTTTTATGTGATGTGTGGAATGTGGATTTCAGGGGCAATGTGTTCAGAAGCAGTGGGTCTACATTAAAAATTAATCTAGAACATTAATAACTTTTGAGATCATATCATTTTTTTTCTTTTGCAGGGCAAATATTTTATGGGGCTTTGGGGCTGAGTATGACATTACAATCCTCTGCACGTTTCTTCAGAAGTGCTCAATGTGGTATCTGCAAATTCACACACAACTGGTAATGCAAGACTAGCTGCACGTGGTAGTCCTATTATTCCAACCTTATTCCCCGGTTTCTCATCTCTCACCAGAAGAGGAAAATAGCACGCCCTCATTCTAGCCTAGACCATAGAATCATAGAATTGAGTCATCTAGTCCAACCCCCCACAAGGCAATAATCTTTTTGCCCAATGTGGGGCTCAAACACACGGCCCTGAGATTAAAAGTGTCATGCTCTACCCACTGAGCTATTGCATGGTTTTATTCACAATTTTCTGCCTGTGTAGTTATTCACTCTACTGTTCCCCTCCTGAGAACTGAGGCTGAAAGAATGGGAGTTGTTTAAAGTTGGGACTATGAGTCTATGGCACAAGACCCTTCATGAATCTGCAGTACTGTGTGCTGTTAATTCCATTTACAGATAGGGAATTTGTGACGACAGAATAGAACTTTAGCAGGGACAGGCAGTGAATCCATGACAGAAAATAGTTTAATGCATCAGGACATCCCAAGGGGCAAGCAGTTCTAAAGTGGAAGAGTCAACCTCAGAAATTATTGGTATATACACACTGTGCTACCAAGGTACACATTGTTCCTTAACTGGCTGCTTCCCAACCTGTTGCTCTTGAGCTCAATAAATATTGGAAGAAAAGTAGCTGTGACAATGGTTCTGTTTCTGGTGGGGAGATTAGACCAGGTGGAGCAGAGGTAGATTTAGGAGAGGGCGGCCTGGCCTGGGCGCCAAGCCACAAGGGTGCTTCAGCGGGCACTGCAACAATGATGAACAATGGAGGGTGAGAGGCTTGGGGGTGCCAGAAATTGCCATTGCACAGAGCACCACTGAAATTTTAAAGCCCAAAGTCTGCCACTGGGTGGAGAAGGGAGGAGCCGGAGTTTTACATGCAAAGAGAGTAGAGGGAAGTGTTATGTATTGAAGTTCTCACCCTGGGCCAGCAGGGGGATACTGTAGATAGTTTTCACTCAGGTCCACATATGCAAATAAGGGATTGAAAGTGACGTTCAGTGATTGGATAGTTACAGAAAGTGGTTACTGTTGCGTTGTAGTGGAGCTCTATATAAGAAGGCTGGCTGAACCCTTCAGTTCAGTTCAGTTCTGGCCTGTGAATACACAAGAGCTGTTTGAAGAATCGCTGTGTTGTCTGGTATGTTCACCCACAGCTTAACAGGAAGAAGATTGGCTTTGGTGCTGTGCAACTTCCCCCACCTTCTTCTTCTTTGGTGATCACTTGTAGCTGAGTAAGATTGTCTTCCATAAACACGGTTTTAACAGTGAGTCTGTAAGTGACTGTGGAAGCCAATTCTGGGTCCACATGTCCTTCCACACTCCATCCATGGCTCCCTGTAGCATTTTTAAGTCATAGGAACTAATGGCAACCAGTGATCTCCAGGTAGCCACCGTTTCTCCAGATGTACACACGCAGCAAAAGTTGTGTGCCCCATTGAAAAGAAAAAAAACAAGGCCCCTTCACTTGGAGTAGAAAAGAGTGTTTCAGTAGATGCAGTTTGCCTTCCCCACAACTATTCCAAGAGAAGGAACTCTGACTTCTTCCTTTCATGTGGCTACTCTAAACCCCAAGGCCACATGCCATTCTGAACTGAGCATAGGAGCCAACTCCGAGGGGCCGTGGTTCCTCCCCCATTAAACATTTGAGGGGGCAGCCCCCAAAGTTAATGGCATTGCCCCTCATATGGTGCGGGTGCTCCCTGTCATGTGATCAGTTATGCAGGGTGGGGCTTGCTTGCCCTCCCCAATATGTTATTCAGGTTGGCACCCCTGTTCAGCAGCGAGGGTTTTGTCACTTACTGCTTTAATACGTGAAATGCACACAGCGAGCCCCCCCCCTCCCCGCCCCAGACAATGAAAGGCTTGTTAACAATTGAAGCGCTTCTCCGCGCGCTGACGGGAGCTCCTGGGAAACTGCTTTCGTCCTTCCCCTCGGCGGGCCCTGGAAGCCCCGCGTTTCCTCCCGAAGCCCTCCTTCCTCTCCTGGCTTGAGAAGGAAAGGCTCGGGGAGGAAACCACCTGAGGCCTGGCTGGTGTGCTTGGGGGGGGGGGGCTGAGGTGAAGGAGCGGGGCGGAATTGGCGGGAACGGGCCCTGAGGCGCGTCGAGCTGCTCTGCCTCTCCGCGCGCCAAGAGAAAGAACTCGCCCCACGCTGTAGCGTCGTCGCTACTGAGCCAGCGAGGCGCGCTTTGCCTTTCTGTGGCAGCGAGCGCCCGCCCCGCTCCGGCTCCACTGGTGAGTCAGCGGCAGGTCAGGAGTATCGCGCGGGAAGGGAGGGGCGCGAGAGGCAGTGGCGGCGCGGATTTGCCGCTGGGAGCCGCCACCAGAGCGAGAGAGAGAGGGAGGGAGGCTCGGGCGAGCCCCGTCGGCGAGCGCCAGAGGTTGACTTGGAGGCAGCGCCGGCGGCGTCGCCGCCCTCTCATTTCCCTCCAGGTGGCTCAGGGAAGAGAAAGGAAAAGGGACGCTTGGCGGGGCGGCTCCTGGTGCGCTCGGTGGGACCGTCGGTGGCGGCATCCAGATGTGAGGCAACTCGCCGGCGGCGGAACAGCTGCGCCCTCCCCGCCTTCAGCGAGCAAGGTACGGCCAAAACTACAGGAGAGCCCCGCAGGTTGCAGCGGGGAAGGGGGGGGGGACGGCGGCTGCGTCGGAGCGGGGACACTTGCTTCGGAGCGCGGCACGGCCGGACCCCGGACGCCTTTTCTTCAGGACCAGGTCCCGCTCCGTCGTGAGCGTTGTGCTTTGAGCGCGCTTTGGGCAGCAGGTCCGATCCTGTCTCGCTCCAATCGGGGATTGATTTCGGACCAGGGAGTTATTGGTATGGTTCAGTCTGGGCGCCTGGGAAAGTCCGGAGAGGTTGGCGCAGATGTGGACGGCCTTTCCTTGCCCCCACCCCCGCCATGAATCTGGATCCTAGGAGCCAACTCCTAGGGGTCGAGGTCCCTTTCCCCCCCATAAAATATTTGAGGGGGCCGCCTCCCCCCAAAGTTGATAGGCATTGCCATTCCAATGATGTGCGTGCACTGTATCATGTGATCGATTATGTGGGGCGGGGCTCACCTTGCCCCCTCAATATTGGCACCCCTGATCCGGATTGAGGAGTCTTCCAGCCTCGCTCCTCCCCACCGCAAAGGATGTGACATTTCAGGGGGGAGGCTTGCTTGGCGCCTCGTTTTGCAGCTCAGCCCCACGGATCTCTTACTCGGGAGGAAATCCCGTTTAACTTTATCACGAGGCTGATTCTCAGGTAAGTAAAGACGGTATATAGGATCAGCCTGGGAGACATTCCAGCGGATTCGAGTTGTGACGGCGGCGCGATTTAAGGCGATTGCACTTCCTCGTAGCGATCGCTGATCCGGAGTAAGCGGTGGCTGGCGAGTGGCTGCTTGATAATAATCGTCGAGGAAATGAGTAGCTGGAATGTTTTTTTGGCTGCCGCTGCTCTTGGAGATCAGCCTGGACTTGGCAGGGCTCAGCCCCCCAGACCTGCGCGCGGTGCCAGAGCTCATTCCGAGAGCATGTGCAGTGAAAGAGATGAGAAGGCTTTTAAGCATGTGCAAGGTGCTTTGCCTCTTCGCCGAGGAAGCGCAGCCAGCAGGAGTGCCAACTTGAATTTAAAAAAATCGAGGGGGGGAGGGGAAGCCCCGCCCCACATTATCGATCACATGGTGCAGAGCACACACACTATTTAAATACCAATGCCTATCAGCTTTGGGGGGCCTGCCCCCCTCAAATATTTTATGGGGAGCGGGGCAAAGGTCCCTAGGCGGTGGCTCCTCTGGCAGCCAGCTTGGGTGCATTTGAGATGGTCAGAAACGTCACGTGATATCCAGGTTGGGGTTCTCTTCCCCAGAATGACCCGGTATGCACCCGTGGGACTTGCATTTGCCTCCTCGCAAGGGATTCATGGTTTAGTCCCCCTCGCGTATGGGATTTAGGGGGAAAGAGCTTCCAACAAGCACCTATTTCTTAAAATCGATAAATGCTATCGCTGTTGCTTGGATCTTGGGCTTCGCGCAAAATGGTCTGAGATCTGTTCGGGTCTGGTGCGGTGATTTGATTCCTAGATGGACTGGAGCGCAACAAGGGAATCTGCGCTTTCTAGAGAGAGAGTGGGTGGGTGGGAAGAATTGCTGAGCTCACTGGAAGGAACCGAGAGTAAGCCAAAACCTTTCCTCGCTGCGAGGTGATTGAAAGGAGATCCTGGATGATTCAGGGGTGACTCGTTCCTTAAGGGGGGGGGCAGAAAGAAGCGAAGTGCCTGGAGGAGGCAGCTTGCAACGCGGCTTGCTTACAAAGAAGTTTTTGAGCCACCCGCAATCTGACTCAGAGCAGAGGCGCTGGATAAGGAAGCTCACGGAGAGTCCTCGAGGCAAGGTAAAGGAGAGGCTCGCTTCCCTGCACGCCTGTTCCGGCAGCCTTGCCCGGAGGGAGCGATTTCTTCAGCCTGACTGCAGGTGGATAGTGCATCTGTTCACAGCCCGCCTAACTACCGAAGTTCCTCACTTCACCTTGAAATTGTAACTGGCGGTGGGCGGGCTGTCCTGCTATGAATGTAGCCAGCAGTGGTTGTTGGTTGAGCTTGGTAGGGCAAGCCCAATAGCAAGTGGAGCCAGAGTCAGTTGGGATAGCTCAGTTGGTAGAGCATGAGGCTGTTAATCTCCGGGTTGTGGGTTCGAGCCCCAAGTTGGGCAAAAAGATTCCTGCATTGCAAGGGGTCCGACCTTGTAGTGCCTTCAAAATCTTTGGGTCTAATCTTGTCCCCATCCTCCCCGTTGCTGACTTCTACAAGGGCAATGCTGTGGCTATGGAGGAGGAAGTTTGTTGGGTGGTGCCAACTCCTGGACTGGTTGCAAGTAAGGAAGCAGGCAGCTGGGGGGCACCACCCATCGCTGGTGGTAGGTATAATGCCAGCAGTGGATTGGTTTGAAAACAAATAAATCACCCTTTCTTGTTGTTGTTTAGTCGTGTCCGACTCTTCGTGACCCCATGGACCAGAGCATGCCAGGCACTCCTGTCTTCCACTGCCTCCCGCAGTTTGGTCAATCTCATGTTCGTAGCTTCGAGAACACTGTCCAACCATCTCGTCCTCTGCCGTCCCCTTCTCCTTGTGCCCTCCATCTTTCCCAACATCAGGGTCTTTTCCAGGGAGTCTTCTCTTCTCATGAGGTGGCCAAAGTATTGGAGCCTCAGCTTCAGGATCTGTCCTTCCAGTGAGCACTCAGGGCTGATTTCCTTCAGAATGGAGAGGTTTGATCTTCTTTCAGTCCATGGGACTCTCAAGAATCTCCTGCAGCACCATAATTCAAAAGCATCAATTCTTCGAAAAGCATCAATTCTTCCACCCGTTCTTAGAAGGGCTTTATTCCTTTCCCCCACCCCACCCACATTTTTGGTATTTGCACTGGGAGGCTTCATGGGAGCCAGTTTGAGTGTTATAATTTTGAGGAAGCATAATCTGCCCATGGTACTCTGAATCAAAAAGTGCAGATAACAAATATATATCCTGTGGGTCCATTTTGGAATAATATGTTGCCTGAGATGTGGCTTGCATCTTTGCATTTCCAAGCTATCTTAATCAAAGTTACTTTCTAAGTGATGACCCGGAATACTTATGCAAAGAAACTTGGGACATAGGCAATGGTGTGGCAAGAAATACTATACGAATGCCTTCCATCCCATTCTCTTGTGGACCCTATTCCATGCTTTTGAGGGTGGGCTTCTTGTTATAATGCATGCTGCAATGTGTGTGCGCACACTTGTTTTTATGGTCCAAAAAAGACAATATTAGCCAAGACTATGTCATTTACACCACATATTAAAACAGGGGTCAGCAAACTTTTTCAGCAGGGGGCCGGTCCACTGTCCTTCAGACCTTGTTGGGGGCTGGACTATATTTTGGGAAAAAAGAATGAATTCCTATGCCCCACAAATAACCCAGAGATGCAGTTTAAATAAAAGGACACATTCTACTCATGTAAAAACACGCTGATTCCTGGACCATCCGCGGGCCGGATTGAGGAGGCGTTTGGGCCAGATCCGGCCCCCTGGCCGTAGTTTGCCTATCCATGTATTAAAGCATGCTACTGGAATTCATTGGGTTCCAGATGATGCAGAAATTTAACTCTGATCAGCCCCAGCCAGCACGACCAGTATTATTTATTCATCCATTACCCACCCTAAGGTCTCAATAGTTGGAGTTTATAGCAGTTGTAGTCCAGCAGCATCTAAAGGGATATCTACCCCTAGTGTAAACTTAAAGTGATCCATTAAGAACTTATAGTGCAAGCCTATACATTTCCACTCAGAAGTAAGCCCCATTGAGTTCAATAGTATCAGCAAAGTGTCCTTAGAGCTGCAGCCTTAAATTAAAAGTGCTATACTACATTGGCTAGAGTAGTGTTACAAATACATTTTTAAAGAGTAAGACTTGGGTTTATAATCTGTACTAGTCAAAAAAGTTCAAGGAAATAATAGTAGTTGCATAGTCAAATACTTTAGACCCTTAAATACTTTTGGGGGGGGGCGTTAAGTTCTGTTGAAATCAGTGCTTCCAATCAGTGCAATTAAATGTGTTAGAACTATACATCTGGGGATAGTGGAGGCAGGTGGGAACACAAAATACTGCTCAATTCAAAGTTTAGAAGTGACCAAATTGTTTGCGTACAGCTGTTTGTAATGAATCTGGATATTGCACACTGCTTGTGCATCATGTGACTTGAGTTGATGCTTTGTGATCCTAGTGTGTGAAGGTGGATGGTATGCATGGTTTATGTATAGCATGCTTCAGCAGGTATGTGCAAGTGGTTGCCTGGCCTTCTCTCGTTCTAGTAAACTGATAGGGTGACATATTTTGAGTAATTTTGCAAGAGCAGCTAGGAAGCTATGACTCTCAATATATTGTTGGACTCAAGCTCCCATCATCTCATTCCTGACCAGTCCAGCAACATCAGGAGTGCCCCAGGGTCTCCATCCTTGATAGTACGGAGCTGTGCTTCTGGTGTAGAAGTGTGTTTTCTACAAATTTAGTACTGGAGTTTGTTTTTGCGGTGTGAACTTTGCTGATGAAGATTACATTAATGGCTCCAGTAGAATGGGTCACAGATGGTGTCTTGAATTAACCCCTCCAGATAAGAAAGAGATAGCTTGCCCTGGATCTTGTGACAGACTTGGGGATTCATAGTTAGGGAAGCTTTTGATATTGCTACATGCACTGTAGATGGAGCAAAGTCATGTTGCAGCATGAGTGGGCATACATCAAAACAAAAATGGAGCAGCCTTAGCTAAACCACTCTTCATCTTCACCCTTCTTTTGAGCTATTCCATCCTACACAGCATGCAATGTGGTGGCATTAAAAAAAAAGTGTTGACCTATATTTCTTTAACACTACAGTGGTACCTCAGGTTACATATGCTTCAGGTTACATACACTTCAGGTTACAGAATCCGCTAACCCAGAAATAGTACCTCGGGTTAAGAACTTTGCTTCAGGATGAGAACAGAAATCATGCTCCGGTGGCAGCAGGAGGCCCCATTAGCTAAAGTGGTGCTTCAGGTTAAGAACTGTTTCAGGTTAAGAACAGACCTCCGGAACGAATTAAGTACTTAACCTGAGGTACCACTGTATTACAAATTTAATAATGTAAAAACATGCTGGCAATAATATAGCTCTTTTGAACCTTTGAAAATACTATGTATTTACTGTTATGACACTGATGTTTGTTTTAAATAGATCAGAGATCATTGACTGCATTGTCACCATGCAGTGTAAATTGTATTCTAGTCACCACTTAGTGCAGATCTACATAAGGACTTGGTGGCCTGAATGTTCAACAAGTAGTTGGCTCTCTGCTCACCAGGCATTCAGCAAGACAACAGAGCAAAGAATTCACTGTGCTAAATAATTCAATTCCTTACAATGGACTGCTAATACTGGATCATATGGGGGAATTAAAAGCACCTTCATGGTTAATGTCACCTGTATATATTCTGTAGAGCTTAAGGGATGTGGGATTCCTTTATATCTCACCATGCATTTTTTTTTTATAAATCACATTTAAAATTGCTTCTGATTCCACTCTTGTAAAATTACCTACCATTTAATCTTTATCTATGAGGTTAGCACAGCATTCATTTGTACCTTGGTGGGCTGATTACTGCCATCGCTGGTGAGGATTTGGGGGGAGGACATGTTGGGGGGTGACAGGGGTGAGATGGCTTTGTAGCTGGGTCTTTATATGAGAATACTAGCAGAAGAGCAGGTTGGAAAACTGTAAACCCCATTAGATCAGGCTCATGAAGCCTGCAATTCTTGCTTACTAGGAACGATGCCCCATTTAGCATAGCAAAACTTATTTGCAAGTACACTTGCCTAGGATACTTGGCTAGGATTGTTCTCTTAGTGTCCCATGATCGTTTATAATATGCCTTTGGCAAGAGGATGACACAACTTTTTATCAAAGAGAAAATTAGGAGAGGTGTTGTATCTAACATTGCATTAAATTCAATGACATACTGACAACTGCATTTCATCGCAGTTGTTTCCATAAATCTGACAGACTGCCAGAAGACTTGTTGAGTTGCATCTTTTGGCCTTAAAGAGCTAAGATGTGCAGTTATGCTCCTATTGTTCTCTTTCCAGCTTTGAGAAGGAACATTTTGGAGGCCAGTAGCGAGTTTTTGCCGTTTATTTACCGGCTTGGGTTCGAATGCTTGCTTCTCTTAGACTAGTCAACGAGTGCCTAATTACTTACCTGGGTTATTTGTCCGATGTGACTAGTTTTAAAGGAGGGTGCATTTGAGCAATCGGGAGGGTGACGGACCCAGTTCCCACTCATTCCCAAGCCATGGTAACCTCTCTGTATAACTCTCTGGGTTGGCAACATGAGGGGCCAGTGGTACTTGACAAGGAGGTTGGGTTTGCCTCAGAACCTCCTGTTATTGATTCCCACTGTACATAATTCATATCTGCAACAATCTTGTGTACCATCTTGTTTCTACTGTAAATAGAGAGAAGAATCAGAACACAGTTCATGCCTTTTGTAATTAATTTCATTCTGGCACTAGTGGATGCAAATGACAAACTGAATCCAGGCACTCGCCTACCTGTCAGAGGTGAATGGCCCAGACACAAGGAAATTTGCTGATCACTGAGGATTTGGTTCCATAAGCACAATCTGCCCTTTGATGCTATCTTTAGGTGGGCATTTTGACCAGGTTCACCTGGTTCTAACTAATGTCTCTACCTCAAGATTTGGCAACCATAATCCATGCTCTACTTGATAACTTTAATGTTCGTGTAAGGCAGACACCTCCAAACTCGGTCCTCCAGATGTTTTGGGACTACAGTTCCCATCATCCCTGACCGCTGGTCCTGTTATCTAGGGATGACAGGAGTTGTAGTCCCAAAACATCTGGAGGGCCAAGTTTGGGGATGCCTGATGTAAGGCTTCCCTTGGAAAGTACAGTGGTATCTTGGGTTACAGACGCTTCAGGTTACAGACTCCACTAACACAGAAATAGTACCTCGGGTTAAGAACAGTTTCAGGTTAAGAACGGACCTTCAGAATGATTTAGTTCTTAACCCGAGGTACCACTGTATTCAGAAGCTGCAGCTAGTACTGCATATGGATCCCCATGTTTTTGACTTGGGAGAACCACAGTTATCTTACAAGTGCTGCACAGGCTTCCTATTGGCTTCTTCTGGGCACATTTCAAAGTGATAATGCTTCACTCTTTAAATCCAGATGTTTCTTAACTACAGCTGACCGCTGACCATACTTGCTTGGGCTGATGGGAGTTGCAGTTCAGCAACATCTGGAGGGCCAAAGATTCCCTAAAAGGTAAAGGGACCCCTGACCATTAGGTCTAGTCGTGACCGACTCTGGGGTTGTGGCGCTCATCTCACTTTATTGGCCGAGGGAGCCGGCATTTGTCCGCAGACAGCTTCCGGGTCATGTGGCCAGCATGACTAAGCCGCTTCTGGCAAACCAGAGCAGCACACGGAAACGCCGTTTACCTTCCCGCCTGAGCGGTACCTATTTATCTACTTGCAGTTTGACGTGCTTTCAAACTGCCCTACGTCTGCCTTAAAACCTTCTGTTTGGCTCCAGTGTACCATGGGGAATAGCTCTTGCTTTATAATTGGCACTGTGGCTAGTCCTTTTCTGTATCCATTGTAATGCAAGATGCATCATCTTTGAGCTTAAGAGCAGGACCTTTCTGACAGTATCATCAGGAGAGTATCTATTCCTAGGGATATCTGGGCAGGCAGAACTTTAGACACGTTTCATAAATGGCTGGAAAAAAAGGACATTTTAGGAGGGTATTTGGTCACCCTTCAGTTCTGTGAAATAAGCTATGTATATATTAATTTGCACATTGTGGGACCACTTTGGTTTTAACAAGAAAACAAAAATTGTAGTATTGTGTCAACTCTATGTAGTGTGTCTTCATATTCTGCAAATAAGAATAACCTCTCATTCAAAGTGAGGCTTTCCATTGTGTCTGGATCTTTCTCCTAAACAGCACTAGGTTTTTTTCCCCTTTCCATTGGCAATTATTTTAAAAGTATTTATAATTCATACATAACAGCTGACACAAGCATGTTAGCAGAAACGCTTTTAAAATCAATTTCTTCACCCAGGGGAAATGTTGTGTAGATGACACTTTAAAGACAAGAATAATTAAGTGACCTTTCTCTTACACCCCCTCCCCCACACCAATTTAAGCACAAATCTGGTCTCCTCTGAGCTCTTTGAAATTCCAAGAACATTCATTACTATGGGAATCTTTAACCTTGTTGTGTGTTGTTTCATATACCTCTTAGGAAATCAAATCAGCATTACAATCTAATTTCCACAGTCATCCCAACACAGAGCATTGTGCTAACTTGTTCCTTTCAGTGTTAACAAATCTTTGGAATTGTCAAGCTATTTGCCTCCAGGAAGGCAGTGTGTTATATAGGGTAATGATTCTTGTAGGACCAAATTTCTATGGTCCACGTGGAATTAATTGGGTGTGGGATATAGTCACAGAAGGGCTGGATTTCTTTCATTGGGTTGTCCATTTGACTATGCTGGTGGTCGCAAAAAAAAAAAGTGAGCTAAAGTATGGAATGGAGCAAGTGGTATTATGATAGTTCAGTTGTTTAGAGCGTGGTGCTACTAACGCCAAGGTTGCAGGTTTGACCCCCGAATGGGACAGCTTCCTATTCAGGTTGGACAAGATGATCCTCAGGGTCTATGATACTATGATATTTGTATGTCACCAGTGTCAAAGCTTAGCTTTTTCTTTTCATGTTTTAAAGAAATGAGAAGTATTCTGGAGAGGTAATGTTAAGATATTGATATCTACATTTTAAAGTAGTGTATAACTGGCCACAGGGTTACAAATTACTTCTGTGTAAATATATGTTCTACTACCACAAGTCTTCTTCAACAAAGAGCTCATTGTGGAATGGCCTGCTGATGTCCTGTATTTTGAATAACCGTTTGTGCTATTCAGAAGTCAGTCTTGTATCCTGTGCGCTAATGAATGGGATCTAAGGATACAATCTATAGGAATGTGTCCAAGCAGTTTCTTATTGATAGTGGTGGTACTGTCCCTATTTTGGGGCAAGTAGCAGGGAAAGTTGCCACCACCCACAGGGATTTCCCAGGAGACTTCCTCAGCATATTCTTGCTATAGAAAAGGGGTTATATCCATAGCTGTCAACTTACAGATTTGAAAATAAGGGACCAGCAGCCTCGAAAATAAGGGATCAGCAGCCAAAATAAGGGATTTTCCGGGCACAGGTATGCTCAACTTCTGAGCCCCTCTGAGCCGAAGGCAGAAAGCCCAGCCAGCAGCCAAATGAAGCCTCATCAATAAGGTACAGCAGCGGGACATGGCGCTGGGATAAGGGACTGTCCCGCCAAATAAGGGACACTTGACAGCTATGGTTATATCAATGCCTGAAGAACTACCAGTCTTCTCTAATAGGATGGATAGAAGAATGACTCAAAGCAGGGAAATGTCATGGAATGGTGGGTCATGCAAGAGTTAGAGAAGACTTCCCCAAACTACTGTTTTCCAGTTGTCTGATCCAAAACATTTGGAGGGCACTCAATAGGCTGAGCTAGAGTGATCGTGGAGAATGAGACATAAGACAGAGAGTAAAGAGCTAATATTTTTTTAAAAGGCAACCATTTCTTCTAGTTCAGGATATTAAAGCTATTTTTTACTTACCAAATGGCTGCTTGTTCCAGCTCTGCTATCAATAACAATATTTACTGGTATTTAAATTATGGTGTTCAAGCTCTCATGAAGCACAAAAAATGTGAAGAAGTGTTCTTTTTAATTGTCACAATTTTCATATGGTATATTAGTCCCACCAACATTTTTATGGTTGCTTTATACTTCTTTGCATCGTCTTTTCTTTCTCCTCATTGAAGTTTCACCTTATATGCACCAAACTTTTGTGTCCGTCCTGTGTTCGTCCTTTACATGAATATTTACCCCATTTAAGCAGCATAAAGTGCCCCAGAAACATTTTTCTTTCAGATAAGTTGATCCAGACCTATAAATTTTAAGAATTAAGCCTCGTAACTAGATACGTGACATTTATTGAAATTCATTCTTTGCCATTGAGCTCATTGCTTTTAGAAATATTGAGAATAGTACGGAATTGCAAATGCAATTTGATTAAATCTGCAGTTGTTACTCTTTGCCTTCTGAAAATTGATTTCCCTCCCCTGAGCTCCAGTTGCCTGCTGATTAAGAGCTCTGCACTGAGTTGAATAGGTTACATTTTGTTTGTCCCCCCACCCCTTTGTGCAAGTTTTAACTGGCTATGAAATGAAATGAGAACCTAATATAATCCTGCCTTTGCTGTAATGTGTAAGTTTACTTAGAAATAGCTGTTTTGTGTCTGAAAACTGGATGACACATCTTTATGTTCCATTGTAGGAAGACAAATACCTTCTTATTGTAGATGTTTCCTGTTTTTGTGTGTGTGCTGTGGCTGAACAAGCCTTCCTTCCCATGTGGACTTTTGTTAAAATTCCTTAATCTCAAAATGGTTAAATTGAATATTTAGCTGCCACATGCAACATGGCATGTTCTGGCAAAAGGGAGCCTGGCTGAAATTACATATTAGATCCATGTCTTGGAGTCTTGTGGCTTCTCTTTAACTCTGGATCTGTGGCTTGCTGAGTCTCACAGTGAAGTTTCCCTTGTGTGTTCATATGAATTCCTAGTTCATACATCTCTTCCTGCCACACACCCTTTATTTTGGACAATCTGCCTACTCACTCTTCTCTGCACTGCTTAGTGAATCTAAAAACCTCAAATCCTAGCATGGCAAGAGTCACTCCACCATAAGTGGCATCCAGCCAGGGGTTTACTTTGTTCTTTCAGTTCTCCTCCATGACATCAGGGCCTTCAGGCAAGCAGAGTGGCCACAGGAAGGGAGATGCAAGTCATCTGGTCCAGGGCTCCCTCAAACCTGGCAGCACCTCTGGCCATAGTGCAGTGATGTCACGATTCCTCAGCTTGGAGCACATTTGAAAATAAATCCCATTGGTTATAATAGAACTTAAGTTAGGTATACTTAGAATTGTACCTCAAGAGCTGACCTACCTGGAGACAAGCCCTGTGATAGCTGGGGTTTTTAGGGGGTGGGAGATGTGTACACAGTTATGTTTGAAGGGTAGCTAATGAATTTAGTGTGCTGCAAGTGCAAAGACTGGACAGCCAATACTGCTGTTTGATCTTTGGCAATTGCTTGTGGCACAATTCAGGGACAACATACCGGTAAATGCTTTTTCTTTCACAGAAACAAATGTCACATATAAAGCCAGCCCTGATATTTTTATTCAGAATTCCCATACTGCTAACAAAAAAGAGAAGAATTTGCCCAAACAAGCCTTTGTCTTTGAATCATTTTCGAAACATTTTTTCGTAGAAGTCTTCAGGTATGTTGTAATTCAGAATTTCCCCCAGGAAGGTACATTGTGTCCTACGGAAGGAGTTAAAATAAAATATTTAAGTGAGTAATTCTTAATCAGATGGGTATTCAAATCTACGAAAGAGATTCGAAAGTACTGGCAATTAACTGGATCTGTTTCCTGATCCCATTCATGTAACTTAGGCAAGAAACAGAAGCTGATGGACTTGCTTTTAACATTTGATTTTATCCTTATTTTTAAGAAACATTTTACATTCCGATTAAACAGTATTAAACAATCTTGAATAAATAAATAGCTGCCAAATTCACAATTGATTTTATGATTATTCACAACTGACCATTTCGCATAACTATCAACTAACAACAAATAATGAGTTCACTTCTTGCTATCTTCTGGAATGTATTTTTTGCCTTGTAGTGCTAGCTGCAGAAAATCTGGTGAGAAATTCTTGAGTAGGTCACTTGTTGTTCCTGATAAAATGCTGATAAAGATCTTCCGGCTGGTCTAGAATTTATTGGACCTTTGGCAAACCTGCAAAGCCCTGCCTGTTCACTGGAGTAATGTGTTCCCTTTGTTTAGGACTTTTTAAATTTAAAAAATATTAAATTATATAGACGCCTGGTAACATTTAGTAATGCTCTGAGATGATTTGCGGTTATTAGACATGTTAATATATTATACCCAAGATACTGGGTGTTTTAAAGTTGAGAAGCAATGGCTTGTGTTCAGATATTATGCAGGCAGATGGCTTGTTCAGTTTTTGTCACTTTGGCAGCAAGGAGATTGTAACTTGATTTCACCAACTTTTCCTTGATTTATGAATTCCTTCCTGACTTCTCGGAATGGTTCATGGAGCAAATAAAGGCATGTCCCAATAAAAGCATGTGTGACCCTACTGAAAGAGGCCTTGGACATTATTTTGAAAATTAAAAGCTTTTATGCATGTGCTTTTTTATTTGTTTTTAAAGTTTACTGTTTTTAGGGGTAGACCCAGTTTCATGGCTGGCGCATAGCTTTAGTGGAAGTCTGGAGACAGAGTCAGCCTTTCCATTCTGTACTTTAGTGGTTCCCAAGGAGGCAGGGAAGGAGAATGAGTAAAAGCAGGAACTGGTGTTTCAATGGTCATATAATTGTAGAGCTGGAAGGTATCCTGAGGATCATCTAGTCCAACCCCCTGCAATGCAGGAATATGAAGCTGTCCTGTGCAGTGATCAAACCTGTAACCATGGTGTTATCAGCACCAAGCTCTAACCAACTGAGCTATCTATGCAGCAATACTTTTTAAAGCATTGGCCCTATTGGGCGCCATGTAGGCTTCACTTCATCCAGCAAAAAGTATTTGACTACCCTGAAGACACAGTGGGAAGGCATACTGTGTACAAAGCTCTGAGCTGCTTGAAGGAAGGCCCGATAACAATTGATACATGTAATTAACCTTATGTAAATGGGTAGAGCGTATACTTAAAGCTATGGTTTTCCCAGTAGTGATGTATGGAAGTGAGAGCTGGACCATAAAGAAGGCTGATCGCCAAAGAATTGATGCTTTTGAATTCTGGTGCTGGAGGAGACTTTCGAGAGTCCCATGGACTGCAAGAAGATCAAACCTATCCATTCTGAAGGAAATCAGCCCTGAGTGCTCACTGGAAGGACAGATCCTGAAGCTGAGACTCCAATACTTTGGCCACCTCATGAGAAGAGAAGACTCCCTGGAAAAGACCCTGATGTTGGGAAAGATTGAGGCCACAAGGAGAAGGGGACGGCAGAGGACGAGATGGTTGGACAGTGTTCTCGAAGCTACCAGCATGAGTTTGACCACACTGCGGGAGGCAGTGGAAGACAGGAGTGCTCTGATCCATGGGGTCACGAAGAGTCAGACACGACTAAACGACTAAACAACAACAAATGGGTAGAGAACTGGATCCAGCCAGCGAGTCAGAGACTTGTCTTCCCCACTTCCACTGGACAACTTGGATAGTTGGATGGGAGCATCCACTGTCAAATCACCTGGCATGATAATGACATCAGGTGACTGATACCCGTCAAAGGACTCAAGAGGTTGCTGTAACAGCTTTCTGCAGTTCCAGCAACCTCCTTTGAAGACAGAATGTGCCAAAAGGGGATCCCTTTAACTACAGTGGTCAGCTGATTGTCAGTTACAGGGAGCAGTTTTGGCCTCTCTGCAGAGAGGACAATGCTCCTAAAAAAACCCCTGAGTATTTTGCCCTCGCCAGAGAAAGCAATTTAAAAACAGAACTTTTTTATGTCAAGAGGAAGCAGCTTATATGCAAAGTGCTGGAGGAAGTGTTTTGAATCAAAGTAGTTTCCTCTAGCCCATTTGGATGCACTGTGGAGTTCCTAGTGCAGCTGATCCCAACTGATTACTGGGGCTTTGGTTGTGCAGGGCTCTCACACCCTGACAACCAGGTGACAGTGGATGCTTCATAGCACCTTGCAAAGAACTTTGCAACTCTGTCTGTGACTTTGCCACGGATAAGGAGCGTCTCCACCCTCATCGTTCAGCCCAGACACTGGGGTCCAGCGCCAAGGGCCTTCTGGCAGTTCCCTCACTGCGAGAAGTGAGGTTGCAGGGAACCAGGCAGAGGGACTTCTCGGTAGTGGTGCCCGCCCTGTGGAATGCCCTCCCATCAGATGTCAAAGAAATAAACAACTATCAGACTTTTAGAAGGCATCTGAATGCAGCCCTGTTTAGGGAAGCTTTTAAGATTTGATTAATCATTGTATTTTAATATTCTGCTGGAAGCCGCCCAGAGTGGCTGGGGAAACCCAGCCAGATGGGCGGGGTATAAATAATAAATTATTATTATTAGGCACGTTGGCTGTTGGGAGTGGCTTGGTCAAAATGAGCTTGGTGGGTCAAATGGTGAAGAATGGTGGGTCCAACATTTGACCCATAATGTTGGAATGCTGAGAGAAGACAGTGGTACTGGGATATTTCGCCTTTGCAAAAGGTTCCAGGAACAGCAGTTGTACGATGGGCCTCTATAAAGAAATGCACTTTTTAAAAGGGCAAACTTGCATGATGGGTGTTTGTGTGTGTGGATGGGAGGCATGCCATCATTAGGGTGGCCAAGACATTGCCCACTAGGTGGCTATGGCATTTACAAAAATGCAGGACAAATGGCTGCATTAGCAGTGGAAGCAGCTGCATTTTCCAAACGAGACCATGTTTCCTAGGTGGTAGCTGTTCCAAACAATGTCTATTTGGCTGGGGTTTTTTAAGTATAAGAAACTGATCCCACCCAACATAAATTCTATCTGAATGGAATGAAAACAACCCCACCTTTCAAAAGCAACCCTACACCCTAAACATGTGGCTTTTCCAAGCAATATGTTCCAAGATGCAAGTGGGCTTTAATGGATTTATGATGATGCATATAACAATAGGGATTCATTACAAATGTGATGGTCCTTGGATAAACTGTGGCCAAGAGGAAACATGGTAGTCTCCATTAATTGTACTAGAGATAGCATCATGCCAAGAATGAGGTGAGCTGTGAGACAGGATGAATGGCCGTAGTAATTGACAATGTCAACACCTGGAAAGGCAAAACAGTGGTGCCTTGTGCTCAACAAGGTTGTTCAGCAAGTAGTAGTATTTTTATTTTTATTTTTAAAAAAGCCTATTCAGATCTTTACTTCTGTTCCATTAGAAATAGCTATAATGTGAAGTAGAGTTTTAATCATTTTTGTAGGAGGTCGTATCATCAACTATGCACACCAGTCTGATTTTTGCACCAAATATTCCCCAAGAAACCCCTTAAAAATGGAAGTGGTGACTTGCAAATTAAAACATTGTACATTAACTGAGAACTTTAATATACTGTAAAGGTACCCCTGCCTCTACGGGCCAGTCGTGTCCGACTCTAGGGTTGTGCGCCCATCTCACTTAAGAGGCCGGGGGCCAGAGCTGTCCGGAGGCACTTCCGGGTCGTGTGGCCAGCGTGACGAAGCTGCTCTGGTGAGCCAGCACCAGCGCAGCACACGGAAATGCCGTTTACCTTCCCGCTATAAAGAGGTACCTATTTATCTACTTGCACTTAAGGGTGCTTTCAAACTGCTAGGTGAGCAGGAGCTAGGACCGAAAGACGGGAGCTCACCCCGCCGCGGGGATTCGAACCGCCGACCATGCGATCGGCAAGCCCTAGGCACTGAGGTTTTACCCACAGCACCACCCGCGTCCCTGTAGTTCATGTACTAATGTACTGTAGTGTAGTTTGCACACAAGCGTCAAATTCTCTCACACAATTCTTGTGATTTATTATTATTATTTTTTGACATTGAGCGTTTGGTATCTCAAGGATTAGCACAGACAAGAGATAAAGCAAAAGTAAAGATATCATATCAAAAGGAAATTAGCTCCCCCCCCCTCTTTTCTACTAAAGATGAATAGCACACCAACAACAGGCTCAGTTTAAAGAAATTTAAATCCAGTACAAGTGTTAGAACTTATTCTAAAGCAGGCATCTCCAACTTGCAGCCCTCCAGATGTTTTGGCCTACAACTCCCATGATCCCTAGCCAACAGGACCAGTGGTCAGGGATGATGAGAATTGTAATCCAAAACATCTGGAGGGCCAAAGGTTGGGGATGCCTGTTCTAAAGAATGCCTCTGCAGACATGGGAGAACTAGGACGTGGTCAGGAGAAAAGACGGAAGGGAAGGGTGTTGGCTGAAGGGGTGACGGTGGCATCGGAAAGGGAAAATTGGTGCTGATTACAGCTGCTTGTTTTCAGAAAGAGAAGGGGAGGTTGTCAGAGGAACTGGGTTTTGGGGGGTTTTTTGATAGTGGGCCTTTGGGGAAAATCAGAAGAAAGCTGGTGGGAGACCTTGGGGTCAATGACTGAGAGTAAAATGAGTCTGTTTTTGCAGTAGGTGGGTATGCATAGTCAGGAAATGGGGCTTGAAGGTGAAACAGCCAAGGAGGAAGAACTGGGCATAGCAAAGGGAAGAAAGAGAGCAGGTCTCCTCTCAGAAGAGGGACCTGATTGGGTAGAAAATGAGGGATAGGGGAAGGAGGGCTTTGTCAGCTAATCGGTTTGCAGTGGGGCAGGGAGATTTGATACTTGTCCTTGCTCTGTAAGGTGGTGTGTGTGTTAGTGTGCTGGAGGTGAGCGTTCCTGTTCAGCAGCAAAAAAAAAAAAAAGGGATATAGAAAGAAGGGAGAAAAAGGAGAAGGGGGGAGCCTGCAGGAAAGTTCCTGGGCATAAGGTTTGAGGCAACTTGGGTATTCAAAGATTCCTAACTGCTGAGTTGGAAACCGCTACCTCTTGATGCTCAAGTTGAGGTTAAAAATTAATATAAAAACAAATATTGCAAAGCCTCGTCTTCCTGTTGGTGGATGGGTGTTACAAATCTTCAAATGGTGCCAGCCAGGAAAAGCTTGTCCAAAACATTTGCGAAATGGCTTCCAGATAGGCATCTTCTGCTGCCCAGGTGAGATAGAGTAAAGAGATTAACATATATTTGGGCTGTTCTGGAAGGAGCCTCAGGCTATTGAAATTTATTTGGATAGTGTTAGTGGGGGGGTGGGGTAATCTGGAAGGAGTGGTGATTAGCTGATACTACCTTTGGCTTAATGCATCTATTCTAGAAGGAGTCTGACATTCTTTTGCTTGATTTAGATTTGCAAATGATAAGGGAGGGACAGTCATCAATGGGTGTTGCAATTCAGTTTGCTTTTGAGCATGTATGCCTGACTTCCTGTAATGGAATCTTTTTTGGGGCCTCTCCAGGCCAGAGTGGAACCTTCCTTTTCAGGTATAGGCTACCATAGCAAAAGCTGGAGTGTTTTCAGGAGTGCTTCTTCATAAGAGATAGCACGGAGTTCATTGGTGCCAATATCTGCAATGTTAAAGTGCATAATATCTACAAGATAGTGGGGGGCGGGGAGGCTAACTGATTCGACCAGTCATTTGGAAGCATGTGTGGAGACCATCTTGTCACAGATACACGGCCTTTATTCTTAGTATAAAAATTAAAAATGCTGCTTTTCACAGCTCCAGATTTGTAGACAATCAAGTCAAGGGAACTTTCTTGCAAGTCAGGGGAAATTTCTTCCTTCTCCCTCTGCCTTTCATTCAGCGTTCCACCCATTATCAGGTTTTTCTTAGCATTTTCAACAGCGTGCCTTAACTTGTTACAGTTAATCTGGAACTCTGCCTGTTTTGTTTTTCATGTGTGTTGTGTATATGCTTTTAATGTAAGCTGCTCCAGAATTGTTTAGGCAATGAAGAGTGGCTTAGAAATATTTGAAATACA